CGGTTTCGATTTCGGTTCCGTTCTATACTTTGGTTTGGTGTACACTTTTGGAAACTTCGGTAAAGCGTTTCAGGCCAATGACACATTGACAAAATTGAATTTTTGGATACCTATTGATGTAACCTCAAATAACAAAAAATCGCACAAAATTGTACATTTCGCGCAAATCAACTTTCCAAATGAAAACCACAAAAATAAAAACGGAAAATCGAAATTTCGACCCACACATTTAGAAAATGCATTTAGCGCCAAGCAAAAGCAAACGACACCACTCCACCACCACACTAAAAACCACACACTAAACCACAACATGACACCACAAAAATGTAACGCAGCATAAGAGATGAAAATGTGTAAGGTAAATTCAGTATTTGGATCTAAGCGAATATTATTACATACAAATTTATATTTATGCAAGCGACAAAATCGAAAGAAACATACTAAAAACGTGTAATGGAAAGGAAATGGTAAACAAGCGCAAAACACTAACTACAATATGACATTTTTAATCGAAAAAAAACCAAAACAAAACTTATTTTATTGAAAATTATGTAAAATTTACTAAGGAAAAAATACAAAAAACACACAATAAAAGTATATTGTTTATTTTCATCTTTAAAAATAAAGTTTTAAAATCGTATAAAAATAGTAATTATCATCCTACACTAGTTTTATTTGGTGGACTATTTTAAAAAGAGTGTAAGTAACTAAATTATTATAGTTTATAATATAAACAAAGTACTAAAGATTTTTCGTCAAATTCTCTGGAATACCCTTCAAAAATGGCGAAAAAGCATGAAACGCCAATATGGCCACTTGGGAAGGCCATAACTCTGCGAATCATCATCCGATTCTTCTGCGGAATACCTAAAACAATTTTTATGTCGATTCTCCATCAATCTGCATCAAAATCTGGGAACAAATTATTTTTTAGATTTTTTGTCAAATTTTCTGGAGGGTCCCCTTCAAAAATGGCGGAAATGCATGAAACCCCAATATGGCCACCTGGGAAGGCCATAACTCTGCGAATAATCATCCGATTCTTCAGCGGAATACCTTAAACGATTTGTATTGCGATTCTCCATCAATCTGCATCAAAATCTGGAAACAAATAATTTTTTAGATTTTTTGTAAAATTTTCTGGAGGGTCCCCTTCAAAAATGGCGGAAATGCATGAAACCCCAATATGGCCACCTGGGAAGGCCATAACTCTGCGAATAATCATCCGATTTTTCAGCGGAATACCTTAAACGATTTGTATTACGATTCTCCGTCAATCTGCATCAAAATCTGGGAACAAATTATTTTTTAGATTTTTTGTCAAATTTTCTGGAGGGTCCCCTTCAAAAATGGCGGAAATGCATGAAACCCCAATATGGCCACCTGGGAAGGCCATAACTCTGCGAATAATCATCCGATTCTTCAGCGGAATACCTTAAACGATTTGTATTGCGATTCTCCATCAATCTGCATCAAAATCTGGAAACAAATTATTTTTTTGATTTTTTGTCAAATTTTCTGGAGGGTCCCCTTCAAAAATGGCGGAAATGCATGAAACCCCAATATGGCCACTTGGGAAGCCCATAACTCTGCGAATAATCATCCGATTTTTCAGCGGAATACCTTAAACAATTTGTATTACGATTTTCCATCAATCTGCATCAAAATCTGGAAACAAATTATTTTTTAGATTTTTTGTCAAATTTTCTGGAGGGTCCCCTTCAAAAATGGCGGAAATGCATGAAACCCCAATATGGCCACCTGGGAAGGCCATAACTCTGCGAATAATCATCCGATTCTTCAGCGGAATACCTTAAACGATTTGTATTGCGATTCTCCATCAATCTGCATCAAAATCTGGGAACAAATTATTTTTTAGATTTTTTGTTAAATTTTCTGGAGGGTCCCCTTCAAAAATGGCGGAAATGCATGAAACCCCAATATGGCCACCTGGGAAGGCCATAACTCTGCGAATAATCATCCGATTTTTCAGCGGAATACCTTAAACGATTTGTATTACGATTCTCCGTCAATCTGCATCAAAATCTGGGAACAAATTATTTTTTAGATTTTTTGTCAAATTTTCTGGAGGGTCCCCTTCAAAAATGGCGGAAATGCATGAAACCCCAATATGGCCACCTGGGAAGGCCATAACTCTGCGAATAATCATCCGATTCTTCAGCGGAATACCTTAAACGATTTGTATTGCGATTCTCCATCAATCTGCATCAAAATCTGGAAACAAATTATTTTTTTGATTTTTTGTCAAATTTTCTGGAGGGTCCCCTTCAAAAATGGCGGAAATGCATGAAACCCCAATATGGCCACCTGGGAAGGCCATAACTCTGCGAATAATCATCCGATTTTTCAGCGGAATACCTTAAACGATTTGTATTACGATTCTCCGTCAATCTGCATCAAAATCTGGGAACAAATTATTTTTTAGATTTTTTGTCAAATTTTCCCTTCAAAAATGGCGGAAATGCATGAAACCCCAATATGGCCACCTGGGAAGGCCATAACTCTGCGAATAATCATCCGATTCTTCAGCGGAATACCTTAAACGATTTGTATTGCGATTCTCCATCAACATGCATCAAAATCTGGAAACAAATTATTTTTTTGTTTTTTTGTCAAATTTTCTGGAGGGTCCCCTTCAAAAATGGCGGAAATGCATGAAACCCCAATATGGCCACTTGGGAAGCCCATAACTCTGCGAATAATCATCCGATTTTTCAGCGGAATACCTTAAACAATTTGTATTACGATTTTCCATCAATCTGCATCAAAATCTGGAAACAAATTATTTTTTAGATTTTTTGTCAAATTTTCTGGAGGGTCCCCTTCAAAAATGGCGGAAATGCATGAAACCACAATATGGCCACCTGGGAAGGCCATAACTCTGCGAATAATCATCCGATTCTTCAGCGGAATACCTTAAACGATTTGTATTGCGATTCTCCATCAATCTGCATCAAAATCTGGGAACAAATTATTTTTTTGATTTTTTGTCAAATTTTCTGGAGGGTCCCTTCAAAAATGGCGGAAATGCATGAAACCCCAATATGGCCACTTGGGAAGCCCATAACTCTGCGAATAATCATCCGATTCTTCAGCGGAATACCTTAAACGATTTGTATTGCGATTCTCCATCAATCTGCATCAAAATCTGGAAACAAATAATTTTTTAGATTTTTGTAAAATTTTCTGGAGGGTCCCCTTCAAAAATGGCGGAAATGCATGAAACCCCAATATGGCCACCTGGGAAGGCCATAACTCTGCGAATAATCATCCGATTCTTCAGCGGAATACCTTAAACGATTTGTATTGCGATTCTCCATCAATCTGCATCAACATCTGGAAACAAATTATTTTTTAGATTTTTTGTCAAATTTTCTGGAGGGTCCCCTTCAAAAATGGCGGAAATGCATGAAACCCCAATATGGCCACCTGGGAAGGCCATAACTCTGCGAATAATCATCCGATTTTTCAGCGGAATACCTTAAACAATTTGTATTACGATTTTCCATCAATCTGCATCAAAATCTGGAAACAAATTATTTTTTAGATTTTTTGTCAAATTTTCTGGAGGGTCCCCTTCAAAAATGGCGGAAATGCATGAAACCCCAATATGGCCACCTGGGAAGGCCATAACTCTGCGAATAATCATCCGATTCTTCAGCGGAATACCTTAAACGATTTGTATTGCGATTCTCCATCAATCTGCATCAAAATCTGGAAACAAATTATTTTTTTGATTTTTTGTCAAATTTTCTGGAGGGTCCCCTTCAAAAATGGCGGAAATGCATGAAACCCCAATATGGCCACTTGGGAAGCCCATAACTCTGCGAATAATCATCCGATTTTTCAGCGGAATACCTTAAACAATTTGTATTACGATTTTCCATCAATCTGCATCAAAATCTGGAAACAAATTATTTTTTAGATTTTTGTCAAATTTTCTGGAGGGTCCCCTTCAAAAATGGCGGAAATGCATGAAACCACAATATGGCCACCTGGGAAGGCCATAACTCTGCGAATAATCATCCGATTCTTCAGCGGAATACCTTAAACGATTTGTATTGCGATTCTCCATCAATCTGCATCAAAATCTGGGAACAAATTATTTTTTTGATTTTTGTCAAATTTTCTGGAGGGTCCCTTCAAAAATGGCGGAAATGCATGAAACCCCAATATGGCCACTTGGGAAGCCCATAACTCTGCGAATAATCATCCGATTCTTCAGCGGAATACCTTAAACGATTTGTATTGCGATTCTCCATCAATCTGCATCAAAATCTGGAAACAAATAATTTTTTAGATTTTTTGTAAAATTTTCTGGAGGGTCCCCTTCAAAAATGGCGGAAATGCATGAAACCCCAATATGGCCACCTGGGAAGGCCATAACTCTGCGAATAATCATCCGATTCTTCAGCGGAATACCTTAAACGATTTGTATTGCGATTCTCCATCAATCTGCATCAACATCTGGAAACAAATTATTTTTTAGATTTTTTGTCAAATTTTCTGGAGGGTCCCCTTCAAAAATGGCGGAAATGCATGAAACCCCAATATGGCCACCTGGGAAGGCCATAACTCTGCGAATAATCATCCGATTCTTCAGCGGAATACCTTAAACGATTTGTATTGCGATTCTCCATCAATGTGCATCAAAATCTAGGAACAATTATTTGTGATATATATTTTCCATATATTTCTTTCAAAATGGGGAAAGGGTACGGAAACGCCCAAAGAAAGGAGAAGTCCCTATTCAAAAATGAGGAAAAATACAGTAACCTCTGCAGCACAATAAAACCCCAGAAGTATGTCTTTGCCAAAATATTTTGAATGCCAATTAAATTTTAGTGTTTTAAATCGGCCTTTGAGAATTGTAATCGTGTTTTAAATTTTCAAGAATAAAAAACGAGCCATATCAATGACACAAACCAATAAATAATATTTCGATATATTTACATAAATTTATCGATATATTCAAATTGTTATAAACAGCTGATTGGACAGAAACATTACGCAAAGAAGTGGCTCATATTTGGTTTTATAAAAATGTCATTGCTCGCTGCATTTGCCAGGTAAGAAAATGAAATCTCCCATTTTGTGATTGCAAAATTATTAAGGTGGGAGTTTTCTGTCATAGATTGGGTCTTCAGAGCAGTAGAACTGGGATTGTCCCCGGTGTTGCAGTTTCACGATGCCTGCACATTTCTCCGGTGCTGTGCGCGGAGCCACTGAAGAAAAAGAAGAAACTGGACCCCCAAATCATTAAACAGAGAGAGGACCGAAAAAAGAAAAAAATTGAGAAGCAAATTCGACGGCTGGAAAAGAATGCCCGCCAGCTAAAGCCCGTGGAAGAGCTGGAGGTGCCACTGGAGCTGATCGATGAGAAGGAGTAGGTTTCAGATATGAAATACATTTACAGCTGGTTGATTAATTTTACTCTTTACAGCAAACGGCAAAGAAAACTGACACCACTGGGTAACGCTGAGCTGGAGGAGCGTGCCCTTCTCAAGAAGCAGTGGGCGCATTACAAGCATGAAGAACGGGTGGCGGATTTCCAAATAATCGACCGCCTGGTCCAGGCGCAGAACAAGGCCCTGGCAGAGCTACGAAGCGAGTCCGAAGAACTTTACCAGGCAGCCATAGAAGTGGATCCACAGCTGCTACCCGTCACCGTCAAAGGCCCGGTGGCAACTCCTCCGATTAAAAATTATGATAGTCCCGATGGGGACTACCTGCATCAGTCGATGAAGTGGGAGGTGAAATGAGAGAAGCAAAGCTTTAAATTTTGCGCTTGCAGTAACGTCGCCGATTTGAAATAAACAAACCTTTTAAATAATCAAAGTTCTGTTTATCTTTGTTTACCATTAGCTATTTAAATTATTCGTGTATTCGATTTAAATGCATATAAGACGATCTGGAATCTGTTATCAGCAGTGTGCCATGTTAATCCCTTTAGAAGAAGTTCTTGAAAAATTACTGGTGTTCCAGTACTGCTGGCCATACCCAATGCCGTTTCAATGCTACAAATAGATGCTATGAAGATTTCAGTATATGCCTAGATGTGCGAGCTCAATGAGGCAAGTATATTGCACTTTAATGCGTTGTGTGGCGGCTTTATTGTTATCAGTGGTGAATGAGAATATTGCAGGCGGCAATCCCTGCCGAGCCTTTTCGGTGAAGCGTCGAAATAAATATTACGCGAGAGGCGTAGCACTGCCTGCGGCTGATGTTGATCTTGGGATGGGTTTCCAGAATGCGTTCTTACGATGGGGAACTACTGGCGTTCTTAGCTGCGGCCTGCCGCTTTTTCACACCCCAGTTGTAGACTCGAGCCATGTTTACCTCCGTCGTGGTAATTTGATCCCTGAATTAAATAGTTTTTACAAATCACTGGCAACAAACAGGATAGAATTAACTGACCTTAAGAAGTCCTGGTCGTGTTCCACAGACTTCAAATTGCCGACGGCCGATGTGATGTTCTGCTTCAGCAGCGCCTCTGCCTCGTCCAGCGGATACTCAAGCATCACGCTGGCCCCCAGCCAAAGGTAAACCGTTTTCGTGGGTGGCACTAGAGTCTTGATGAACACCTGGTCGCTGAGCAGGAACTGCGTCTCACGCTCTTCGTCCTCCTTGCGAAGCACGTTCACCATCTCCAGTGAGCGCTCCAGGTCTGGAATCTGCGACTTCAGCTTGCGCCGCCGCGTTTCTAAGTTGTAGGCCATGAAACGATACTTTCCGTGCTGTTCGTCCAGACGCTGGAGCACCTTTTCGCAGTTCTCGTTCTCTGGTTGCGCCATGAACGAGTCAATTTCCTCCTGGAAGCACCAAATGGTCATGGGTTAGTTGGAATTTTCCAGCTGCAGGTGCAGGTGCACATTGCTAGGTTAGACTCGGCACACCAATCACTCACCAGAAACACTGCCTCGGGGATGCCTGCAAAAGTTTTCTGGTTTTCCGGCAATTTGGGCATTTCCACGCTATCCATGATGCCAGTCATTTTTATGTGATGCTCCCTACTTTATACAATTGAAAATTAATTTCCAGGAGGTCTACCGCTGTAAAAGTCGATGGTGAGTCAAAATTGAGATGAGAGTATCGATTGGCAGCTGGGATTATCGATGAATGGAAGCTTAAATATTGTACCACAAATATTTAAATTGAAACTATTTTTTCAGGTAGCTGGATTCAAAAAACTTGAATTTATTTTAAAATTTACTTTATTAATAACTTCAATTAAAAAACAAATCGTATTTTTTAAAACCGTTCCAGCCCTGGGTGATAATCGAAATCGGATGGCGTCGATTACTTAAACATCTTGTGAAATTCGCGCAATCCCGGCAAACAGACATATCCGTAAAGATGAGCACCTGGAATCCGGAGAACGATGTGGACCTGCTGTCCTGCTCCGAGGACGAGGAGGATGTGGCCATGAAGCGGGACTACCATGGACGCGAAGCCCTGCTCTTTGTGGTGGATGCCAATCTTCAGACCGCCGGAAAGGAGAGACTAATGGATGCGCTGAATATCATTCGAACTGCTTTTACATCCGGTTTACTGGTCAGCGATAAGGATCTAATAGGACTCATCTTCGCCAATACCAAACACAGTCCATTGCCCCTGGAAGCGTCGGCCATAGACAACATCGTTGTCCCAGACAACTGTGCTGTGTTTCTGCCTCTTCGACAGCTCAACAAGGCGATTGTGGAGCACTATCTTGAGTTCATGGGCGGTGTGGAGTTACAGTTTGAGAATGAGTACGGATTGGCCGAGCCAGATGGCTGCGGAAGATTCGATCTGATGATCCGTCTTTGCATAGATCTGCTGGAGAAGTGTGGAAAGAAACTGAACAACGCCAAGATCGCCTACATAACCGATGTGAGCTCGCCGCACCCACCCTCTAGCAATGTTTTTCAGGCGGCCCTTCAGAAAGCTACAGATTTGGAGGGAAAAGAGTTTGAATTTCATGTCATTCCTATGGTAGATGACTTCGACTACGAACCGTTTTATAAGGAGTTCATTACGCTCTCAAGGGGTAAGTTAGAAATCATAGTACCTCCATGTTATGTCTGTTCCCCTCGCTTGCTTCGAAATTAGTTTGGGAGGTTTAAAGACATCGCAGATCAAGCAGAGCCATCATTCACCCGTATCCAAGTGAAGACTTATTGGATCATGGTTTTAGATGGGCTTACAATAATCATTCTAATTCTTTTTGCTATGCATGTCTGATCTTAATTCTTGATTATTTGCAGCTATCGACATTGACTCCTTCCAGGTGCCCGATCCTCAGGTCCTTCGCGAGATTTTGGCCGACCGCAAATTGAAGCAGGACTTTCTGCGACGGTGCCTGGGCCACTTCAGCTTTTACCTTGGCCCAAACCTTTGCATGTCGATACAATACTACAACTACTTCCAGAAGCACAACTACCCACGCAAGGTGCAGATTCTCCGTCGCGACAACAACGTAGTGAGCAGCAAGCGAGTTATCATGGTGCAGCAAAAAGACGAGGAGTCGCAGGAGATACAGCACGAGTATCAAATAAAGACCACTGGGGGATGGTACCAATGCAAAGTCGGAGACCAGACCTTGCGCATCGGTATAGATAAGATAAATAGTGTGCGCAATCTGCATAAGCCACGGATGATGCTTCTGGGCTTCAAACATCGCTCTTCGTTACCCGAATTCAGCTACAGCAAGCCCCCAAATTTTATGTACCCCGATGATCTGAGTATAATTGGCTCAAAGCGTTTATTCCGGGCCTTGTGGGAGCGTTGTCTGGCGCGAGAAAAAATTGCCATCTGCCTGTTCATGAGCAAGCGTAATTCCACTCCCCGCTATGTTGCATTGGTACCAGTGGAGGCTCCAGAGAGAGGTCAGGACCAGAGCTACCGCTCTCTGCTCTGTGGCGATGGGTTCAAGATCGTCTACCTTCCCGAAGCTAAGCATATTCGGCACATTGATATGTGCGACTGGAACTCTGCCGGAAATTCGGCCAGTGATGAAGGTGTTGAGTTCTTTCAGAAGATTATCAAAAAGCTTCGATTTGACTATCAGCCGAATCTTATTAATGACCCGAATCTAGAAGCCCTGCAGGCGAACCTGCTGGCCTTGTCGCTGGATTTTACATCGGAAAACCCCGGAATTGATAATCTGCTGGACAAAACCCAGCAAGACAAACGCATCGAGAAATTCTTGCCTAGCTACGAAGAGATCTTCGGACCGGAGGTGGAACCAGCCAAGAAGCGCCCGGCCAAACCCGTCAAGGACGGGGCCACCGCCTCAAAAGTGGCTAAAATCGACATGGAACAGATCAAAAGCTACGATTTTGTGGAAGATCTTATACAGAAGAAGCTAATAGCAAACTGCACTGGCCCCCAGTTGCATCTCATTTTGGACCAACACTTTGGGCTGAAGCTTCCTAAGTCAGCTACAAAAGCGAAAATGCTCGCTAAGATTGAGGAGTTGAGCGCATAAAAAATACTTAGAATACATAATACAAAACTTAGAATTCTACCGTAAAAAGTGATATGATGTTTATAACTGTTTAAGATTAAGATTATGATTATTAAATGTATTGTTTTATTGTTAAGTTTATCATTCCTAAAAATATAAGCATATATTTTGTTAAAAAACTTTGATATTTTGGTAACATTTTTAAAATTTTATTTTAGGAACCCTCACATTCTTTACCAATAACGTCAATTTGAATGATAAAATAAAGTAAAAGTTCTTTCGACAATTTTGAAAAATATTTTAAAAGTTTTTTGGATACCGCCAGTTTCTTAAGCCTTCGTTTCTCAACACCAATTTTCGTTGAACAGTCTGGCAACAAGAGACGGTCAACGGTCAGGCAACCCTGACAAAAGCAGCACGCCGCGCCGGTTTATGTTTTGCGAAATTGGACATTGCGAATTAGTGGAATTTGAAACGCAACAGATCCTACAAAATGTCGCTGCAATTTCAAAACGACTGCGGAGATTCTGTTAAGCAGGCAATCATCGAGGAGCTGCAGAACCTGCTCAGCTCTGATACGCACGTCCTGCAGCAGGCGGAGAAGCGAACAAAGCAGCTGGAATACACAGAAGGTGTGTGGTTATTTGGCGGGCCCTCAATGTGACCTGGCTTGGGTTCCAACCTACTTATTATTAACTGTATTCTCATTCATACTCTTTCTAGGCTATGGCGTTTATTTATCGGAAATAATCATGAACCAGGCACACGAGCTGCCGCTGCGTCAGATCGCTATAATCATGCTCACCCGCTATGTGGAGAGCCACTGGACGGATGAGGGCGTTTCCGGAGACAAGATCAACGGCTGCATGGCCAGCGAGCAAGCAAAGCGTACAATCCGCAACATCCTGCCGAATGGACTGTACGATCCCAATTCCAAGATTCGATCCTCGGTGGCACATACTATATCAACGATAGCTTCCACTGATTATCCACATGGATGGGCGGAGCTGTTTGATATCATTGTCAAGTGTCTGGGCGGCAATGAGGACTCGATTCACGGAGCCATGCAGGTCCTGCAGGACTTTACCTACGATGTGGAGCAGATCAAAGAGCTTGGACCTGTAGTTATTCCAGAGGTCTATCGCATCTTCGACTCTGAGCAAAACTATTCGATCAAAACACGTGTCTCGGCCATTCGAATTCTGAAGCCGTTGTTCACATCGATCGCCGCTCTGATCACCAACAAAGAGGAGCAGAGCACCATGATGAGCTCCATTCTGACCAATTTTATGGAAAAGCTGATGTACTATCTGAGTATGAACAGCGGTGCCGGCTCAAACTTCCTTTTACGTTCTGAGATTATAAAGGGTGAGTTGTTACCGTGTTGTAGTTATTTTTAAAATTATTTGTACATCTTTATTTTTTAGTGTTTACCCATTTGGTCACTGATATGCCCAAGTATATCCAGCCGTTTATGGACCGCGTCCTGCCCATCATCTGGCAGCTTCTTACCCAAATAGCAGAGACGTACGTGAAGGTTTCGGTCAACCAGACAGAGCCTAATCCACTCGCCAGCGGCGACAGCGAAGACGATGACGAGCAGACCAACTTCCAGACCCTTATTATTCAGATCCTAGAGTTTATTAACTGCATCGTCACCTGCAACAAACTGCGGGGCAGCATAAAAAATGTACTAGCCGATCTTATCTACATCACCATTGTATACATCCAGCTGAGTGAAGAACAAATAGAGGATTGGGAGGAGGATCCTGAAAAATTCGTGGACGATGAAGACGATGGCGGCGTGGAGTTGACAGTGCGCATGTGCGGCCTCGATGTCTTGCAGGTAAGTCCTGAAACTCTTCAGAATTAAGAACCAACTTAATGTTATTAATTATTTCTCAGGCCATTAATGATGAGTTTGGTGTGAAAGCCATTCAACCACTGCAGGAGGCTTTGGGCAGGCACTTCAACGTGGCCGAGGCGGAGAAGGCGGCCAACAATCCGAATTGGTGGAAGATTCAGGAAGCCTGCATGGACGCCGTTCATGGCTTCCGTGACGTCATCCTTGAAGGCGATTCCAAATTTGACTTGCTCAACTATCTGACCATCGTCCGGAATCTGCTAGTACACCAAGAGTCACCGCACTTGGTGGGTCGCGCCCTCTGGACCCTGAGCACATACTCCAAGTCCGACCTGTATAATCTCCAGATGTTGGCCGAGATTCTCGATGTCACGCTGCGATGTCTGGCCCCGGAAAAGTCGCACATTCTTCGAATAAGTGCTGTTCGTACGCTTCACGGATTTTTGCAGGCTAATGAAACAATTGACGGCGAGAAGCGTACTTTTTTGGTGTCCAAACTTCCAGGTTTTCTTGATGGAATCATGGCCTTAGTGCCGGGCTGCAGGGCAACTGTTTTGGCTTTGCTAATGGAGGCTCTGACCATAATGGTCAAAGTATGTATTTAATCGAAAATGTTACGTATTTTAAATAATTTTTTTCTTTACTTTAGTTTGATGCTGATTTCGCCTTCGCCGCTCAACCAAAAATCACACCCTTAGCCATTGCTGTTTTTCTGAAGTACGCCGAGGACCCCTATGTCCTTGAGAATGTTCAGGATCTGATTAGAGCATTGTGTCAGCAGAAACAGTGCCTGGGATTACTGCAGGAGAAGTTTATCCCCACCATCGTCAGCATCTTGGGACTGACAGGAGACCTAACAAACGAAAAGCAAGATATCGCTTTGGACGTTCTCAACACTATTGTTCGCTACACGGAGCCGCCACTAAGCAGCAGCTTACTTGATTCGGCCTTCCCAGCTGTGATCAACTGCGTCCTCCACACAGACGACCATGCTGTCATGGTGGCAGGTGGCGAGTGCCTGCGCAGCTTTATCAATGTCTCGCCGGAGCAGATCTGCAGATACAAGAATGGTGAGGGTCTTACCTGCATCATGCAGGTTGTGGCCTCCGTTTTGCTGAATCCCATGAACAGCGAGATGACAGCCGGTGGTAAGATTGGGCGCCTCGTCATTACCATAATAACTAAGCTGGGCAGCATGCTCGGGACGAACGTGGACATGCTCTTAAAGGCTGTGATCAGCAAAATGCAGAACCTCGAGTGCCTCAAAGTGATCATGAACCTGGTTTTGATTTTTGCCCATCTCTTCCTCACACAAATGGATGCCGTCCTCAATTTCCTGTCCACGGTTCCGGGTCCTAATGGCGAACCCGCGATGCAGTTCGTTCTCACCAACTGGCTTTCACGCCAAAACTCTTTCTTCGGCATGTATGAGCGCAAGGTCACAACCATGGCTCTGTGCAAGCTCTTTGAATATGGCCTCGCCACCCAGGACAATCGCCTAACGACCATTACATACAAGGAGCTCGTTGACGACCCAAGCGATACGCGCAGAAGGACGCGCTCGGTTGCAGCTTCTACCCAAAAGTGGGTTACCATTCCAGCGCTTGTGAAAATCTTCAAGGTGCTGATCTCCGAGTACCAGCACTTCCAGGAGGGCAAGACCGACGAGCCACTTACGGACAGTGAAGAGGAAGAGGAGGATGAAGATGCCGCTGGAAATCCGGCAAAACCGCGCTTCACCTCCGACTTGTTCTACGACATCGATGAGGAAAATGCCGAGGACGAGCAGCTGTTGCAGGAACTACTCAAGGAGACCAACTACAAGGGCGACATCGCCGAGAACCTGCAAAAGTTCTTGACCACCTTTACTCAGAACGAGCACTTCCCCACCTTCTTCGAGCATCTGAACGAGGCCGAGCGCCACGTTCTCCTTAACAAGGTGCAGCCGAAGTAGTCTGTTGTTTGTGGATTATCATATTACAACTTCTTCGTTTTGATGTCTCGCAGAGAATTGTGTTAACCGTATTTATATATTGTTGCTAACCATTTTGATTGAATAAAAATTTCTATATATTTTATAAATATCTTTGAAAATGTATTAAAATATTAGGAATTTATTCACCTAGCTACATTACATAATAAGGTGCAAGGAAAAATTTATCAGAGAGCTACCTCGTCGTGTCGGAGTTTGTGCTGCTGTGGAATGTCGGCCTTATAGGCATCCTAAAATAATATAAATTAATATTATATTTATTTTAAAGTTTAGTTTTAAAATAAAACTCACCATCGGCTTTTCGGAGCCATAGTTAAAAAACTTTCGAATACAGGGTGTGAGCAGCACGGGATCCACCTTGTTGGGATTATTCTTTCCAAAGACCAGAGTACCCAAAAGCGATACAATAATGGTGATCGAGGCCCCAAAGGTGGTGTACCACATGTACGAGATGCGGTATAGCATAAAGATGTCACTAAGGATTTAAATTTTTTAAAAATCAATTAAGGAAAAGCTATCTTCCACTCTTACTCTGCCGATGCACTTAGGTGGGTGGTGCTGTTGGCCAAACTGGTGGTCACATCAAAGCTGTAGTCGCATTGCTCCACATTGAGGGCCTTGGTACTGTAGTTGATGGCACCGGAGGCGATGGCCCACTGGGCATTCAGACTCACCCACCCCATGCCTATTAGGCCAGTGACACCGCCTAGCAGGGCACTCTGGAAAAAATTAATTAAATTAAAAACATGTGCTTGATATCTTCCTTTTCTTACATTTCCATTAATCCACGGAAGAAATAGCCCAATGGTAAATATTCCAAATAGAGGTCCGTTTGTGATCGCTTCCAGGCTCATGGTCAGTTGGAGCACTGTTCCCATGTGCTCCACCACATAGACTAAGCAGACACATAGAGCCCCCACTCCAACGACGACAAGGCGCATTATCCAATTGATGGCCGTGCTGGAAAGTGGCTTCTTAACGTAAGGCTTCACGAAATCCTCCAGGACCACGGCGGACATGGAGTTGAGACAGGTGGAGAGCGAACTCAGGGCGGCGCTAAAGACCCCGGCAATAAAGACTCCCGTCATGCCGGGCATATCACCCAGGGTGTCCATCACAAAGAGAGGTAGTAACTGATCACGAGCTTTGGCCAACTAAAAATGGAAGACTTTATTTAATATATAGTGTATAGCTGCAACCGTATCTTACCTTCGTGGTAAGAGGATCACAGTTCTGGTAGGTGGCGTAGATGAGAAGACCATTGTATCCGCAAAGGGCCATCAAGGTGAGCACTCCCACGCAAAAGATGCAAAGAGCTTTCCGGGCATCGGCCAGTGTGGGCAGAGCCAAATACCTTTGGATCATGTTCTGGGAAACGGCGTTCGTCTGCGTCCAGTACACGATCCCCCCAAAAAACAGGCACCAGAAAGTATGTCTCACCGTGGGATCGATACTGAGGCTGGAATGGTTAGATTAGTAGTAAATATCTTTCATTAGGTAGAACCTTCCATAATCTTACTCGGGAGCCTCTATCCGATTGGTATTCCAAGCTCGCTCAAGCACTACACTTGCTCCTCCGATGTCCATGCTGCCTTTGATGGCAACTAGGAAGAGTGCTCCCAGCATGGACACAGCCTGCACTACGTCGGTCCACACCACGGCCTTCAGGCCTCCCAAGCTGGTGTAGAAAACACAGATTATGGAAACTATGGGGGTGATGGTGTGGACACCGATTCCCGTCACCTGGTTGAAAGCCAGTGCTGGCACGTAGATCACAATGGGAAGGTAAGCCACCTGAGGATTGGTTTTTTTTTTTCGAAAATTATTAAAAATTTAAATAATATTTTAATAATTAACTTAAAAGTTAAAGAAAGTTCCTCCCGATAGCACCCTTAAGAGCACCCTGTTCCTCTTTCTCTTCAGAGATCGGCACTGCGAGGATGCCGCGTCCAAGAGAGATCTTCTCTCTGTGGTAGGAACTAGTGTCTAGTGTTTGGAGAAGGCGCTAAAAATAAAGCATCCGATGGTGGCGTTAGTTCTACGCAAATCTCCGCCGCCGACGTAACACCGTGGTGTTTTGCACCTCGTTAGTGGAAAATAATATATATTTATTAAGAAGTGGCAATGGGGTCGAGCACGGACTGTCCCGTTTGCGGAGTGGCCGCCACCTTGATCTGCACCAGGTGCAAGCTGGTGCGCTACTGTGTCCCGGAGCACCAGAAACAGCACTGGGCGCAGCACAAGCGCCGCTGCAAGCCGTATCGGGTGGAGGAAGATGAGCAACTAGGCCGTTTCCTGGTAGCCACCCAGAATATTGCGGCCAAGCAGATTGCCTTCGTCGAGGAACCGCTGGTGGTGGGACCCAAATGGTATCACTCCCAGGATGAGACCATCGTTCCCTGTGTAGGCTGCCACACCCCCTGCCGGCTTGGCAAGCACCAGTGTCGTAGGTAAGTGATCCTCTACAGAATTTTGGTACAATGGTGTTGATTCCTTCCCCTTGATAGCTGTCACTGGCCGGTCTGCAGCGCCGCCTGCGCCCACGAAGCTTTGGAGTGTAGTGTTCTCAGCGTGGGCCCGGCTCCTGGAGCTCGAGCGGACAACCGAACCCTTAACGATTATTTCCGGGGCGACGCGTTGCTGGTGTTGCGGTGTCTGCTGCTGCAGCGTCAGAATCCGGTCAAGTGGACGGCTCTCCTCGAGATGCAGTCGCACGAAGACGAGCGCCGGGGTACGGAGTTGCACGTTGAAGCGGAAACGCGAGTGGTGGGATACCTGCAGGTGCGGTTTCTGAAGCGTCTCAAGCAAACCAAACCGGATCTACTGGCTGACTGCGGATCTGAGATGCTGCATCGCATTTGCGGAATCATTGAAACCAACTATATGGTCATAGAGTTGCCCTCGGGAGTGGAGCTAAGTGGCCTGTTCCGGCAGGCCTGTATGATGGAGCACGCCTGCCAGCCCAACTGCTACTTCCAATTCGACGCCTTCACCCAGCAGATCACCGTCCGGGCAGGGTGTGATCTACAGAAGGGCGACCATTTAAGGATTGCCTATACCAACATCCTGTGGGGTACCCAGCTGCGTCAGCACCATCTCCGTCTCACGAAGCACTTCAGCTGCCACTGCGCCCGCTGTCTGGATCCCACGGAGAATGGGAGCTATGTGAGTGCCCTGGCCTGCCTGGGGGATGTGAATCAGTCCTGTACCGGCACCCAGCTGCCGGTGGATCCCCTGAACGAGGACACCCAGTGGAAATGTGACACCTGCCCAATGCTCGTGGATGCTGCCTACGTCGCCGAGCTCCAGACCCACATGACTGATCAGGTGGAGGGTCTGCTGGCAGGTCGCCCCACGGCTAAGGAGGTGGAGTTGCTGCTGGCCCGTCTCTCCCAGATGCTTCACCCTAACCACTTCCACATGTTCAACCTGAAGCACACACTAATCCAGCTCTATGGCAACGAAACCGGCCTGGAAATGGAGACTCTTAGCGACGGGCAGCTGGAGCGGAAACTAAGATTGTGCAAGGAGCTCCATGATGTTTGCCGGCGGATAGATCCCCACAGCATTAAACTAGCCATTTACGTCACGGTAATTCTAATCGAGATTGCTCATACCTTGGAGGAGCAATCTCGCAGGGCATCTCCAGATACTGACGTGGCTGGACTACTGGAACAGGCCCATGCTCGTCTCAAGGAGGCGGAAGAGGTTCTGGAAAAGGAACATGACTCCGTGGCCGGAAGGAAACTGAACGACAAACTGCAAAGGGAGATTTTCGAGTGCGAAAAATTGAACTTGACTCTTAAATATAGCCAGAAAACTGTTGCGGAATAAAATATAATGTTTTTGATTAATAAACAAAGTTTTTCCTAATTTAAAATAATAAGAGATTTTCTTGGAGTTTAATTTAAACCTACATACAATTCGTTTATTAATTTTGCTTATTTTGTACCCGGAAAGATTTTCATTTTAGAAGGAAAGAAGTTTTGAAAATCTGAGTTTTTAAAACATATTCTTAAACAGATTTTGTATTTTAAACAGTTGGTAGTTTAATATAAAAATAATTGTCTTTTCTTTAAATGGCTTTAAGTTAGATAAGCCTTTAACTAGGTGATAGTTTAAAGAACTACTTTCTTGACTACAATTGACGAAAAATATGAAGATTAAAGTTTAAAATTGATATTTTAATTATGGAACTGTTGAAATTTGAATTTTTAGACATATTCTCAAATTTAGTAACTCGAATTATTTTATTTTTTCAGAACGCCTATCCACACAAATATCGAATATATCTATGTATATTATATTTTTCCTCTACGCCACTGGCATATCGACCCGGCCCCCAAAACACAGAGAGAGAGAGATTATATATCCCAATCAGCTGGTGCCGGATCTGGTTGTTGTTTTTATCAAAATCAGAACTAAATTACCCAGCAAGAGAATAACATTTTAATATCAGAAAACATGCGTGCTGCGGTGTGGAGAAAGTTAATACCAGTGGTTTTTTCCACCCAGAACCCCTCAGTTTTACGTAATTTCCAGCGCGGAATGAGCCAAGATAATTCGGGTAATAAACAATCTTGTTATTTTGAATCAAAATAGTATTACGTAACATTTGTTTACCGGCCTATCTGAACCAGTGGTGCGTCTGAAGTACTATGACCGCAAGGATGCCTTCCTGGAGGACAGCATTAAGGTAAAGAACCCCTTCGCCCTGTTCAATGATTGGCTGGAACTGGCCCAAAAGACGCCAGGGGTGGAGGAGCCTACTACCGCCGCTTTGGCCACCGTAGGAGCTGACGGGAAGCCATCGAATCGCTTCCTGCTGGTCAAGGACTTCACCCCCGAAGGACCCATCTTCCTGACCAACTTTAGCAGCCGCAAAGCGGAGGACATTACTGCCAATCCCAATGTGGCTGTGTCGTTCTATTGGCTTCCCCTCCGGCGGAGTGTCCGGATCGAGGGCGTCGCTGAAAAAATTTCGGATGCCGAATCTGTAAAATATTTCAAGCACCGACCCCGAACGGCTCAAATAGCCGCCAATACTAGCCCTCAAAGTCAGGCTATAACCTCTCGAAAATATCTGGAAGATATACAAGCTGGAATCCAGAAGAAACTGGGAGAGGACACCGAGGTACCCCTGCCCAACTGGGGTGGCTATCTGGTTCGCCCATATGCCATAGAGTTCTGGCAAGGTCAGACGGATCGCCTCCACGATCGCATCCGGTTCAGGAAGGGCGCTGGAGTGGAATCTGAGGTTGATGGCAAGATAGTGCACAAGGGAGAGGATGGATGGGTTTATGAGCGATTGGCTCCTTAATTTCTAGTAAAATCTCAATAGATTTGTGCCTTTTTGTGCCAAAAAATTAAGTGGCAATTAAAATGTAAAGAGCATTTATAAACGTTCCTTTTTTAATAAAAAATATAAAAAATAAAAGCTTTAAAAAAAATAGACCAAACTAAAATATTCTTATTTCTTGAAAATGAATTTAAATTCAATTAAACAGAAAAATAAAAATAACGTTATTTTCGAGTCTAGTGGTATTTTTTAAGAACAAAAAATACCAAGAATCTGCAAGGAGGTGACAACTCTTTCAAAAACAGCTGTCATCAGATTAGCTTTTCGCTTATCAAATCCAAAGTTTGTTTAATTTAGGAATCTTTGATAAAGATTCTCTGGTAGATTACCAATAGTCTGACCGTGGACAAGTACTTCTTCGCTTTGCTAATTTTTGCCAATAATCAACCCTCAACCCCTCACAGTGAGACTCCTGAGGACAGTGCGCACAATGAGCCAAGCATCGTCCGAAGTGCAGCTTTCCGGTAAGATATTGATATTTAATATAGAATATAAAACCAAGATTTAATTATAATTGATTTCTTTTCCAAATAGCACTCCGTTTGAAGTACTGTGAACGGAAGGATGCCTTTCTAGAGGAGAACATCAAAGTTAAGAACCCTTTTTGCCTCTTCCGTGACTGGCTAGAATTGGCATTGAAAACTCCTGAGATTCTGGAACCCAATGCAGCTGCCTTGGCCACCGTGAGTCCAGCCGGGAAACCATCCAATCGCTTTGTGCTGGTTAAAGAAGCCACCGCCGAGGGCTTCACATTTTTCACCAACTATGGCAGTAGGAAGGCGGACGATATAAAGGCTAATCCCAATGTGGCCATTTCATTCTATTGGTTACCCCTACGCCGTAGCGTTCGTATTGAAGGTGTGGCCGAAAAAATTTCACCAGAGGATTCCCTAAAGTACTTTCATCAGCGTCCAAGAGCAAGTCAAATCGGAGCTGCCGCAAGTCCCCAAAGTCAACGGATTCCATCTCGCAACTATTTGGATGAAGTGGAGGCGGGTATCAAGCAAAAGCTGGGACCAGATGGAGAGGTGCCTCTGCCCAACTGGGGCGGCTACCTTGTCCGTCCAGACCTCATAGAGTTTTGGCAAGGTCAGACAGATCGCTTGCATGACCGGATTCGGTTTAGACGAGGCGACGAAGTGGAATCCGAAATTGATGGGAAACTCGTGCACAAGGGCGAAGATGGATGGGTCTATGAAAGACTGGCTCCCTAAATACTGTAATGCTCTTTACAATACTTGTGTATGTCTTCCAAATTTAAATGATACGATTAGCAAATTGGGTTATCAGCTTTAGTATAACTTGAATAGCGATATATGGAAACGTTTTTTTTTATAAAAGTTAACTCACATTCATAATGGCAAACATTACTGATCCATACAAGCGCAGTCTGCGGTCGAAGCGAACCTCCAAATACTGCAAGATATATCCAAAGATTAAAGTTAAATTCCACAATCCTCGATACCAACTTACCTCATAAGTGGAGGTGATGTTCAGGTCGTGGAAAACTGGTAAATAAAATACCCCCATCACCACTCCCATGCCGATGACTCCGGTGGCTACATAGAGATACTGCATTCCATAGGAGTACACTTCGGTGGGCAATCCGAGAAGGGTAATTCCGGATACGAAGCTGGCCACCAGTGAGAATGCAATTGGAATAACCAACATCTTGCGGCCACCCAGCATGTAATCGTCCTCGGAGACGGACTTCTTGAGGAACCCGAAATAGATACCGATGCCTATGCAGAGCATAAACATGGCCACGAAGGCCACATAATCCGGCCACGCGAAGCGCTGCAGCTCGCCCAGTACCTGCTCGATATTCGGCATGCTGACTAACCCACGTGGGATGGAGCTCGAGATCGTAAGCTGGACGAGATGTGTGTGACTCTCAGGTCGTTTGACGGTGCACTGAGCCCATACGCGGCACTGGGCGCCGAGATTTGGGTGCCTCTGATGCGACTACTGCTGTGATTCAATTCAATTCCCCTCAATTATCAATTGTGGGGTAATTTAGTTCTGGAGCACGGGGCGGCGACTATCTTTAGTTAAGCCGGCGAGCGGGGGAATTGCGACACCTCATCTCCAGTTCCGGGAACGTCTCATTGAGCATAGCTCCACTATTTTTGGATCACTAGCGCAGCTCTCGTCCGGATCAGATTGTCTGTGATACCGTGTTTTTTTTTTATGGATGCCTTGTAGGCAATTATGTCACCCACAACGCAAACTGATCTTGAAAAAATTCAAAAAGAACTAAGCGCCGACATAATCTCGGGACCAATCACAGCCAGAACCCGGAGGACGCACTATGGAGCTTCATTTTTAAAGGCCGTATCCAAAATGTAACGCCTAATTGGCCGTCGCGGAATTTTTACTGCTCTCCTCCGCCGGATTGGGCCGCTAGAGGATTGCACAAGAACAATGAGTGGGAGCCACGCGCTGCCGCCGGATCACTATATGTATAGCCATTCATGAAGCAGCAACCACCTGGCAGAGGGCCAGGAGAGCTGCACTGGGAGTGGGCTCAAGTGCAAGATCATTGCACTTGAAAAAATAGGGGTGTAACTACGTTCTTAAGAAAAGACTCTGATAAATCTTATAAAGGATATCCTAAAGATCGATGGACTAATTAAATTCAAAAATGAACACTTTATTAAAAATGCTAATGGATCGGATTTTTTCAAGTGAAGATGCTAAATCTGTGTATATAATATTTATATTTTATTATAATTAAAATGGTTTTCTGTCAAGTTGGCAGGTGTTTTTCAAAGAAAATGAATTTTTATTTAAATTAGACCAACTAAATTGTAAAAAAAAAACATTGCCTAATTTATTTAAATACTTTTTATTAGCATAACCCACAATTAAATTCATTTTACTAATATTATTATCTATTCATAGACACTGTGCTGTTTATATTTGTAAGATAACTTTAGTCATACTTTTTATATAATAACACTCACAAAATAACACTCATTAATGGGTATATTGTTTTTAATACTTTTTGTTGAAAAAAGTTTTTTAATCTTTGTTTTTTTGAGACCATAATAATTTTTTTCCGTGTTGTCCCTCAACTTGAACGCTTTTGTAACAATTTCCCTGAGCAATTTAATTATTTGGCGTCACTACCGGCATTTAGTTCGCTCTTCAGTATCCAGGAGGCAGCTCTCAGAGCTATGGCAACGATCGCCGAGTTGGGGTTCCCTGAGATGGGACGGGGCAGTATACTGGCGTCCACCACCCGCACATTGGCCACGCCATTCAATCTAAAAGAAACATATCATCATCGATTCTCACTTTCATATCCGGTAGTCCTTACCTTAGATGCGAATCCACAACGCTGCCCAAGGCGCAGGTTCCACCTGGATGATGAGATCCCAGACCAATGTGGCGCATTAGGCACTCCAGGTAGAGGTCGGAAGGATGGTGGTCAATGAAGTCCCGCTCAAATGGACCGAAATTGGAGCATTCTTGGAGCTTGGGCCAATGAATTCGGGGATGCAGTGATGCAAAGGAAGAGGAAGTGACTATCTAAAACGGGAGATTAATAATACATTTTAAAAAATTTACAACAATTTTTCGCTTCTCACTTTTACAGCACTGCGAATGGCTGCGATGTTGCAATCCACATCCTCTTGACTACTTAGATAGTTTGGATCTATGAGTGGATTCCTGCGCATATGACGATTTATAAGACCCACAGATCCTCGGGATCTTGGCTGAAGGCAACTGGAAATGACTACGAATCCCTCCTGAGACGAATTGTAATATCGTGGAAATAGGGCGCGAAATGCAGGTCCTTTGAAATTTGAAATAGACATCAGAGCCGCCTCGTCGATGGCTCCGGCTCCAAAAAAGGTAATGCCGAAGGGAAAGGGTCCCCCATGACTGGCGACGTTTCCTAATACTCCAAAGTTTCCCAGTGGCCCAGAGCCAGAGCTTAGAAAATTGATCAAAGTCATAGGATGCAGCAATGTGTTCTGGTTTAAGGTAGGTCCAACTACTCCCATTGAAACAAAGAGTGGAACGTTAAAGTGGTCGTGGAGGTTTTGTCCCACAGAGGGCAAATGGTGCTGCAGAGGTATACCCAACTTTTTCAACATGGAGCTGTCACCTATACCGGAGGCCAATAATAATTGTGGCGTTTGGTAGGCTCCTGCACAGAGGATCAGCTCTCTACCCACTTCGATGGTGAATTCCAACTCTTTGTTATTCTCATCTTTAATCCCAACTAGAACCGAGCTTGCCTGGGGTCTAGGGCTAGGAGTTAACTGAATCCTCTTCACCAAGGCTTCGGGTAAAAGGCGTAGATTGTGCCGATGGAGCACCACATTCAGAAATTGCTGTTGCACGGAATGGCGAAGGCCATGCTTGATATTGTACCTAGACCTATGAAAGGTCCAATCCTTGTGGGAAAACTGGGCCTGCGCCTCGTTTAGAGCTTCAGTAATCTTGGAGTAATCCCGTGGAATTTCAAACATGTCTGTTGGCTTCGCTTTGGCAGCCTCCATGAATGAACGCATCTTCCCCCAGCTCCAGTCATTCAGGTTGTACAGATCTCGCCAGCTATCAAAGTCCGGCCCATGGCCATCAAAGTGAAGCATGTAGTTTAAATTGGACGAACCTCCCAGCCCCTTGCCCCTCGGCAGGCACTGTCTTTTGTCAATCAATCCTTTAGAGGAGTTTTTTTGGGGCACTGATAGAAATGACCAGTCATTAATTCCTTTCTGCTGGAACGTTGTTAGAAGAGGTATCCGGCTAAGCAGTCCAAAAGGGCCACCGGCCTCGATTAGCAGTACACTGCCATTGCTGTGCTTTGCCAAGAGAGATGTCAACGTGCTTCCTCCAGTTCCAGCACCCACTTAAAAGAAAATCTTGAATAAACACTAGTTCTTTCGTGATTTATTATGCTTACCAATCACATAATCAAAGTCAAAGTGCCGTTCCTCTGGTGCTAGGACATTAGGAATCGAATCGCTTAAAAGAGCACCCACCAGGATAACGATAACTGACAGGAGGGCTATAAGTACACCTCCGAATACCAGGATTTCTGTAAAGGAAATATAATTGGAATTTTGTTATGTTTCTGTAGTAATCACTTACTTTGAAAATGCATGCCCATGCTGATTGGTGTGATGATGAAATTCAACTAGTTTAAGAGCGAGAACCATTGGTGGCCACGGACCTGGTCTAATCCAATTAAAACCCTGCAGGGGTGAGTCAGGGCGGTAAAATTTAAATTCAAATGCCTAGAGAGGCGAGCTTTAAAATCGATAACTTTTTAGAGGTGGAGCGGTTACCAGCTTTAGCCGTTACAGCAAGTTGGCACCCCCGCTATATCGGCGCACACAAACATATGTAAGTGCAACATCTAGTCTTTGTTATTGAATTTGCGTTCGAAGATCGGCGGAGCCGGACTATTTGATCGACTCCAGCCTGACCGGAGATAATATGCGGGTGTCGCTTATCACTTACCATTGGAGAACTGAAGCTGAAGCCCGAACAGCTGCTCTGCGGACGAAAACAAAAGCAGCAGCAGAAAGTAAAACAGAAGCTACAAACAATAGCCCCAGATAGAAGCGAAATCCGCAATCAGCAGTGAATGCCGAGCATTGATCACGGCATATGAGACCCACTTAGAAGTCAGGAGGCCGAACAATGAACCATACGTTGTAGAACCGTAGAAAACACCAGAGTTGTGAAGTCGCTAGGAGCAACAGGTGACCGAAGATGTCTCAACCAGAGGACCAGAATGTTCGTCAGCTGCTAGATTTGCTGCCCAAGGACCAAAGAAAAGTTTTCGAGGTGGGTTCAACACTTAAATTTAAATTAAAGCTGACTATAAACTAAATTAACCGAATTTTCAGAACTTCATAGAGTGGTTAGATGGCACGATCAAAGGAGCGGCTCATTCCCACCAGACCGAAGTCCAATCAGTACTCCAGGCATTCCCTTATCCCTCCCTGCAGTTGCTAAAGCTTCTCTACGATCGTTCCAAGTTGCACATTGGACACATCATCAGCTTTGTGCTGCGTCAATTGCTAGATGAAGAAGTCTCATCCCCAAGAGCCCTTTGTGTACTGGCTAACTTCCCTGGAAGCATATTGGAGGCGGCCACGCTGCGGAACAAACTGATGACGCGTCTGGCGAGTGATTCACCCAACAATGAGCATCTGATGCTGGCTCTATTGGCGCGAAATGAGGGCGAACTTTTGGAAGAACTACTACGGGAACAGGAGCTAGCTATGAGAAGGCAGTTTTGTGAGGTGGCACCATCCAGACAACTGGTTCTATGGCTGGCCCTTAGTCAGAGAGAGCACTTTGTGGCCAGCTTGTGTCAGCACCTCAAGGACTTTGAGTGCTTTCAAGATCGCACATTGAGAAATACTCTGTTAATCCTGCGGCTAGCCAATGAGTTTGCTTTGGGCACCCAAACCATTGATGAACTTGGCTGCCTGGATAAGAGCCTGGCGGAGTTTGATATGACTGCTGTCCCAGAAGAGCTGAGAAAAGTGCAGCAGTTTTTCTATGCAGACTTTCAACGCTTATCCACGCTGCTTAATTTTCTTAGGCCGCGGGACATAAGCAAAACCCTCAAAGTTGACTCATTATTACGGTCACCAAGCGTGCTATCATTGATACATGACCAAGGGATCACCTGTGATCCTCAGGATCTACTCCGACTGCTGGCGGAAACTCACAAGTGGCAGTTGCAGACACCTGCTTTGAAGAACTTCTATCAGCAGGATATGGAGATCCTTAGCTATTATACAACCCTCTGTCACGTATACGATGTAGTCCTTGAGCAGGGTGAGCAAAACTGCAAGGCAAAGATGGGCCAAATGTCGGTTCAGCTAAGACAAATACATCAATTGGGAACCTTGTGCTCGCTGCTAGAGGATATCTTTCTCCTGGTCTTTCTACGTTGGGAACAACTGGAGCAGAACCCGCAAAAGCGAAGGGAGGACGAGGACGACGATGAGGAGGATGACGATGAGCAGTATGTGGATGATGATGTTGCCAGTCCACCACGACCAACCGCCCCACTGACTCAACGATCCAGATACGGGTTCATCATTCGATCCCCTTCCCTAGAGGCGCTATTCACATTCCTTAAGATTTTTGTCACAAAGAAGTTGCACTCCCAGGAATTTAAATGCGCTACGGAGCATCAGCAACGTTTCCAGCGCTTGGTTGAAGCCATAAGCGAGGCCCTTTGGAAGCTGGGAGTGCTCCAGAAGATCGATCAATCGCTAGATAAGGTGTCGCCGTCGCTTACCTGTATTCTGGAGCCGGAGCAGCTTCTTCAGCTGGTGCAGCTCCACAGCACTGCCAAAGAGAAGGCCTCCAGTGACGATGAGAGCCGTGAACGCAGCAACCACGCATCAAGCTTGAATCGGAGAAAGGCCAAGAAGCAACGTCGTGCTGTAAGCTTCAGCGGAGCAGCTACGCCGAAGCCCTCCGCAGATGGAGGCCCCAGTATCGATCAGTGCCGGGCCCGAGCCCAACACTTTCTTTGCCCTGGTGGCAATCGAAAGAATTCGTGTGTCACTCCGGCCAGTAAACGATGCATTATTCCCAAGATGCTCAGCACTCCGGAGCAACTGGCCATCATGGCTTTGGCCCTTAAGAATTTCAACGATGTCAAGCAGATCATCGAGGTGAGCGGATTTATTATTTGTCATATTACGTTTTATAATCCATCGTTTCCAGACCTTTCATCTGGAGCAGAGCCAGCTGAGCCGGGAATTGCAGTTCATGGAGCAGCAGCAGCAGGTCAAGCGAAAGCTAGCCAAGATCTACTCCAACTACCAGGCTCTTGAGGCCCAGCAGCCAAACTCCGGAGAGACCACAGTGGAGCAAATCAAGGGTGTGGCGGCCAAAGGATTTGAGCTATCGAAGATCATTAGCGTGGTGGACAACTTTGCTCAGGCCCAGCGGCTACACCAGAGTCCTGAGCTTAAGGAGCTCATTCAGAAGCACAGTGGGCAACATGGATTCTTACAACAGTTCGAGGAACGCAATCTAAACGCCCTAATGATTTGCGATTTGATTATAAACCTTGGCTTCAACCGGGAAATCACCAGCAACCTACTTTTGGTCATTCGACGTCAGCAACAGCAGAGGATCCCCAGCGATGAATCGAATGGCTCCCCGGTTTCCTCGGAGATTGGAGCCATGAATCTCCTGCAGAATCTTTGCGAATGTATGCGCCTGTTGGAGCGATCCGGTCAGCAACCTGCTCTTAACCAGATGCTCTCCCTCCAAAGCTATCCTCTTCGGCCGGCTGTTTTGGCTTTACAGCTCCAGCGGGAGACTGCTTTCGAAGTAATCTACGGAAAGCAACCAATGGAATATGCCCATGGTGAAGAGCTCAGAGCGAACGCCGGACAGTTCCAGCAGCTACGCTCCAGGCACAACTACTATGCCAGATTTTGTAACTATGTGCATCAGCTGGCTCGTCTCTTGCAGCTCAGAGATCCCAATGTGGAGTACCACACAACGCAGCTCTTGAAAAACGATCCTTACGAAGTCATCGGGGAACTTATCTACGAGTGCGGAATAACGCCACTGGAGATTGAGGCTAGTGTGGCAGCACTGCATCTGAATTTGGTTCATGTGATCGCCCTTAACATATGTCCGCAACTGGGCGAAGAAACAACAGGAAGATCTCCACGTATAGTAGCAGCCCAGAAGCAGGAATCCATCCAAAACTATATTGCCCAGCACAATCAACTATTGGCCCAACTCCTGTGGGCTGTGCAACATGGTGATCTTCCGACTGGAGAAGAAGGATTGGACTTCACCTACCTCGGTAACTTGATGCAGCTGCCGGAGGTGGAAGTCCAGTCTGCCATGGACAACGGCAACAGAGTCTTGGCCGCCCTGAAAGCCTATAAGTTGGAAAGTTCTAGTTTGGAGAAGCTAGTGCCCAATCGAGAGCTTTTGCTGCAAATCCTCCTGCTAGGAACATGTGGACCAACTGAATCTCCGGAGCAGTTAAAGCGTCTAATAGACCGTTACATTGAAGAACTTATCGAACAGGACCCACGTAACATCCAACTGGTGGTGCATATGGGTGATCTTGGCAAGCGGGCTCACCTTTTGAAGGAGCACTTCACCCGCATTTCTAGCAGCCAGTTGGCCAAGGAGCTGATCGAGCGTTCGTTGCAGCATCGCCTGGCGGGTACGGCAATCCCACCGTTCCTACGCTCCCAGCTGGAGCACACCCTCTCCGATATAACCATATATGCCAGGGTATCGGCTCTCCTCCAGTTCGAGAGCTGGCCGCAGGCGTACGATTTTGGCCGCCAGACCCCAAATGTGATCTTCGAGCAGTTGCTGCAGCGGCGACGATTCAAACTGTGTTTGGAGTGGAGCCGAGTGGTGTTGCTTGCCAAATCTGAAGGGCAGCAGCGAGTCTGCCTGCTTACCCTACTGGATGCACTTCTGGAGCTTCAGGACGGCGAGGAGGTTGACGAGTCGCTGCTGGCAATTGTGGAAATGTTTCCGGCCAGTTCTTTGGTTAACTTCTTGGACACTCATAAGGATAAGTTCAGGTCCCTTTCGCTGCTCCAATGGGTCATCGATTACTTGGAGAGCCATGCCCGAGATCCTCGTTTGTACCGGAACTATCAGCTCTCCCTGGAAATGTTGCGCCAGATGGATGTCAGTGAACGTCCACATTTCTGGAAGTTGCTTCGGCATCCTCTACTCATCGTGGAACAGCTGGTGATGAACGCCCGATTCGAGCTGCTGGGCAAGCTGTTGGATGCCTGTCGGGTCAAGTTACAGAAGGAGAAACCCTTGGGACCGTGTCCGTACTGTTTTGAGAAGCGTGGTCACATCTACGATGTCCAACCAGGAGGTACTCCCTCCAAAATACGGTTTCAACTGGGACAAACCACATCGGAGGCTTTTATTCTTCTGAATTTCAACTCCTACCAACAGGATCACTTTGTGGGTCAGGAGTGCCTGGATCTGTTGCTACGAATTTACGCTAGCAAGGCCTTGGACTACAATGTGGCCAATGTACGGGCTCCTTCCGAGCCCAGCTCTTTGGGGACGGATGTGCAAAATTCGCTGGACTCGTTGTGCGGTGCCTTTGTGATGCCCAAGCATGCCCCCACCCGTCAGCAGTGGACCCGGGACGAAGAAGCCACCCACTGCATGTGTTGCAGAAGAGCAGCTTTCACCATGCTTATGCGTCGCCACCACTGTCGCCGATGCGGACGAGTGGTGTGCTATACTTGCTCCACCCATCGGATGCGCATCCCGGAGCTGTACGATGAGCTGGAGGTGCGCATCTGCAATGATTGCGCCAGCTGCTTGGCACCCAAGGGCCAATATGATGGGTCTTCCAGTGAAAGGAGCATCACTACCGGTTCAGGATCAGGATCTTCAGGGCAGGGTGAAAGTAGCAAGTGGCGGCTTAGCGGGATCATCACACACGATAAGCTCTTGCGCGAAGAGTTCTCCTACGAGCATGCCCCCAGTGTGGCGCTGAGTTTGTCCATTCTGAAAAATCACCACGAGCAGCGGAGTTGTGTGGAGCTGCTGCTGTTCCACTGTCGCAAGCTTGAGAAGTTGATTGACCCGAATCCAGAGGTGGACTATGGCCTGGTGGCCAAGATGATCAACTGTCTGTCCTTTGCAGCCAAGGTTCGTAAGAGCATTAGGAGCAACATCCATGTAATCTGCAATTTCCAAACCTTTTTTAGGTCCGTGGAGCACCTGCAGAGTTTGAAAACATTCGTGAACATTCGGAAATCATTATGGCAGTGGGTCATCAGGGTTGCGAATCCCTCATTCCGGCCGGACCACTTTCTGATCAGAATCTACGTAAATTGGCTGACGCCCTCGTCGAGGCTGAGCACTGGACCCTAGCCCTGGAAGTGCACCTTAAGTTTGGATTCGCCACCACGGGTGTGATGGCGGCCCACGGACTGGCCTGTCTTCGTGCTGGCTGCTATGAAGCTGGTAATTCTCTCCACATTTCTAACTCTCCAAAATATTTTATATCCTTTTCTTTTTGAATCATTAGCCAGGGAGAAGTTCTCCCACTGCATGACTCGTCTCTCCAGCGAGCAACTTAATAGTATCATTTACAAGAGCATGTTTGGAGCGGGTACCCAGGAAGCCTTGCTCTTGCCTAGAAAGCGTCCACAACGAGGACCAGCTTTGCTCCGGGAAATCCTGCAACTAATAGCTGCTATGCCGCAATCCCAACCACAGCCCGAGACGCTCCAGCGGGCCTCGCTGATTCGAAGTTCCAATTCCTCACTCGTCTCGCTTTTCTCGCGAAGAAGAGAGCCTTACGTGCAGCAGCGACCGCTCCAGGAGCCGGCTTTAAATGTAATGAATGTTCTGGCCGGTCTCAAAAACATTACCAAAGGAAACTATGGAGCTTGGACTACTCCTCTCGAGGAAAATCGCAGACAGGAGCGGGGCTTCGAGGAATCCCTCCACTATGTGCTCACCTATGGCAGCCATGGCGATATCCTCGCCTTCTTGCTTGGACGCAATGAGCTTCGGGCAGCATTGCGCTATTGGAAGCACCAACAGTTGGACGCGGATCTGTTTATCCAGCACATCTTCCAGCCTCAACTAGAAAGCGGCTCACTTCCCCATTTGGTAGATGAACTGCAGCAACTCGACGATGCTCAGTTGAACGCATGGCGATTACCGCTCTTGCAAACCTGTCGCCACCTGGAGCAGCATCAGCAGCTTAACTCCCTGTATCAGCTGCAACTCCTCCTGAAGGATCCGATTCGGGCTAGCATGACCTGCGTCAAATTTTACCCACTGCAATGCGAGAACTTCCAGAAGTTGCACGCCAACGCCCAGCACCTGCTCTCAGCTCAGATGCACCTGCAGGGCGAACTGGACCTGGCCGAGTGGGAGCTTCTGCAGCGGCAGCAGGGACGACGCGGTAGCATAGCCAGTTTTGCCAGTGTTCGAGGCGCCTGCTTCGCCATGCAAATGGATGCTAGAGCGCTCAATGGACACATCAACACCATCCGCCGACAAATGGAGGTGGCCAAGTTTCTAGCACTCTGCGAACGCGAGCAACCGCCCGATGAGCCACTTCGGACTCTACAAGCTCTCAAGCAGGTACTATAACAAGGTTATCCAAAGTTTATATAGAACAAGATATATTTCTTACGTATTTATTGTCCTTTCTATGTAGATACGTCTGGAATCCAACAGAGCCACTCTTCCCACGCTGTTTGAAGGAGCCTCGGATCGCATTCAAATATGTATCCTGATTTTGCTGTGTGGTAAAAATATTGAGGAAGGTTTTGGCCTGGCATACGGGTAAGGTGGAATAATATATTATATGTAAGATTATGCTAATAAATGCTAATATTTTCCAGAATTATACAAGACTACAAGTTGGCCACAATAAAAGTGTTCGGAGCCACCGCCAAATATCTAGCTCGCAATAAACGTCTGACGGAGGTTGAGCGTCTGGTGGCGTGCATTGGCAGCAATAATGGCGGTTCCATTTCCACCGAAACCGATGAGATTCTCTCGACTGCCGTCAACGCCGCTGTCCATAGCAATGCACCAGAAACCAATCAAATTCTCGATCGGCTGATCCAGCGCATCGGAAGTGTGGAGCTGCGCATATCCTCGTACATATACATCGGTCAACTTAAGGCCGCCTATATGCTAGCCAACATGCATGGACGCTTGGACGACGTCAAGCGCATTCAGCGCCAGGCTGAGCTCACCGGTCAAGTGGCCATAAAGAAGCTGTGCGAGAAGAAGCTCAAGTTCAGCGCCTCTCTAACGCCTATGTGATATTTCAAACCCTCGGGCCAAACCCATTTTATACAATTATATTGCATAGGACTTTTAAAGGTTTTCCGATAATGGTGGTACAAAAAATGGCATCGAATTTTAGGATTATTATAATATTACCACTATAGACGGTCCTTTGAAAGTCCCACGTATTTTATGTCTGGGCTAGGATAGGAAATTCGTTTTTAGAAACTAAAACTTTTGTAGATCAATTTTAACCTTCCAAAGGGCCAGCAAGTATTCTACCCTCTCGAGCTCAAAGACTCCCAACTAACCAAATTATATTATTGATTGTACTGTATTATTTTAATGTTATCAATGTTTATATATATTAAATATACTGTTATATGTTTATTATAATACCTGTGGTTTAAAATCGTAAATCCTAAAAGCTTTGGCGGGTTTATTTGAATTTTGGGTACTAGTTCTAGTTGTGTCGCGTAGCTTACAACACTGTTTTACATGCGGCATCTCCTTAATACATTTTGATATTAAAATTAAATAAACAGGGCCATGAGGGCTGTTATACAAAGAGTTAAGGCCGCCAAGGTGACGGGTATGTATATCATTACCAATTTTCGGGTCATGCCTTCATCAATCTTCTAATCCAAGTGCTGGATGATCTGATCTCCTCCATCGGACCTGGTTTGTGTGTTCTGGTGGGAATTAAGGCTAGCGACACCCTCACCGATGTGGATTATCTGTAGGTAATTCCAACCGTAGGCTAATCCTAATACCCCATTTATGATAAACTCATCATTTCTCAAGGGTCCGGAAAATTTTGGCCCTGCGTTTGTTTGAAGAAAATGAAAAGAGATGGCAAAAGTCCGTCAAAGACCTAAACCTGGAGATTCTATGTGTGTCCCAGTTTACATTATACCACCGACTCAAGGGTAATAAACCAGATTTCTCGGCAGCCATGAAAGGTGAAGAGGCCCAGCAACTGTACAATCAATTCCTGGAACGCCTGGGTAAATCCTACGACCCCATCAAGATAAAAGGTAACAAAACTTGCCCTTTTCTTTATGCATTTATAAACTAAATATATTTCTTAATCAGATGGAAAATTTGGAGCGTACATGCAGGTGCATATAGAAAACGACGGACCCGTGACCATAAATTTGGAATCTCCTGACCAAAATCAGGGCGATGAAGGAGTGGAAAAGTGATTTGTACGATTTATAAACAAGGAAAAGCACATATCTATATACCACGGGGTTTTTATTACATGTATTTTAATCAGGTGACTTAAAACTAACTTCAGTATGCGGGTACTTAGGCTTCTAACATCTCCAGATCTTCGATTCCCATGCCTTCCTCGAGCCTCTTTTCTAGCTCGCGAGCATCCACATAGGTGATCTTTTCCTCGGGCAGATCCTCCTCCATGAGGGCGGCTTCCTCGGCCGCCTCCTTGGCGCGACGCTCCTTGAGACCAGCGGCCGGGGAACGAATAAGAGACATGTTGCGCTGTACGTCCTTAACGTCCATCTGGATCTCGATCTCGCGACCCTTACGCAGGCGCTCCATAACGAAGTGGTTCTGGCGACGCTCCTTAATTTCGGTCACCTTCTTGATGGCTTCCAAGGCCTTCTGCCAGGTTTCACGGCTGTATTTGATTGGCACATTACGGCGCTTCTCGAACTCGAAACTGGGCTCGATAGCCAACTCCTTTCCGGCAGCCTTGCGATGTGCCTTTGTCCATCCAACCTTGCGGGGGTTCTTCTTCCGCTTGAAGGCCTTATGGCACTTCCCCCGACAGAATTTAAAGATCTACAGTTAAAAGAAGGTAATCAAAATAAACACCCAAACACATGTAAACAGTGCAACAAATCCGACTTACCTTGCAATCATTTCGAACAAAATTCACCCCGTGGCCTGGGTATATTTTGCTAGAGCAAAAATAACACGTTTCAATGCGCATTTTCGCAAATTACGTCGAATAATTTGCGAAAAATAACAAAACGCAGGCAGCAAGCACGTGTGCTGCTGAAGAAGAAGAACGAGAAAAGTATATCGACAATAAACAGTGCTATGAAACGATTATACAAATATCGATAGTTACGCGATATTATTATTAATTTATTTATACATTTTTATTATTCAAATTTGAGTCTTTTCTTTAAAAAAATCATAAGGAAATTCTAGTGATTTATAATAAATTTTCTAAAATAAAACCCTGTTCCTTTGAAGTTTTTTACTAATAGCAACAAGTGGTTGTCTATCGATGTTAGCATCGCCGTATTTTGAATTTAAACAAGAGGCCTATGTTATCTTTAATTTATATTTATAAATATACACTCTTGTATACCTATTTTATGTAAAATTTTAGGGTGTTTTTAAAATGTCCCGGAAATATATCTCCGCCTGATTCCTCTTGCAAGCAGCTGATGCGACAGCTGATGAGTCTGTATCACGCTGGTCACACTTCTAGCATCTAAACAATATCTTCGCAGACTCGAAAAATTGGACACATCACCTGGGACGCAAATTTGCTGACGTGCGACGAGCGTAGCAGCGCAGCAGCTAGATGCAGAGCTCCGCCTTCGCGTACAGGGAACCCGCAGATCATTCGCCCGCGTCCCGCGCCATGTATATGCGCGACTGGCGCTCGGCCCTGCGTACGCCCACATACCGGATAGGGAACCGGACGGTGCGCTTCAACTACCACTTCGCCTTGCTGATATCCTGCGCACTGGTTCTTGCCCTGCTGTTTTTCTTTGCCCGCCAAGGCTCGCATTCATCCTCCGAAGGCTACTGGCTGCGTCGCAATTTCGCGGATGCTGCCTCTATCAAGTTGGAGAATGTACCGGTGACCCACGTCTACAATTCTACCTATCCTCTAACGCCACCAGTGGTGTTGCGTGGTGGAGTCATTAGTTACCGAATAGCTATCATTGCTGACCTGGACACTAATTCAAAGGTAAACAAAGGCGATGGTAGCACAACGTGGCGAAGTTATCTCAAGAAGGGCTACCTCACTTACACCGTGGCCCGGTCCGAGATACAGATTAGCTGGGATGATGGAGCGCCCACAGCTTTGGAGTCTTCCTTTGCCTTGAAAGGCCGCGGAATGGAGCTCTCCGAACTGGTTACCTTCAACGGTAAACTACTCAGTTTCGACGACCGCACTGGGCTGATATACGAAATAGCGAATGACAAGCCCATACCCTGGGTGATCCTGCTCGACGGTGACGGACACAGCGCCAAGGGCTTTAAATCGGAGTGGGCCACCGTGAAGCAGCAGACGCTGTACGTGGGCTCCATGGGTAAGGAGTGGACTACAAGTGCGGGTGACTTCGAGAACAACAACCCCATGTACGTAAAAGCAATCACAACTGGCGGCGAGGTTCGGTCCCTTAATTGGGTGAACAACTTCAAGCAACTACGCCTGCATTCTCAGCAGATATCCTGGCCGGGCTACATGATTCATGAAAGTGGCGCCTGGTCGGATATCAAGCAGCGCTGGTTTTTCCTGCCTCGACGCTGTTCCAAGGAAAAGTAAGATTTAATTATTCGATTTAAGAGGAAGGTATAACCGAACCCCGTTTCAGGTACAACGAAACAAAGGACGAGCACATGGGCTGCAATGTCCTGATCTCAGCTGACGATAGCTTTACCAATGTGGAAACGGTTAAGCTCGATCCTGAGAACACAGCCCCGACGCATGGATTCTCAAGCTTTAAGTTCCTGCCAGGCACCGATGACTCCATAATTGTGGCCCTCAAGTCTGAGGAATTGAACGGAAAGACGGCCACCTTCATCACAGCTTTTGACACCACTGGCAAGACACTGCTGCCCGAGCTGCGAATCGAGACGGAGTACAAGTACGAGGGATTCGAGTTTATTTAGCCCAACTGGCTAAACCAGGCTTCTCCATACTCCAATTCGCACTAATTCAGGTGCTTCAGATTTAAGCTTGTACATAATGTATTAGTGTTCCATACGGTAAGCTTTATATTTATAGTCGGCTAGGTTAGTCCAGATATGCTCATCTGCCTCGTGACCCGTGACTTCATGTATTTTCTTGTACCATAGCACAAATCAAATTTTAGTTTATGTTTAATGAAATTTAAATACAAAACGTACAAAGCCCGTGGCAAAGTAATTAAGACACTGAATTATCCGATCTTTGGTTTTGCTTCCAATCCGGCCACCAATAGATCGGCTTCGTCCACACGACCCTCATTGGCCCGAACCTCCAAACGGTCTACGTTATGGTTTACGCTCCACAGTTCGGGTAAAAAGCGTGGCTGCATGGTATGTAAGAAATGCTCTCTCCAAAGTCGTTCCAGCTCGACAAGGCCACCAAACTGGTCACGGTATCGCTGGACCACCCGTTCTCCGTGCTGACAGTATTCAGAGTTCGCCACTCGGTAGTCGACTTCGACTGCTTGTCGCAATAGAGCTTCGTTGACCTCTGTAGAGTCTGTGTAAAAATCGAGAAGGGTTTGCTCCATTAATGCTACTTTTGCAGCTGGTATCTTGTCGCCATGATACAGAAGGGCCTTTCCTGCTGAGTGGACGCGTCTGAAAGTATACAGAGAAACATTAACTCAAATATCTAATGAGACTGTACAAGAATGTATCTCATAAACAGATGTTTCGGAAGTGCCACAATGCTGATAAAAAGCAAATATAGCTAATAAATGACTTATATGCTTACTTCAGTTCTGGGTCGTCGTGGTACTTAACCATTCCATCGCAGTGTTTGAATGGAGCATCGCACTGGACGGCAAGTTTATTCTTCACCCGTAAGTCTGAGATGTTACTCAGTTGATGGCAGCTGGGGCAGAGTAGCAACACGTCGTGGGAGGTGTGAGATTTCATTACAACCGGGAAGTGCCTTCTGTACTCTCGAGGGACAACGTTTTTCCGGAGATAGGCATCGCCGTGGCCGCAGACCACACAGCGATTCTCCTTAGGTGTCTGGTAGTACCGACCTACCTCACCCACTGCCCGGCCAGCAGGCTCAAAATTTAGACGCACCGTTAAGGGCTCATCAGAAATACGAGTGCCCAGATTTTGATCCACATACCATGATGCTTTGCGACGATCAATGGTACACAAGAGCTCGCCGTCTGGAGCCTGAAGGAAGCAGTTGTCATAGAACGCCTTGGACTGGGTGACAAGCTGACGATACTGCTGCTTTTTAGGGAGAAATTTCTTCTCTTTATATGGACCTGTCCCGGATCCCGCCTTATTTCGAGTCACTCCGCTGCCAGAAACGCTGAGCGAGAAGCCTTTCGTAAAGTCCACGTCGAGGAAGGGTTCAAACTTCTGTCGCAGACTTTGATCATTCAACTCTCGCCGATCCCAAAAGTGTCTGGGCTCCAGATCTTTGCACAACTTTTGGTATATTGCGACAGCCACCAGGGCATCATTGGCGGCATAGTTCAGTTGAGGTGGCTCCAGCTGCTTCGCCTCCCAGTTGGAGCAGGCCAGTCGCCAGCTCTTGTCCAGCGGATAGTCAAGATGTGTAAACGACAGCTTTCCAAGACCCTCTGGCTTGTGACCCGCCATGACGCACAAAAAGCGTAGGTCAAGTGTACTAGCCACACCCACACCGTAGTCGTGGGATAGCTTCATGGCATCCTCTTGAGGAGCCACACCGACCTTAATAACAGCATCGTCCTCGAGCAACTCTCGCAGATCCTTGGGTATCTGCTTCATATGGCACAAACGGAAGAGGGCACACAATCCTTGGTGGGAGCTTAGTTGAAGCAGGGCCACCGGTCGGCGACTGCCACCCACCGTAATCCATTCGCAGTCGAATCCTAACACCTTGAATTTCTGGCAGTGTCTGAGGGAGGAGCAAGTTAAGATAATTGTAATTACTCATTTTATTAAATCTCACTGTTTCAGTTCTTTGATTATAAGTTGCGTGGCAGGATCCTGGGCGGAGTTGATCACTTCAACCCGCCGGTTCCGTAGAATGTCGCCACGGGGCAAGACCCGCAGCAAGGGTGCAAGCAGCGACTTTCGATGTCGCACCAAAACATAGACTAGGCCAACTCCAGCAGCTACAAGTGCCCATTTTCTTGTGTTGGACGGTCCTCCAGATTCCTTACTCATTGTTTTCGTTTTCCAAAAGCTAAGAAACAGCTGATCACCAGGGCTGGCAGCCTAAATGATCTTAAAATAAAGTAAAACGGACAATCTGGCAGTACTAGCTTTAAATAACTAAGCTGAATAAATGATTAAAAATTCAAATTGGTTTTAAAAATAAAACAGGCATATAATTACAGAAAGATTATATTTATATGATCGCTACAAAGTCCATATAAGAAAGAAAATCACATACCATTTATATAGAAATAAATGTTATGAAAAATATATTTCCTTAAAAATATTTGTAATATTAGTAAGCTCCAATAGAATTAAAACTAAGTTACTTCTTTTTTTAAATTTTAATTTGGCGGGGAAAATCGGTTATCGGACTATCGAAGTTCTCGATTCAAAAACAACCTAGGTGAACAAGTTCAAGTTCAGCCAGCTGATCCGATTTGTTTTGGTTTTTCATGTGATATAACATAATAAGAAAAATTAAGCGAGAAAAGCCGTTGGGAGCAACTACAATGTTCCAACACGGGCACCTACTGCTCTGGCGGTCAGTAATAGCGCGCAACCTGCACACCTCTCTCGTCCAGCAAATGAGCCACTACGAGTCTTTGGGAATCGGAAAACAATCCACGCAGAACGAAATCAAGGCTGCATATTACAAGCTTTCCATGCTTTACCATCCCGACAAGAACCAAGGAAGCGAAAGTGCGGCTAAGAAGTTTAGAGAAATCAATCAGGCTTACGAGGTGCTTGGTAACTACAGATTGCGGAGGTTGTATGACAAGGGAATTGTGCACACCGCTGGTGCACAATACTCACAGAATGTTCAGGATTATCCCGATCCCGTCGTGGAGGACGATCCAGAAACGAAATTCTACAAATCCCGCTTTCAGAAGTCAAAGGTGGCCGACTCCGAGGGACGGACTCCAATCTACGATTTTGACGAATGGTCCCGGTGCCACTACGGAAAGTCGTTCGACCGTAGACAGGCTGCTCAGGCAAAGCACGAACGAATCAGAGTACAAAAAGAGGCTAACCAGATTTCGGGTCAGACGGATTTGGTTTTGCTATCACTGCTCTTTGCCGGAGTTTCATTATATCTCATGTTCCTGGCGGAGAGCTCCTATGATAATCCAAAAACGCGAGCGGAAGAGCGGCACAAACGGTTAAGAGAGGAGCAAGGTCGGGTAGCCAAGGAATAGTATAACTTGAATCCGGCATAAGCATAGGTTTAGGCTTTAATGTTTTAATGAAGATGTCTGTTTTTGTGGATAGGAATCGAAAGGCCTTAGTTTTCAAGACACTAAGTTGCTAAATAAATTATGAATAAGGAAGCCTCCATGAGAATGTGAATTCAAATGTGTAAATAAATAGACAATTTCATGACGAGATTAACAAAATTAACTTTAATTAAAATCTTCCGCTGCGTTTTCGAGCAGTGTATTTTGTATCTGGACGTGTTTCCAATCCCTGGCGACGTCTGCGCTCTTTCTTGGCCAAAATCCAATCCCTGGACTTCTTGGGCGCCTTGCCGCGGGCTTCACGACAAGCATCGCGTTTTTTAATGTAGTTGACCCGTCGCTCTTCTTCTGGAGAACCTATATGAAGAAATCAAATAATTATGATCGATGATTGATAAAAAGAATAACTAAATCTTACCCAGCGCTTTTGGCAGTTCGGCAGCGCCTCCAGTCATTAGAACCAGGTAATATTTCTTGGCTTTGGCAGAGTTTGGATAATCGACAACCAAGCCGCCGTAGAAACCCGCCTTCATTGCCTGCGAGGTAACCATTTCGATTTGGTCCGAGTTCTCCGGATAAAATTGGAAAACAGCGCGAGCAGTACGGGTTAAGCAAGAGAACAGAGTTGTAAAAAACTTAAGTAGTCTCTTGTGCGGATTGTGATACGACTTGTCGGCGTTGCACAGCCACTGGAGGGCAGAGATCGAGATGGCTCCATCAAACGTTCCTGGTTTAAACGGCATTCCCTCGCCCATATCACCCAAGATAACATCTCCAGCCACTTCCCGTTCGACGGCTATGTCGAGCATTGATTTAGATATGTCTATTCCGATCCACATATGATCACTGTCCTCTAGAACGCTGCCTGAAAGGCCGGAACCGCAGCCTATATCCAAAATCAAGCGGGATTCATCATCATCTGGAAGCGCCAGCAGTTCTAAGGCACGTTCGGCCATTTCTACTTGGATCTCAATGATGCGGGTGCTAAAATGTTAATAATTTCACATCAATAATAGTCACAATATTGTAAAATATGATGCTTACTTTGTGGAGTACTTCTTGGCCTCATCGTCGTTGTAGAACTAAATAAATTGCAATCATCAGTATATATCTTGAGTTTAATATATTAATATTTACGATTTCTGGCGGCGCTGAATGCTCGGGTCTCCTGGCCATTTTGACAGTTTCTTTCTAAATTTTAATAAAAAGGTAGCGTTCTTAAATAAACAAACGAACCAAACACACGTGCAAAGAAAACAGCTGTTTTGTTATCGGGAATCCGATACCAACCTGCGGGTGGCCAGTTCCCACAACAAAACAAGTGGACAGCTCCACACGCCCCGCGAGTGGACAGTTTTACATATCAGTGAAAAACATAGCAGTGAAAATTCGTGAAAAGTGCTATTTTCCCTGTTAACTCAAAGCAATAATCATGTGAAGAATGCAATTTAAAGCAAACACTTATCAGTGAACACAGTGAAACGGTGAGTTGTGATAGAAAACTCCGGCAAAATTCATTGGAGGAGAACATTTGCATGAAAGTGTGGGTGCTAGGGTGTGAGTAGAGAAATGGTTACCTGTGCTAGTATTTGTGGGATACTTCTGACGCGTCAACAAATAATTATGGCTAGAGTGTAATGCTAATTAACGTAGTTATTTTTGTTAACAGAAATGCTTATATAAACTTTTATGGATGTCTTCTAGAGTGCCAATTGGCGAACGAAACCCGTTAACCAGTTAACCCGCTATGTCGACTCGTTTACCTTGCTCCCTTTTACTCAAAAAAAGCGAAATTTCCTCTAGCCAAAAAAAGAAGAAATAAACAATAACAAAAGCAGGTTAAAAGACTCTCACAGGTAGAAGTCATGCTCTCGTTATGGCATCTCCTTAGCGCTCTCTTTACAGCTGTTTCTCTCTCGACTCCCCTCTTATCACAGATCAATAAAATGATTCAGTGGCTGTCAAACCAGTGAAATACATTTCAAACTGCATTACAAATTGCATTTTTAAGATGTACCTTTTTTTTTTGCGAAATAAATAAAGCACCCGAATTCAGGTTTATATGCGGCTTTGTTTGTATGTAGTTTTTGCATATTTATGAGCCCATCGGCACGGCTCGGCCCAAAACTGGTTCTTCTTTTTGGCAACGGAACATCTTTCACTCTTTCCAAGAACAACATTCCCAATCCCAATCCCCATTCGGTGGTTACAAAATTGACGCAACAAGACGCGCTCGCGGTCGCTGGCCTCTCCACTCAACAAGTTTGCCAAAACCCCCAAAACGAAGCAGCAGGTGGGAATTCAGAAGCGGTATATGGAGACATGGATACCCTTTCAAAGGAATGGGTTCAACATTCTGGATAAAAATTTAAAAGATAATGAGAAATAAAGAATAGATATTTTATTCCTTGTTCTATCAAGCTTATTAAAGACCATTATATAACTATTACCCCCTTTTATTAAGTTAGTTTCTTAATAAATTCATAACTAAGAACAATATGTCCATACCTCCTTCGCAAGTCAGTGTATAAACTACAACCGAACCCGCAAACTGACATCCATTTTGGAAACCAGATACAGATACTGGGGACAAAGACTTCCACAGACAGATACAGATACAACTGGAGAGCCAACTACAGATGCTCACAGGCTGCTGGGAAGAAGAGTCGGTCGGGCCTCAGTTGTGCGCCTCCAGTTCCCCAGAGCAAACCAAGTCGTTCCCGCCGGAAGAAAGTAAGGAAAGAAGATCAAGAAATGCGCAGCAGTGTGGTGATTAGGCCACTGCTGGTGGTTCTGCTATTGGGTCACCTGTCGTCTCCCGTTGAACCTGCTAACCTGCTGACCAGCTTTCTGCCGGCCTCCATGCAGGCACTGGCCTATTACATAGACCTTCTCCAGTATGAGCCACTTTCGAGCACAACGGTGGAGCCGCCTTTCAGTGCGGACGATGGAGGAGAATCCACCACAACCAGTGCACCCCCGCCAACAACGGCGAGGCCCACAAGAGCGAGGACTACTACCAGGCGACCGGGATCTTCCTCCTCTGGCTGGTGGCAGCCACCGAGCTGGTGGGAGACTCCCCAAAGAACCACCACCACGGAGAAACCAAGTGCACCGCCCACTCCCCCGCATCACCCCGCTATTTTTGCACCGCCTTCCCATTTAGAAGCCGCCAAAGTACTCGAGGGTCATGACCTCTTCGGAGAGATTGGCGATGATGCGGACTTTGACAAGCTGCCTCTATCGTTGATTCGCGACATTCAATCGGAAAACGAAGACTTCACCAACGATGTTGAATCGCTGGACAACTTTTTGCGGCTCTACGACGACAACTACGGACGGGCGGCATTCGATTTCGAGTCTGCGATGGATCGCTGGAGCAGTGCCTCCATAGCGGGCAAGAAGAGAGTGCCACCCACCAAGCCCTACGTGGACTTTCTGCTGGTATACGATCTGCTGAAGCGAGACGCCAAGGCCAACAACCTCAGCAAGTACGAAGGATACTCCGAGGACTTGCTCGAGCAGCTCCACGAACTGTCCCAAGCTTCGTCCGCCCGACAGCTACACACTCTCTTCCAGAGGATGTTGCTGCGGGGTGATATCCAGCGAAGCGACGTAGTTTCCCGCGTCCAGGGCATCATCAAGGACCTGGGGAACCCGAACAGTCCCACCTCCAAGGCGTTGACTTACATCCCCAGTATGCAGTTTCTACCCTAAGATCTTAGGATAAGTCGCAATAAAGTCGAGAAACGAGTGGACCTCATAGTTCTGTGTGGAATTTTTAATGATTTTACGGATTGGGGCCATCAAGCCAGACATTATACTATAAAAAATCAAACTCTTAATATACTTATAGATTTCTTTAATAATCAATAAAAAATGGAATGTATTACGACTATTTTTTGCTTAATAACTATCTTTATAGATCAGGTTTTAGTTAGTTCTTCAGTAAAAAGTTTATTGATTGCCCCAAATGCCCCGTCATATGCCACACATTCGCGACCGGAAACGCCACTTAAACTAGCCCGCTAGGACACACCTCCTTTCCATTAACCCTTATTCGTGTTGACTAACTGGCCAAACTGACACATTGACACAATTGCGGGTTAATGTATTGCCGATAAAATCAGCCGGTTACTATTTGTTGTTTTTGTTGCATTTCGCATCAGCTGCGATGCTGTATTTGCGACGTCATCAACGAACGGCTCTTGCTCTCTTGCTTTCTCCCACCCTATCGCTCTTTCTCTCCGCCCACCCTGCTATGATTTGCTTTCTCTCCTAGGCGCTCTGGCTCTCTACTCTCCGATTACACTTAAAAAAAAAAAAGCTTTTAAGAATTTTAAATATTTTATTATTTACTTTGATTGAGAAGGAATTTTAATAATGGCTTAGACGTTTTTTTTATTTTGAAAAATATAAAAATTAGTAAAAGAGTACCTACTTTTTCTTGCAGTGCATTGAGTTTGATTTTCGCAAGCCCAAAGTACTCTCTCGCCGAGTCGCGGGTTCACTTTGTTTTTGTACTCGGGGCGCGTAGCAAGTGTTGGCGGATCTGGCTCGGCCTGTTCTTCCGCAAAAGTTCCGCTTTAAATCCCCCCCTCTTATTCGGCCAATTTTCTATTTAAGCCATTAAGTGACTAGCTAGTGAAAAATTAATAGCATAATTGATATTGCAACGCGAACGCAATCGATTTAAGACCGCACCACATACTGGTGTTTGTGGAAAAGTTATTGATTTACGTGAAAGTTTGCGGGCTGCTGCAGAAGAAAGTTTTCTTCGAGAAATGGCTTAAAAAAAAAAAAAAAAAAGGCGAAACAATGGAAAACTTAAACTTTGCACGCACGCCGCAATTTCTGCGCAAAGTTATCTACGAGGCGCGCAGGTAAATGCAGCAAAAAAATAAAAAAAACAATGCAGAGGGGCGGTGGCTGGGGGGTGGTTGGTAAAAGTCAAGCCAACGCACCATCTCCCACCCCCTGAAAAGGAATAACCACCCGCCGGTGAACGGGACACCCTGTTTTTATTTTTTTAGGGGACATGTCTAGCCGGGATTTCCATTCCATGGCTGCTTCTAGACTTCTTTTTTTTCTCGTTTGTTGCACCTTACAGGTTTTACTTGTTCTCCTTATGGAGGAGACGGAGACGGACAGGGGGGAGGGGCTGGCTGAAAGGTCCAGCAGCCCGGCTGTGTCTTATGTAACTCGAGCCTGGTCGACGTCAATGGTGCGGTGTCCTCATGCCATACAGCCCCTTATAAGACCCCTTTCAGTGTGTATCGTATGGGGCATGTGCAACACGCGACACTCGAGGCGACCGCAAACAAAGGCGGGGAGACAACAAAGAACCCCTTAAAGATACCCCCTTTCTGGACCCGGCCCGGGACACCCTCGAAGAGTTAAATTAGTCATAGGAATCGACATGAAGTCATCTTGCATAAGCTTAAGCTTATAGGATTTTTAATATTTAAGATTTATCTAAAACTTAAACTAAAAATACATTTTATAGGGTATTCCCCAAGGTCTTGTCCTGTAATGCACCCATTCCCCACCCATTATGGTCCTTTGTTTCGGCCACCCCATTACCCATAGCCGGCGGAAAACATTTCGTGCAGGACGAGGACATGACCCCCATACCATACTTGAATTTTCCGAAGGAAAAGTCTTTGTTTTGGATTAATAATTTGGCTCCTCTTGACTTTGCCATCTGTGTCAATGGGCGGCCTGGTATTGGGCCCAAGGCGACAGCTCTTTCCCGCACTTATCACATCCGAAACTGGATGGATGGATGTGTGGGTGTTTTGGATAAAAAAAAAGAAATAAATGGGGCGACTGTGGGTGGGTTGGGGGAGGGAATCTCTAGTGGTAGATGGTGCAGCTTCCGTTCGAAGCGTGCCAAGCGATAAGTTCCAATATGTGTATCGATGGATTCTGAATATGTTTCTTTTCTCTCACAGTCTGGGGCACAATCATCATCATCATCATCATCACAGCCATATATATAGCGAGAGTGATGCATACTTTTCAACAATAGAATTCAATGGAAACCCCAATCCCAACCCCATCCATTAAGTGATGGATAGAGAGGCTGTTAAGAATATTTTAATATTTAAAACAATGCCAGTAATATGATCTCCAAATATGATAATTGATTAGCCAGCTGTTGTTACAAATAATAAGTAGAATCAAATGACAAGGTCATAGTCTCGAGTCTCGAGAGTCTCCACCCACACTACCATCATCCACCAGCCCATATGTTGAGTTTAATTAACGAAACATTCCGCAATTTATAATTTGTTTGTTTTTCGCTCTTTCCAGATCGTTCATTCACAGCGATTCTGCCGCGACCGCATCTGCTGCTCCAGACCCCGAGGAGGAAGCACTATCCGAGATGGAACTAGCCCACACACTGACCCTAAACGAGGAGGCCCTCAAGCAGCTGCCCGAGCACAAGCGCCCGGTGTTCGAGCTGGAGTGGCTGCGCTACCTGGAGAAGGCACTGCCCCAGGTGTCCAAGCCCGAGATCAAGGCCAGCCAAAAGAAGCTGGTCCAGCAGCTCTCCGAGCGGATCCAGGGAGCACCGGGACCGCCTATGCGCAAGCTCATCGCCAGTGCCCTGGCCACGCTCTTCTCGGTGGGCGATACCTTCATGCTGTTCGATACTGTCAACGCCTGCAATGACATCCTTAAGAACAAGGATGACTCACCCAGCTATCTGCCGACCAAGCTGTAAGTAATGCACTCGAGATCTTATCCCACCCAAGATTAATCCCTATAATCTACTTAACAGCGCCGCCATTTGCGTCCTAGGCTCAATGTACGAAAAGCTTGGCAGGATGATGGGTCGCACCTACGAGGACACTGTCCAGATCCTGATACGCACGCTGCGCAACGCAGAGTCGCAGGCTCGCATCGAGATTATGCACACCCTGGAGAAGGTGAACGCTGGCATGGGCACTGCGATCGCCAACGTTCACAAGGACATCTACAAGGCGGCCAAGCACTGCCTCCTGGACAGAGTGATGGCTGTTCGCGTGGCCGCCGCTCGCTGCATCCTCAAGATGATCTACAGTGCCCCGTTCTTGTACCAAACCGAACTGGAGAGCTTGGGAACCCTGTGCTTCCGTGCCTTCGACGGAAGCAACTACGAGGTGCGCTGTGCCGTGGCGCAGCTTCTGGGAACTCTTCTGGCGTACACCCAGCAGCTGGCTGAACTGGCCACTGGAAAGAAGAAACAGACCCAGGCGGCGGCCCTGCAAGCGGCGAAGGGAGCCAACCAGCGTCTAGTGTCGCTGGACGAGGCTCTGGGTATCCTGATGTCTGGATTTCTGCGAGGCGGAGCATCGTTCCTCAAGGGAACTGGAGAGATCATCAAGGGCAGCTCGGGCGTGAACAGGGAAGTGCGAGTGGGTGTAACCCATGCCTATGTGGTCTTTGTCCAATTCATGGGTAGCGTCTGGCTGGAGCGTCAACTGAGCACTTTCCTGGCCCACGTCCTCGATCTGGTGGCCAATCCCAAGGCAGCATGCTCCCACGTGGATGCAGTGTACTCGAGGAAGTGCATCAACTTCATTCTCCGCTCCACCATTGGCAAGATGCTGGGCGAAAAGGCGCAAAGCGCCGCTTGCAAGGAGCTCGTCCATCTTGTCGCCAAGCAGATGAACTCCATCGACTTTAATCCGGAGAATGCAAAGGATTCCAACCAGGAGACCCTCTTCAGTCAGCACTTGCTGGTGTGTGCCCTGCAGGAGCTGAGCTCGCTTCTGATCGGCTTGGGCACCACCGCCCAGAATCTGTTGGGAGACCAATCCCTGCAGGCCATCGACGCCACATGTGCGGTCTTGGTGCATCCTTGTGCCGCTGCTCGGCTGGCTGCCGCCTGGTGCCTGAGATGTGCCTGCGTAGCAGTCCCTGGACAGATCACTCCGTTGATCGACCGTTTTGTGGAGGCCATCGAGCAGATGCGATCCTCGCCGGAAGCCGTCGCCGGCTACAGCTGCGCTTTGGCGGCCATTTTGGGAAGTGTGCGCTACTCGCCACTGGGCATCCCCCACACCAAGGGCAAGGTCGTCTTCAACTGTGCGGAGGAGCTGCTGCGTTCCGCTTCCCAGAATAGCCGCATGTCGCTGCACCGCACCCAGGCCGGATGGCTATTGATTGGCGCCATTATGACCCTGGGATCGCCGGTCGTCAAGGGTTTGCTGCCACGGATGCTTCTGCTTTGGCGCAACTCCTTCCCGAGATCCAACAAGGAGCTGGAGTCTGAGAAGGCTCGGGGTGATGCGTTCACCTGGCAAGTTACCCTGGAGGGCAGGGCGGGAGCACTGTCGGTGATGCACAGCTTCCTTCTCAACTGTCCTGACCTCGTCACCGAGGACATCACTCGTCGCCTGCTCACGCCCATCGAGAGTGCTCTGGCAATGCTGGTGAAGTGAGTATGTTTGTGGGGCTCTTATTCCATCCAACTAACTCGATGGTTCTTCTCCAGCTTGGCCACTGTCCTGAAGAGCTACGGCACTCAGTTGAAGGCACCTGCCGCCATGGTGCGCCTTCGCCTCTTTGAGACCCTCACTCTCCTGCCACCCAATGCTCTGGAGGCCTCCTACACCCATCTCCTCCGTATGCTCGTTTCGGAGTTCACACTTTCGGACAACGCGGCCAATACCACAAACTCGCTGCTGCGAACGCTGTGTCATGGTGATGACTCCATTATCCTGGGCACTTGGTTGCAGGAAACCAACCATCGCACCATCGAGGATCAGGTGAGTGATAGCTTGAGGGAATGTGTCCTTGTGTGTGCTCTGTAAACTGTCTCCCTGTGGAACCCTTTCTCACTGTTTTCTCCAACTTTCTCTTCATAATTGTGCTTTCCCAAAGATGGAGCCCAATCGAAAAGTCGATGGCGAGCATGTAAGTGGAGTGCCCTGATTCCTGGAAACTTTTGTAGCTTCGAGAGGAGCTATACTTTTGTTGTGCATGAGTTAATGTTTTAAATCCTTTGCTTGCTCCTTGGATTTCAATTGATTTTGTCTCGAAAGGACTCTTTTTCTTTGTTTTTTTGTTTTAAATATTATTTTTAAGAATCTCCTTAAAGATTATAATAATAATAAAATTTATTTTCTCCTCAGTTGCAACCGAATAGCGCTGCTGGCTCGGGTGCCTTGGAACACGATCCCTGCTGCTTATACCGTCCCAACTGGTCTGCCCAAGGAACCGGATCGACCGGCGGTACTGTTGCAGCTTCAACGTCCGGATCAGCCATCGTCGGATCCACCACCAACATCCAGCTGATCAGCAAGGCGCAGCAGTGTCCCGGCCCATTGCCGCTGGGAGTGGCCGTGATCGACATGGCAGTTACCCTGTACGGAACCATTTTCCCCAAGGTAGCCAACAAGCATCGTCTCCAAATGCTGGATCACTTCGCCGAGTGCATTCGCCAGGCGAAGAGCAGCCGCCAGGAGGCCGTCCAGATGAACATCTTCACGGCACTGCTCTGTGCTCTGAAGAATCTTACGGACAGCAAGACCAGCTTGGGCCAAGAGGACGTCCGCAAGAGCGCCACTGCCCTGATAGTGGCTTCCCTGACTAGCTCCAACTCGACCATTCGCTGTGCAGCCGGAGAAGCTCTGGGAAGATTGGCCCAGGTGGTGGGAGACTCGCACTTCACAGCGGAATTGGCGCAGAACAGCTTCGACAAACTGAAGTCGGCGAGGGATGTGGTCACGAGGACGGGACACTCGCATGCCCTGGGTTGCCTGCATCGGTATGTCGGCGGCATGGGCTCATCGCAGCACTTGAGCACCAGTGTCTCCATCCTGTTGGCCCTGGGGCAGGACAGTGCCTCGCCGGTGGTGCAAGCCTGGTCCCTGTACGCTCTGGCCCAGATAGCCGACTCCGGAGGACCCATGTTCCGGGGCTACGTGGATGCCACGTTGACGCTCAGCCTGAAGCTCTTGCTCACTGTTCCCCATGCCCATGTGGATGTCCATCAGTGCGTGGGTCGCGTGGTGAATGCCCTAATCACCACAGTGGGACCGGAACTGCAAGGAGGTGTGGCCAGCATGCGAGGATCGTTCCTGTGCTCGGCAGCGCTGCTGCAAGCCCACTCGGATCCTTTGGTTCAAGCCGAAGCAATAGGATGCCTGCAACAGCTGCACTTGTTCGCCTGCAAGTCCCTGCAACTGGAGGAGCTGGTGCCCACGCTGGTCGGCATGCTGGCCAGCAACTATTTCATCCTCCGGAAAGCCTCAGTCTCCTGCCTTCGGCAGCTGGCGCACCGGGAGGCCAAGGAAGTGTGCGAGTTGGCATTGACCATCAATGCCGAGCAGCTGCCGGACTTGGTGATCACCGAGTACGGACTGCCAGGACTGCTCTTCTCGCTGCTGGACACCGAAACTGACGCCGAGATGCTCAGAAACATCCACGACACTCTCACCTCCATGCTGCAAATGCTGGCTGCGGATAACCTCAGCTCTTGGCTGAGCCTCTGCAAGAATGTCCTTACGGTGGCCGTGGAGGGAGGTCTCAACGATGATGCGGCGGGTGGAGATCAGGGGAAAGGCAAGGAGGGCGGCGGCGATCAGGAGGAGGATGACGAAGAAGAGGAATATGCCGACGATGTGACAGAATACCGGGCGGAGGAAAACACATCCACCCATCCGGCAGTGCAGCCACGTTGGCCCACCAGAGTTTTTGCCGCCCAGTGCGTCCGGAGGATTATCGCCAGCTGTGAGGCCGCCAGCCCCGTGCACTTTGACCTTCTGCAGGCCAAGGAGCAGCAACTGATTCGCTCTCGCGGGGACTACCTCATTCTTCACTTGGCGGAACTCATTCGTATGTCTTTCATGGCGGCCACATCTGACTCGGATCAGCTACGTCTAGAGGGTCTCCGCACGCTCCAGGAGATCATCGATCGGTTCGCCAATATCCCAGAGCCGGAGTTCCCTGGACATCTGCTTCTGGAACAGTTTCAGGCTCAGGTGGGAGCCGCTCTGCGACCCGCTTTCGCTCCAGACACTCCCTCCCACGTGACGGCAGCCGCCTGTGAAGTTTGCTCCGCCTGGATCGGCTCCGGGGTGGCCAGAGACATTGGAGATCTGCGGCGTGTCCACCAGCTACTGGTGAGCTCCCTGAGCAAGCTATCGTCCAAAACCAACAGCACCCAGCTGTACAACGAGTCCATGGCCACCCTGGAGAAGCTGAGCATCCTCAAGGCCTGGGCCGAAGTCTACATCGTGGCCATGCTGAGCAATGGAAAGGCGCCGGCCTCTTTGTTGAATCTGCAATCGCAGGAGTCGGGCATCCCATCCCTGACCAATGTGGAAGCAGATCTGGATCTGCCGGAGAGCAGGGGCGAAAGTCTCCTGGGCTTGGTGCAGCCGGAGCTCCACAACCTCTCCACCCACTGGCTGAGTGCAATGAAGGACCACGCCCTGCTCCTGCTCCCAGCCGAGTTCCAGTCTCAGCTACCACACGACGGCGGAGCGTTCTACACCACGGACACGATTAACTCCTCGAAACCCCACTACATGACCAGTTGGCCACCCATCCTGTACGCCTCGGCCCTTTGGTTGAGGGACGAGGGCTTCGCCCGGCATCTGGACACCGATGAAGCTGCTGCGGAGTCCAACAACAACCAGATCACGCACGGTTCCCTGTCGGCGGACCGATTCCACATGATCTTCGGCATCTGCATGGAGGCTCTGTGCAGCATGAGGAGTTCCGAGCGGCCGAGGAATATTATTAGTTGCCTGAGGTCGTTGCACAGCATCTTCGACTCGGACTGGGCCAGGAGACAGCTGGTCAAGGATCGGGCACTCACCATAGAACTCTGCCACGTGCTGCACCGACAGATTCTGACCAGAGATGAGCTGCTGGTCCAACTTCTCTGCGTGGAAATACTGAAGCAGACAATAAGGGCCGCTCGGGAGGATGTGGAGAGGAAGCGGGACGACAATGCCAACTCAGAAGACGAGAAGAGAGGAGAGCGGTTGGGCGAGGACGACTCCATGCAGCCGGGCAGCTCCCACGTCTACGCAGTCCTGGAGGTCTGTCTTTGCCTGTTTGTTCGTCAGATTCCCAGCATGAATCCCACACGGCAGGGATCCGGTCTCCAGTTGGACTTCTCGTACGCCAAAATGGCCACCGGCACGTCGTTCTTCTCGGTGCTGGGCGACGACAATGGTCTGCTGGTGGCCAGCGGGCTGCAGTGCGTCGAACAGTTGCTGGACTTGTGCACGCCGAAGGGAGCATTGGCCATTCTGCCCACCGTCCTCTACATGACCACCAGCATCATGAAGGAGATCGCCAATAAGTCGTCCATTGATAGCACCATCCTGGCCAATACCAGCGCAGTGAAGGCTGCTCTGCAATGTCTGCGCTCCGTTTGCGTCCACAAGTGGGCCAAGGTGGAGGAGACTGCCGAGGAGTGGCAGCAGTTGCTCCAAAGCGCACTGGCCACCATTGTCGATTTGACGAAGACCGCCGGCGACAACGAGGAGCGCAAGGTGGACGAGGTCACCATGCTGCTGGCCATCGCTGTTTTCATCCTGCACACGCCCGCCGCAGTTGTGGCCACGCCCTCGCTGCAGTATCCCTGCATCAACCACTTCCGGCAGTGCCTGCAGTCGGAGCACATGTCTGTAAAGCTGCGATGCATCGAGACCACGCGCTCCATCTTTGCCCAGGCGGAACTGAAGACAGCCACCCCTTATATCCACGCCCTGGCTCCGCGAATCATCGAGTCGCTGTACGCGGAGTCCAGCAAAGCGCCGTCCAACGAGCTGGAGCTGCAGGTCACCCTGGAGAGCATAGTCACCGTGGAGCAGCTGATAGATCTGGCAGAGCCACAACATCGTAAGTGGATGGTTTTTTTAATCTTATGATGGTCTTGTCTAAATAAGAGGGGTATTCCGGTTAAGGTCTTTGGAATAGAGGGGTTTTTTTGGATCTACTTGATAAAGTTATAGACTAAAGTTATGGGATTAAGTCAACCGATCCTTATGAAATTTGGTAGATCGGATCATATGGCCCAGAATAGAATTTGTAGGAACTTTCTATCTTCAAAAACACGAAAGTAAGGTCATTTTCAATAGTTCAGGTATAGGAAGCTGGGAAGCTATAGGACTTAGTCCCCTATATGGCCCACAGGGTTGGCTATATCTTTCCAAATTCTCATCCGATTTTCAAGCGGAATACCTTAAACGATTTTTGGATCGATTCTCCACCATTCTGCATCAAAATCCTGAGACCAAATATTTTTTAGATTTTTTGTCCATTTTTTGTAATGGGATTCCTTAAAAATGGGAAGGTTATCCAAGGGTATAAAAGTTTTAAATTTTTTTTAATGCTGCTTTTTGGGTAACGTAACTGCGTGTAACCCCTTAATATGGCATTACAGGCTCTTAATATTATTTAAAATAAGAGATTACAAGAAAATGAACCAAAGACCTTTGATACTGGAATACCCTATTAGAGAAACTAGTGGACCGCGTCCTCCACTCTAGTATGTAACACTTCCCCGTCCATTGCTCCTCCCAACATTTCCATAGAAACTGCATTGGCCATTTAGGCTGCGATGTCATGTCCTTTTTCTATAAATACATCCTTAGATCCACACCCTTCGACGGCAGCCAAAAATGTTAAAAAATAAGTGCACACCTTTGTGATAAAAAGAAATGCGTTATTATATTTTTGCTCTTTTCTCTGTCTTCTCTTTTTAATCAACTCACTAAATCATAAACAAAACACTAAATTATAAAAATAAAAAAATTATAAAACAAAACCCTGTTAGGAAACATGAACTTGCTACAAGGTAAATAGAAGAGCTTGATTAAAATTCACCTGTTTCATGTTGACAGTGCGTTTCAGAATTAAAGGGCAGTATATCCGACTATATAAAGTCCTTAATTAAACCTCTAACTTAATATTTATAAACCTGTTAACTGCCTTATAGTTCTGAAACGCCTCGAAAATGCACACTCGATGTTTATAATGCACCCAACCTCTATAATAGCCCGACACATAGACTATAAATGCCGACCAAAAATCACGCTTTAAATGTTGCATGTTTGTCGATCGTAGTCTGGATTTCTGATGAAAAATGTTCAGTTTATAGCACCATTAAAGCCGAATATTAAAACTCCATCATCATCCTCTTCACAGACATCCAAATGCTGACGCTGCTGGTGCCCGTACTTATTGGATTCCTGGCCGAGCCAAGTCGACTTCGAACGTTGCCAAAGTACCAGAGGCAGTTGCACGATCAGGCATTGCAGTGGCTCCTGAAGATCGGTCCCAAATACCCCAAGGAGTTCAAGGCCCTGATGGGCCAGACGCCGGAGTTGCGACAGAAATTGGAGGCCGCCATCCGCAGCCAGCAGCAGTCGATTAACATCGCCCAGAAGGCATCCGAGGCCCAGAGGAGCGGCCTGCTGGCCAAGCCACAAAAGCCCACGATCAAGCTGAAAACGGATTTCAGCAACTTCCAATAAGCCTCAACTTCAATAATGTTAATTATAACGCCTAAATGCTTTGCAAGAATCGACAAAAAAATGTACAGAAGGACTAAGCTTTGGAAAGGATTACAATAAAGTTGAATAGCAGAGTCCCCCATCGAAAAGACACAGGTTTTCAGCCCATTTTAAATGGCTGATTCCCATCAATGAGGCAGGAGGCAGAGCTTATTGTGCAATTTTTATAATTTGAATAAAAAGAGCCTTCAAAGATTAAGATCAGCTTCTTGGCGATCATGCGGTCCGGCATTTGATTTTTCTGCTAAAACGTGAATCACAATGAAAGTACCTACAAGTTTCTAAATTATTTGTTAGCTATTGTAACAATCTATTGTACGACGCGATATAAACTAAACAAAGAATAAATAAAACTTATAAAGCTTAAAATTAGTTAATACTAATGCTAGGGTACTATGTACTCTACTTCTGTTTCTTCCTTCATAGTCACTGTGACAGCAGTTTCGTCTTCGCTCAGCGGTTCCGATTTGAGGGTTTCCTTTGGCGTGTTATAGGCACAGTTTACGTTCTCTCCCATTTGAACAAACTTCGGTGTGGGTCTTGGTAACGCCCGTAAGCAGCTGGGCAGTTGGGTGAAAAGCTGCGATTCCAAACGACTCAGTAAAGTGGTTCTATAGAAGAGTGCCCTCAGTCTCTGTCTAAACAGCTGAATAGGTGGATCGGATTCGTTGTAGACAAGATCTTTTTCCGGCATCTTGCGACAGTCTCCGGAAAGAATGCAGAGAGCTCGAAATCCCATCATTGTGGACCAGTTAGGCGGGAGGAGCGTACTTTTCAGATGTATCCTTTCCTCCGGTAGTTCACCCATCATTTGATTGTAGCTTTCTTGCAGTTCTTCAGGCATAGAAGCCCCTAATATGGGCTGGGGCCGAACCGGTGGATAGTAACTTAAAGCTTTGGCTGCATAGGCGAGATTCGACTTATCTTTGGGCAACGAAAAGGTCACTGGAGTTAGCAACTGCAAGTTGTAACCATACTTGAAGTAGTCATGGAACTCTGCTTCAACTTTTCCCATTTTAGGATTATTTGGTTTGGTTATCTTTGGTCTTTTTGCCCGGGATTTGGGTTTAATTTCCATTTTGGCGATCGAATCTGGATCCTCCTGCCATTCCTGCAAGCACTGCGCCCAATTTTCGGCAGTAACCGAGGCCACTTTCCGCGATCTGCGCCGCGGCAAGTCCTCTACCGATGCCGTCGGGTTCTGTTCCAGAAATCTCTTAATGACCAGGAAACGGGTTCGGCAACTGGTACGCGAGTGGTTGCCCAGGAAAGTGGCGCAGCTCAGCCACTGGGAGGTACCGTTTTCAGTAACGAATTCCATCAACCGGTTGTCGTCCTCCACAGACCATGCGTCGGTCTTGTTCCGTTGAGCCAGCGTGTTGTGATAGCGCGTTCGTAGTTGCGCAAGGGATCGATTTGGGAAGAGTGAGCGCGGAAAGCAGTTAAATTTCCCATTGTACTCTTCAACTGCAGCGAATAGCATCATATCTTCCTTGGCGGTAAAGGGTGCTGCAATTTTTAAATAAGATTAAATAAAATAAAGAATAAACATTAATACTAACCATGACTAATGCTGGGATGCAGAACATACATGTATCGACCGATTATCGTTGACTTTGACCTGCCTGGAAAATATTCCAAAACTTTGTTCCAATTAGTAATGCCATTCACCGAATGCTTTTGCACCATCGTCCGGAGTCTGTCGTTTTCCTCTTCAGTCCATCGGTTCCCGGTGCTAGGCTCGATTAAGTGCCGCAGGTTTGTGTTGATTCGAACGAAACACTGGTAGTCAGATCGCCGATCGGTGTATGAGGCTATCACTTCCCAATTCTGCATCCCGTTGGCCGTCGCCACTGCAAGCAAGTTATCATCTTCCTCCTGCGTCCATTCTCCACGATTGCGATCTGGGTGCAGGTAAAATCGCCACATTGCCTCGCAACTATAGGCCGAGTGGCGATACTCCAGATCAATGATACTGATCTGATTCCAATCGATGCTAAAGTTGCTGTCCGCGGAACCCAAAAGGCTAGCTAACGATTGTACATGCCGTTCAATTGGTCTTCGCTTACGTTTAATTGAGGGTTTATCTTGGTCCTTACAATGATCCAGCAGCTGGATGAATATCCATTGATGTGTTAAGGAATATTAGTGTCTTCTTTAAACTGAAAAACTTACTTGCTGTTTAATGCCCATGATAACATTCTTTTTGTCGAGTAAAGTCCAGACATGCCGAGATCGCATATCGAAATCGGTAGGAAACATTTCTGTTAGACACCGACTATCGTAGTCCTCATTGTTGGGGCAACTGCGACCATCAATATCCCGGAAGTAGAGGTTTCCTTTGAAGTGAAAGGTGCCTTTACGCAGAATGGCACCGCTTAAAGAAAGATTTTCCTGGCCATATCGGGATCGAGGCTGCATGCGACGCTTCAAGATTTCCTGATTCCGGTCGTAGCGAGCCTTTACAATCTGGAGAAGATGCAGGATCTTGTCCCTCACCTGGTGCAACCGGCGTTGCAGCTCTTGATTCAGCAAAAGGGCATTAATGTCGGTCGGTGCCTGGGTGCTACGTATCAACCTATTTATTTCCGACACCAGCTGGTGCTGGTTCAGCTGAAAATCCTCTATGCCATCCATCGGGGGTCAGGGATTTGTTTATATGAAATGCAATTTGCAAATTGAGATGACACTATTTCACAGTTGATGTGAACCAGTTCCGGTTCGATAACAATTTCTTAAAATATTAGTTTTTTGTCTCTTTTCTTTCAAAAAAAGCAACGAAAAATAACCAATTAAATTTGTTTAATTTTTGTTCAATTTTTCTTTTCAATAAAACGTATATTTATTAGGACAAAATAAATTTCGTTCCAGTTCGATAAACAAGTTCCAGTTCGATAACCTTTTGTTTTGTTCAGTTTTTCTTTTTCTCCATTTATCTCACTCCTCTCCGCATTGACAAAAGAGAAAAAAAGAAAAACGCGTAGTACGCTACTTGGGCCACTTAATTAACTAAATTTGCGGTGAATGCGCTAGCGTAACATGGACGATGTCCCAGTCAAGATAGTGGAGCGCTACAAACCCCCACCCGCCGTCTACCACCTGCCCCAGGCAACCCTCAACCGTTTGGGCCAGTTCCGCGAAGATTTCTACACGGAGCACCCTGATTTCCAGTATGACTTCCACCTGGAGCGGGCCGTCATGGCTCAAGGCCAACGCTGGCGACAGCTAAGGAGGCAACAAAAGGAGGAGCGATCCAGACGCCAGGAGCGACGCAGGGAGCAGCACCAGCGAGAGATCGAAGCCAAACAAAAGGAGATGCTGGGGGCAGTGGACTACCCCAGTGCAGATGATTTGTCATCGGGGGAAGAGGAAGAGGAGAAACAGAAAGAGGAGGCAAACGAAAAGCAGAGCCAGAGAGGGGAACAAAAGGGGGCTGACCAGCTGCCTGAGTCACGCGACTCGCACGAACCAAAGTCAATAAGTGTATGCGATTTCCATAACATTTTGCAGCCCACCATCTTAAGCACCACTCCAGTGGCTAGTCCACAGACGCTCCACAAGCGTAATAGCTCGTTAAACTATGCGGACTTCGAATACAGCATGAACTCGACGCCCTTCGACAACATCGAAATGAAGACTATCAACGATCTGGACATTCTGGCCCAGGTGCTTCACCAAACACAGTTGGCGGCAAGAAAGGAGCAAGTTGAAGCGGCTCAGGAGCGGGATAATAAGGACGAGAAAGACGAGGAAGAAAGGGAGCCCACCCAGGATAAACCACCTCCTATGGAGCCCACGATGACGACTCTGGCGGAGACCAAAGCGACGCTCGACAGCGTCAATTTCCAAGTTCACTGTGATGACGATGCGGCCAGCACTGAGCCCAGCCACATTCCAGCCACCACCTCTTACCCAACGCCCATGTACAGCGTTTCCCAACAACAACTGTATCAACCGGAGCACTTCCAGGTGGGCCACTAATCGTAATGGGTTTCGGAGACTTGAAATGTTCCATTAAAGGGGCTTCTTCGGGTACTACATTTTCAATTATGCTTTTATGTTAATTTAATTTGGATATTTAAACTATGTGCAATAAAAACGTCGATGGCAACTTTATTGTTTTTCAATATTTGGATTATAATGTGTTATTCCCAACTATTCCTGTATTAATGAATATATTTTCGCAGGTCTATCATGTTCAGGGCTACAGCCATCAGCCCTTTTACTCCCCGCAACAGCAATCTTACCAGCAACCGAACAACTACTATGTCAATGGGTTTGGCACTCCAGATCACACGATGACGCCTCCAGCGCCTTCCTCTGTTACGGCGCTCAGTCAGGCAGAGGACGAGGTGGCCACCAAATCACGAAGTGTGCCCGACATCCTGCGTGAACTGAAAACCGAGCTTCAGCTGGCAGAGAAGCGCCGCACTCGCTTGCACAGCCAGAATGAGGAGCAACATCAGCAGCAACCAAAGAAAGAAGAGGCGGTGGACAGAAACTCCTTTCGGGAGTTGGCTGGACCTGCTCAAAAGTTAGCGCAACGCATCAGCAGCATGGGATTCCCCCTAGAACGTGTGGCCAAGGTGGTTAACCTCTGCGGAATTGACGATAAAAAGGTAAAGGTATATTGGGGAAATCCTAATATGAATACCATTAAGGGGTTATATACAGTTGTACCGCGCAAAAATATGGATTTTTATCGATTTTTTTTTGACACCATAGAAAATATTTATGAAAAATGTTTTACCCACGTTGTTTAGTACATGTTTCTGGGTACTTAATTAAATTTTTTCATAATAAAATATTACATAACAAAAATGTTATAGCCGAATTCCCGAATCATCTGTTTTCGATGGTGTCTTGCGGTGGACATGATTTCTCGAAAACGGTTCATCCGAAATCCAAAATTGAAAAAAGTTTAGTTAGTATATTGTATTGTCTAGTCCATGAACGAGGGATTTTTAAAAATTTTGATTAAAAAAAAAATGGCGACGTTTTTAACAAAAAATGTACTTTTTCAACGTATAAGATTTTCGTTTTTTGTGCTTTAAAAAAGGAGTTTTCAAAAAAATTGAAAATCCCTCGTTCACGGCCTAGCTAATATCATAATAAATAAGTGGTCAAAATTTGGTGTTGATCGGATTAGTAGTTTTTTAGTAATCGTGTCCACCGCAAAAGCAATTTCCCAAAAAAAAGATTCTGAGATAATCGCGTTTAAAGTTTCAAGTTTGTTCAAGTTTTATATGCAGATAGTGCGCTATAAATAGCTACAGCTTCTGTTCCAATGCTCCGATCGTTATGAATTTTTGTGAGAGTATTCCCAATAGAATATACTTAAAGAATATGCAATAAAAAAAAAATCGATTTTTTCATATATCACAACTGTATATAACCCCTTAATAGGATGGAGTTTCTCTTGCAGATAATCGAACACCTCATTCCACTGGGCGAGCTGATGGACCTGGGCTTTGATGAATCGAAAATCTCAGCGGCGCTACTCAAGTTCGACAATAACAAGGACAAGGCGTTGGACTATCTAATCAACTAGTTAAATTAAGGACAAATCTTTTGATTGTCCCGCTTTTACCCCCGCACATTATCCACCACCCAAATCCAATCATCACCCCAAGTAGCTTCAGAAATTGAATCCCCTAAGTGTATTTTAAGTATTACAATTTATCAGAGATATTCTTTGCTTAACTTGGGAGTTGAATAATTCAGAATCCTCAGACGCAGCAGCAGCAGAATAAATATAAGTTTATAAAATAGTCTCTGGTCTCAGTTCATTCCCAGCATTAGTAAGTTTATGGCATGCTCCACATTTCCATCGGCTAGGGTCAGATAGTTCACGTTCTGGGTGTGATTAATGAAACCCATGGCTGCCATGGTTCTGAGCTGCTCGGTAAAACGATGACGGCGATAGCAGCGCGGCAAAACATCACTGTCGTCACCATCAGCGTCTTCATCATGCACATCCCCCGTAGCTGAAGTTTCTGTGGATGGTGTGTTTCCGGGTTCCACATCCATGCTCTCCACTTGACTGGCTCCACTGGGTGGCTGTTGTTGAGCCAATGATTGGAAAAGCCGGTCTAATCCATTGCGAAACAGCTCAGAAGATACTCCACCGCTGCCGCTAGCTCCGCTGGAGCCGCTTGGAGCAGAAGCAGGCGCAGTTGCTGGCGCAGCACTAGATGAACCACTACCTTCCTGCAGCGCCTCATCCGCATTTCGCTGGGCAATGTTCGACAGCGAGTTGAACGAGGTGACATTAGCCAGAGCGTTCGCTAACTGCTGACGGCTGATCTGACGAATGTTGGCGGTGACAGCGGTACTGCTGCTTCCACCACTGCTGCTGCTTCCAGCGCCCAATGAGTTTTCTTCCTCCGATGAAGTGGTGGACTCCGATGCAGCTTGTTCTTGAACTGCAAATGGTACAAAATAATACAATTTATGGAAAATTAAACAAATTTGGAAGCTTACACTGCGTGGCCGAGCTGTTCCTTGCTAGCTCCTTGCGAATGGTGTCGACAATGAAAGGAGCGGCCTCGCAGATGAGCGGATAGTCCCGTACTAGATTCTGAACCACCTCCGGCTCGTGCAGCATGTTAAATAGAACCGAGTCCCGGATCAGGGCCTGGGCGCCTAGGTTACGCCTGAACTCTGGGTATTCAGCAAGAATCTTTTGCAAGATGTTGAACCGCGAGGTGACACTAATCTGCAAGTGCGACGTCAGCGAGAAGAGCTCCTGAATGTGCTTTGTGTTTATCTCGGAAGCAGGCGGCGGCACATAGGGCGAATACCGCTTGGTCTTTTTAAAGCAGTGGATCACGGCGTTAGGCTTCACAGACTTGCCTATGGTATCTGCATCCTCGAGCACTTTTCCGTAATGAATTATCTCTGAAAGTATGCAGAAGATGACTTGGCAAAATTAGAACAAAGGGGAATGGCTTACGCTGTAAAGGCTCACTCACCCAGTTCATTGGCTTCGAAATCCAGCTGCAGCTCCTTTGTGACCACATCCTTCAAATAGGCCACATCCTTATTTAGGTCTACGTTGTGCAAGGGGTGGACGTCGCTCAACTTGTTCTTAAGAAGCGCAAACAGAGTATGCATTTTAATTATATCTTTCTATGCTTCTATATTATCCCTTTAGGGGCACAATTGTTTTCTTTGTTGTCGATTTTCACGACGCAAATCCGTAATAATATAGATTTTCTCGTTCTAAAAAGGAAAGTGCAAGCGATCGGTCATCTGTTGGTTGTTTTCTGATCGCTTCTTTCACATATGCTGCTTTGTATGTTGTCTTCGATGAGAAATATATACAATATTGTATAAATTATGTGAATAAATATTTTAGACTCTCCAAGAAGAGCTCAAAATTGATTTCGCTTTTTGTTGAAAACAAAATTTGACTTCCGTCTGATTTTCCGGAGAGTAACCGCGGCTGCCAACTTGGGCTTTTATAAATTAAAAAAAAAACCTAAAGAATAAAACTAAAGGATCACGATTTAATACTATTATTTGTATAATAATTCCTAAAATTTTTCATAATAAATTTTCAGACTAAACGTACTTTTATTTGTAATATTTTTACAAAAAATAAATAAGTTGACAGCTCTTAATTTTTCAAATGTTTTTGTTTTGTTCAAGAGAAGTTGGAACTAGTTCAAGTTATTGAATACCGATAATAAATAATCGAAATTTTATAAATACCGCTAAACACTGTTTTTAAAATAAATATGAAATGGGTCTTTTATATTTAATTAGGTGTATGCGTAAGTCGGGTAAATATTATTAAAATAATCTTTAAATAGATTAAATGTATCAGTGTGGGAATAAAATGGGCCAAAGTAGGCAGCCCTCACCACACACGGATCCATCGTTTTTGACAGTTCAATATTGCAAAAAATATCAGAATATTCAAAATTTCAAAATTTTATCATGGTGATGAAGTCGACCGGGACCCAGACAGATAAAAAGGTTGGAAAAAAAAGTGCGGAAAGAGGACATGTTAATTTACCAACGGATCCGATTGAACACAATGCTGTCTCGGAGGTGGAAGAACAGTCTGCCAAAACAGGACCTGTCTACAGCTGTGGGTTTGAGGTGTTCGGCATAGTACAAGGTATATCCAATATTAGTCATATTTTCGTTATAAATCCCACTAACATATAGTTTGCTCTTTAGGTGTTTCCTTTCGTATGGTAAGTTACATTTTTAATTTTTAATTCCGAAGTTTTAATTTCCGAAGAATTTTTGACTTAATTATTCACTAGTATACTTTGCGAAGAGCCCAGAAGTTGTCGGTGCGGGGCTGGTGCATGAATACCTCACAAAACACTGTAAAAGGTGAGATTGAAGGATATTTGCATTCCTTTGAGTCCATGTAAGTAATACAATATTTGGCATAGTTTCCATAAATATATGTATTCACTTCTCTACAGGCGTCTCTGGCTAAAGCACACCGGGAGTCCCACGAGTAGAATCGACAAATGTGTATTCACCGATATCACAGAACACACTAGCTTTAAATTTAGTAACTTTAGTATACTACTGGAATAATTTAGGGCTGTACAGCTAAAAAACTTATATTTTTGATAATGGTTGTTACTTTTTGGATTAAAAAATTGTTATAGCTCTAAGTAGATAAATTGATTTAAAATTATTATAATGAAACCATCAAAATTGTATGTTGTGGCCAAGGAGAATCCAGTTTTTTTATTCTTATTATTTATTTTTAAACTTGAGACCTGATCATAATTACATGGTTATAGAGGTCTACTATAATTTAAATGTGCATCTTCTTTTTTAATAAATTTAAAAAAGTTTATTATAGTTTTTAAAGCTTGACAATAATGGTTGTTATCAGTGAGACCGCGATGTGAAATCGAAATAATCTCGACCCTTGGGGTAGTCTTTTCAGACCGGCAAAGGCAGACTGGGGGAGAATTGTTTTATTTGAAGACGAAACGTCGAAGCAACAAGTTGTGTCTCTGCTTCTATAAATCTATTTTTAAGAATCTTCAAGTTTTTATTAAAAGAAATGGCTGACAGCAAGTTCTTGACGTTCAACAATGGCGAAAAGATGCCCATTATTGGCATCGGCACCTGGCAGGTAATTACACAAAATAAATCACTGCAATTTAAGATTTAAGAATTTAAGACTTCTACTAATATGATAGTAATGAATGGATGATTATTGTTTTAACTAATGCACGACCTCGCCAAAAGAGCTGACACGTCATTTAAATCTCTTGAAAGTTCCAATGCAATCAGCAGAATCTGTGTTTTGAGTGCAAGACCGGTTTTCAAAAAAACAAACAATAACATTCCATTCATGTATACTAGCTGGGCTAGTGGGTCTGACTTTCACTGGCTCTAAACAGGGCAGAATAGAATAAAAATCATGCACATAAAACATGGGTGGAGGGAGATACTAACCATAGTATAGATACAATGTTACTTTTATCTATCTGGAAAATCCAACCACTAACCGCAATTTCATAACAAACCCCTTAAGGCATCTGATGAGGAAATTGAAACCGCTATTGACGCCGCCCTGGAGGCGGGTTATCGCCACATAGACACGGCGCCAGTCTACCGGAATGAAGCGGCTATTGGGCGCGTCCTCAAGCGTTGGCTGGACTCTGGAAAGGTTAAGCGCGAGGACCTCTTTATCGTAACAAAGGTGCCCCCAGTTTGTAAGTAATAAACTCTTTAAAGAGTATGTATTATTAGAAAAAAAAAATAATCTAATAAACTGTCAATCATATAGATATCAAGACTCGATCTCGCGGGCTCTTAGAATATTCTAAACCTTTCTAAAAATATACCTGTTTGAATTTCACAATATCTTGCAAAAAATAAATACCTTATCATTGTATTTTTTTATAAAACTAAAAATAATACGTAAAAAAAACACCATCAATTATTTTTTTGGTAGAACTTCATGAGTAATATGATTAATCGGTGCCAACATAATGTATTCAAATACAACTTCCACCCACAGCGAACCGACCCCATGAGGTGGAGCCGACGATAACGAAATCGCTGTCTGATCTTCAACTGGACTATGTGGACCTTTATCTTATCCACACCCCCTTCACCATCAACATCAACGAAGATGGTAGCTTCAAGCTAGATAAAGATGGCCTAATGGAGGTCGATGTTACCACCAATCATGCTGCCACCTGGGCCGCAATGGAAGCCCTTGTGGAAAAGGGTTTGACCAAGTCCATTGGCGTTTCCAACTTCAGCAAGGATCAGGTGGCCCGATTGCTGAAAAACTGCAAGATTCGTCCGGCCAACAACCAGATCGAACACCACATCTACCTCCAGCAGCGTGATCTGGTGGACTTTTGCAAGGCGGAGAATATTACCGTCACCGCATATTCCCCACTGGGATCCAGGGGAATAGCCAACTTCAACGCTGGTGCCGGCATAGTCAGAGAGGTGCCCAATCTGATGGAAGTTCCGGAAGTGAAAGAAATCGCCACGGCCCATGGAAAAACACCAGCCCAGGTTCTGCTCCGATGGATCGTTGACACCGGTGTATCTGCCATTCCCAAGAGCACTAACCCCACCCGGCTTAAGCAAAACCTCGATATCTTTGACTTTAAACTGACGGCCGAGGAGGTGGCCAAGTTGAGTAGCTTGGATAAAGACTTCCGCGTTTGCGATTTCGCTTTCTTCCACGGGTGAGTTAAATTTTATTTTTCATTGGGAAATTATTAAAAAAAAATTTTATTTTCTTTTAGAGTGGAAAGGCACCCGGAGTTTACCTTTAAAAATCAGTACACTAACTAACTTTGAAGACAGTTAAAAATCCATTAAAATATCCAATTAAATGTTCATTACTGTAGCATTACACATTATTAGTAGTTTTTGTTAGTTGGCCAATATTTTCTTAAAGCTGACATAAATGCACTACAAAAATATAATTTATCTGTTATATATATATCGACAACATATATATCTTGTTTTATTTCAAGTTATCTTTGGCATTTAGTAGGTGAAACGTTTTCGTTTTGGTGACAATTTTCAGTTCAACAGGTTTTCCCCCCTCCGCCAGAGTTCGTAGACTTTCGTTCGATTTTACTGGTTTTTCTCGAGCATCTGTGGTGTCGTTGACCCTTTGGATAATAGAGCTAGAATAATATTAAGATTGAAATCCAAAAGCATCGCGGATACAGTTAGTATTTAGTATATTTTGCAACATATTTTGTTATACTAATTAAAACAAATCACACATTTACAAAGTTACATTAAGAAATCATTAGTTAGCTCTCTAAATCGCTTTCAAAATGACCAGCAGCTTCTAATTCGAGGTACATATTGCATTTATAACTATTAAGATAGGTTGAGATGTTGGTAGCTCTGGCTGTACTGACGGAGTTTTTTAATACTTAAAAATTTTAGTAAAATAATAAAGAAAGAGGCAAATCAAAAGAATAATTAACAGCAAAATTTAAAAACTGATAGGAAACTTTATCCTAACACTAGATTATAAATGCGGCCAATCTCAATTTGATTGTCAGGTATTTGGCCGCACAGCTTATGAAGGTTAGTTTGCAGTTCGAGTATTAAAAGGAAATTCGTAGTTGCTGTTCCATGCTAACTCACGTGGTCCGCGTATCCTCTTCGGAACTGGGCCTGCAACACATTAATTAATTAATTTATGGAATAAGATCACACAGGAATAAAGTCCAAAAAGCAAGCCAACGAAAGCAGAAACACTCACGTCAATCCCTGGGCTGCACAAGTTTGACAAAATTCATACTTTGCATGCAAATCAAATAAATTCATCAACATTGATTGCCTAAGCCTATGTTACCTGGGTTCCTGATGGCTTCGCATGGCCAAGGTGGCCACCTCGAAGAGACCAATGAAGAAGCACAGCATCAGAGGTCCGAAAATGGCACCCTGCCAGCCGATCCAGTACATGCCGCCAGCAATTGCAAGACCATTCAAATATGGATGGCCTCCCCTAGAAAATATATTTAATAATTAATTTTATACAAAAAGATAGCTCTGAGATCTCTCACCCTTTCAGATCGGCATAGATTGCAGTCTCAAACGAGGATGGCACGAAAAATTGCAGCAGAAACAATATGAGTCCTGCATAGAATCGATCCTGTGCCAGCCAGAGCTCCAAAAAGGCAGGAACTGCACACCAATAGCTCCCTAGGAACGGAGCAGCTGCTAGCATGGCTGCCAAAGCCGAGGGCAGGAATACAATCCTTGCTCCGAAAACCGTATGCACCAGCCATGTAAATAGTCCAGTAAATGTAGCGCACTTGAACATAGAGACTAGCACCACGGTGATGGAGTTTTCCAGAGCATCAGCGATTTTGATGCCCGAGCTGGAATACCCAAGATATTTGGTGATCTGCAGTGGAGCATACTTTTCTTTACTACTTGAGAGTAGATAGAAAAGGGCCGTAAAGAAGACAATCTAAGAAAATAGTAGTATTAACTTCCGATAAATATAGTTCTTTATTTAAACTCACCATATCTAGAATGAATTCAATACACGCCTGTCCACCGGACAGCACCAACGAGAGAATCTCGCCCGTAACGCCCATAATCATGGATAGATTCGTTCGGATGATGTGCCACAGGGATTCTGCTACCTCGAGAATTGTCTGGGTGTTGCTCTGCGCCCATCCAATGATGCCCTGTTTTGCCACTAAAACTAGCTCTTTAAAATGTCCTTGGTTAAATAAACGGCCATTGGTTAGCAGATGCAACAAAGAATGGGTTATTTCGTAGACGCAAACGATAGTTACAGGATGAAAGGTGCATGAAGCCAACCACTTGAAGAAAGCCCCACATATATAACTCAAAAAGATAATTAGTAGGGCGAGACAAACGAAAAACCAAATAGCAAAGGTGTACTCTGAAGGGACATACCTGGGTTATCGACAATTTCGCCAAAGGTGCTCTTAAGCGCATCTGTTGGAACTCTCGGGCCGTACGAAGTTCCCGCCTTGTTGAAATCTATCCAATATTGGATGAGTCTGTCCCAGACGTCAAGAATTTGCTCCTTCAATTTGGTGGCATGCACTTTGTCAGCATCCGCCAGCCAGTCATCAATGTACGTCTCGATCTTTCGGCGACCATAATGGTGCGCATTATCCAGCGCATCATCAATGGACGCCTGCATGTTGGCGGGCAAGATATCAATTAGCTCAGGCCGATCTGTGATCGTCTTGTTAATTAGATCCTTGCCAAGGTAGGCCACTTCGATCGTCTCCGAGTAAATGTTCACACAAAAGAACACGCTCAGGAACACGATAATGAGCAGCATAAGAATTATCATCAAAATAGAGGTGACCGACTCCACAGACGACTTTAGAGAATCGCGTACGATCGTATTGATCTTGTAGTTTAGTTCCAAAACTCCTGGGAGGCATAGTGGAAGCACTGCGGAGTGGTGTTCAATGGCCCACGCCTTTATGAAATATAAGGTATTATATTAAAGAACTTTACGTTATGATCTCTTTATGAACTCACCCTCAACGCCAGATAAAGTTCGTTAATCTTGCTGTACACGAAACGGGTGATTCCAGTATACTCTCCCACCGTATAGATGAGATGTAGGAATACTGGTATGGCTGCCAGTAGAAACATCCAAACATTACGATAAAGGAATGTTCCCAAACAGGCGTAGAACAAAAGCTTGAAGAAGGTTTCGCTTTGATGGCTTTCAGATTCAGTTTCCGGTTTCGCACCAAAAGTATCCGTAGAGTCGATGGTGTCGCTCAGCGAGATGTCCTCCACATCTGATTGAATCCCAGGACTGAGGGGTTCGCCGCCGTGTTTGCCGCAAATGCTAAAGTTGCTCAGTGAACGCTCAAAATCGTTCTTATCGAATAGCTTCTGCAAACGGTGCAAAAATGTCCCAGCATCCTCTCTTGTTTGCAGGTGGTATGCCGTTGAGGCTGTAACATATGCCATGACCAGCAGGAAAACGGGTACCTGAAGGGCGCCCAGGAAACTGCTCAAATAGCCAGCTATGGCTATCCACATGGTTTGACCAGCAACGACAAAGTGAGCGCTGTTCTCCGGCTTCCAGAAAAAGTGGACACAACTTAAGTATATAATCACCAGAGAAATAAGCTGTAAAAACAAAACATTAATAGTCGTTTAATTAAAACCACAATATACGCACCACGTAAACATTCAGGAATCCAATAATCTGGACGAACAATCCGTGCGAAAATGTTATCCAGTGCCACAGCGCCATCAAAAACCCTTTGGGAGCATAGAGGACGAGCAGTTTGACACAGCCCGCCACTCCGCATCCGGCGAGCAGCAGTTGCCAGTGTTCACAGAGCCATCCAATCAACAGCCGACCACAGTGCTCTGTGGCCTCCAGGGGGGAAAGGCAGATGGAGACCAGGACGTTAGAATCGCGTTCCTCGAGACGCTGGAACCAATTGTTTACACTCTCCGCCAGACTTCTTTTGAATGGGAAGAGAACGGCTCCCATAAGGAAAGCCCACAACAGGGGTCGCACAAAGGGCCCCAGTATGAAGCAGACGGCTACAAATGCACCCACGCCGGCAGCGATGAGGAAGTTGTACATGGCCGCGCGGAATGACTCGTGGTTCTGGGAGCGCATCCGCAGCAGGCGGTTGAGCACGCTGTCGAAGGAGCGGTCCCGTCGAATGGGAATCGGTTCCGATCGGTTCATTTTTGAATTTTCGCAAAGCAGGAACTGTAAATGTTTAACGGATTGGCTGATTAGTGCTTAAATGGCAACCAGTGGCGGATACAGCTGCTCCACGACCGTATACAATGTGGGGGTCCTTGACGGAGTGACTGTATTTGGAGCTGCTCCGCTGACGAAACTCACTTTTGATAATTATGCTCAGTGTTTGATGCTCAGCAACAGATGATTCACATCTCAGTTTTGAATGGAAGGATATCCAATGTATCTTAAGGTGGCTATAGGTTTCTTTAGCCCGAAGTGGACATTGAGGACTGGCGGAGATGGTATCCCGGGGGTGGGGCAGCAAATAAACAAAAATACGTCGTTTCTGCCAAATTACGTCAGGCGGGCAGGGCAGGAGTTTTGAGGTTTTATAGCACTGGCAAAAAGCCGATACAGATAGCCCTGGCTTAGGGGATAAACATAAAAATGTTTATGATTTGAGTAAAATAATTTCTTTGTTAGTAAAATAATTGTTTTTAAAGAACTTTTTCGAGTAACTAATTATATAAATAAGAAATGTCAGTTAGCCAATATTTACTGTAATCAACGCATGTATGGGAATGTTGTGCAACACTGGCCAACTTCAAAACAAAAATAGACGCTATGGAAGGTGAGCGGGACAACGAAAAATTATATTTAATTATATATTAAATGCGTATTTTATACTAACAGATTTAACGGTATCGCAATTGGAGGATTTGCGGCAACTGCAACTCCAACTAAACGCAAATAGGGATATTTACATCAACTTGTATACCAAGATTATAAAGCAGACATTTTCAACTCAAATGAATAATTTGGTAAGAAAAACCTCTAATAATATGTAAGAAATATAAAAATTATTTGCATTTGTTAAGGTTGATGGAGAATTTAATATAGAAGCTGTGAAATTGAATGTGCCCCAAAAACCCCCCATGCTTCCACCCCAGGAATATACACCCATGCACCAAGTATGTTTCCTCATTAAATATGTATTGGCAGTGTTAATCTTTAATGACTTGTTAAACAGCTAAGTACATTGGAGGAGGTTTACAAGGCTACCATGGATGGCTTGTCGATGCTGTAGGAGTTTTCTCAATCAGTCTTCGTATTGTTCAACCAGTAACCGTGGAGAGTCTTATAAACATGTTGCAGGCATTCAAACGATGGAGACTGGCACTGAAAAATATAATCCCTATTATTCGTTGTATAATTTCAATTTGAACGCAAAAACTTACGTCGAATATAGGAATAATGGGCCGACGCTTAAAAATACTACCTTTGGTTCGCAAAATCAACATGTATTTTACATCCAACTAAGAAAATATAAAATGAGTTACAAGTTAGAAAAGATAACATTGTACAATTCTTACATCTTCAATGACTTCGTTTAGAACCATGTCTTGGATGTTCCCCCTTTCAACGCAAAGAACCTCCTCTCTACCGAACGATCGCACAGTTTCGGTTTGCAGCGCCATGTCCCAACTATAAAATAAACGCTCCGTCTGCACCAAGTTCAACAAGGAACGGAGCATTAATATTGACACGGATACGCAGGTCAACAAGGGATAAAGTATCCGGGGCTGCAGTATTCCGAGAGACCTGCTTTCAAAACCACAAACACCAACGAAGTATGCTATTGATAAGAAGATGAGCAGAAGCAAACGCCGTAGCTGCCTCCGTAACTGGACACCATGCTGTCGATTTATCAATTCCATGCGCACCACATCTCCACCACAGCGCTGGATTAGAAGTTCCAAGTCCGGATCTGTAGAGCCGGCATATTTTGCTTGCCGGCTGTAGTATCTGTGGATCGTTACTTGCGACTCCATTAAATATAAACAAACGTTATGTACAAATTAATGTGACCCTAGGAGGAGTGCGTCAAATCGCAAAAGCTAAAGTAGGGACTAATAAACTTATTATTCGTTTTAAATTGATTTTTCTTCATTTTTAGAATTTTTTCTTATTTCCTAGAGTCTGAAAGATTTCCAACACTTCCTGTTGATTATAATTCGCGCTCAAGAAAAAATTTGATCCATCTGTTAATCCTTTGTCACAATTCCCCTTTTTTAACTCGGAAACGCTCCGTAACATTGTTGAAGCAACTTATCAGTATACTAGCGGATCTTGTTTAATTTGCTGCTTAAAAATAAATAATCAAAATTAATTTTTTTTTTTAATACAAGTCTTTCTTCAAAATATCGATACAACATATCGATAGTTACAACAAAAACAACGATTAAAAATAAAAATGGATGCCCAGACATCGGCTGGTCACACCAAATTACATTTTTTACTCGCCAACACCAACGCTCGAGCGTCGGTCCGCGGAAAATTGTAAAATTTTAATTGTCCGGGAGTATATTTTATTTAGCGCGTGATCAAAACAAATATGCGCAAGCGTAAATTGTATATAAACTAAAACATCACACGACGCGGAAACAAACAAGGAATTACAGCGTGAGTTGAGTGTTTAACTTTTTGGTTGGTACCCGTCAGTCAGCATTGCGGCTTCTGTGTTTGCATGCGAGTGTGTGAGTGTGTTTTTCTCTCACGTACTCCGGATGATTTGCGGCCTTGTGGGGTCGGAAACTGCAGATATCCAGCTTGGTCAGGATACGGAATTAGCATTGTGGAGCAGATTTCAGGTGCATTGTCACTCCTGAGAAGCTTGGCTGTTCCTCTTTTATCACTATCGCACTTTATGCAACAACGCAAACGTCTCCGAGAGTTGAGTTGAGTTTCGGCTCTCCTCGGATGTGTGTAGTGTGTTGAGATTCTCGGGGCAGCGAGGTGAGTTTGGCATCGTCTGTTTTCTGTTTTCCTTTCCCAGCGTTTTGTGTGCGTTTCAATTAAATGCAAAATTCGTTGCGAATATCGGAATAATGTGGTATACATAAAGAAAATCAAAACAAAATGCGTTTATAAATAATGAGTTGTGTGAGTGCTTGGGGCAGTGGGGGTGTGGTGGAGAGACGGCATTTTTCTTTACCACACTCCTCTTCTTCTTCCACGCGATATACGCTGCAATTTCTGCGATTCTGTTTTGCGCCTGCTATTCGCAATAATTTTATTGAATGAACCGCAAAAGAGACGGCCCAAAAAGCGATGTACTTGCTAGACGGTGTGCCCGTATGTACGTCTGTGTGTGCGTGTGTGTGGGAGAGAGAGTTTTGTGTGTATCGCGTATGAAAATATAAAAACTGTTTTAAAAACTAAATCAAATCAAATAAAGGAAATAAGCTGACATTGCAATCGGACCGGAGAGTATTTTAAATGCAAAATTTTAAAACGCTGCTCTTCCTTGTTCCGACTTGCATGTCCCAATACCACCCCAAAAAAGGTGCATACATGCACACACCTCAGAACTCGAATGTGTGTGTGAGCGCGCGTATTCTGCACACATTGTCATGCATGCAAAACAAGATACGACGCGTTCGTAATCGTCAGACTCCTGCTGCTCCTGCTCTGCTCCCCTTTGTACCTTTGCCCACCATTGTGAACGTTGAAAGAAAGCAAGGGTCAAAGGAAACAGGAAGAGGCGCGCGACTCAGTCGAATTTTGACCGCTTTTCCCCCCCAATGGAGTCGTCCTGCATCCTTCGTTTTTTTTGTCTTTACCCTTTGCCATATTTCGCTTTTCGCTCGCTCCTTTTTTCACGCCATCGCGGACACTTGCAGCTTTCGTGCCAGGAAAGAACAAGAGGAGTGAGTATCCACAGTTACAGTAGCGGTCAAAATAAAGGCACTACCGTCGAATGGGGCTCGAAAGCCAAGGTGTAGGTTGTAAATTTCTAAAATGGATAGGTCAATTGTGTGTATCTGTGCAAGTCTTTCAATTAGGATAAGAAAGAAGATGGTTCTTAAACTAAGATATGTTTTAAACAATGCTTATTTTAATCCCCATAGCATCCACGTTGGCAATTTCTTTTAGACTGAGACTGGACTGATTGATTAACAAGTGCAACTATCTTAATCTTCAAACCGTATCTGTATCTTCGAACTAATGAAAGCGTATTGTTGCCGGGTGCGAAAAATGTGCTTCAGAGTTGTCATTACACTTGCGGCATTTATCAACGTCCATTCCAGGCTGTGCCGGCAATTTGGGAATTTTTCTTTTTGGCACTTGGGCTGCCATTTAGCTGGGCCTGTTGTTTATTAATAAATATTAATAGTAATCGAAATCTGTACCTCTCTGTGGCTGTGGTTGTGGCGCTAGGCGGAAAAAGCATTGGCATGTTTGCGTGTTTTTTTTTCTTCGCAGCTGATTGCGTAAACTGCTCGCGACGTTTTGTTTTGAATTGCTGCGTTTGTTTTGGTACGATTCTTAGGTGTACTACTACTAGTCTACTACTGTGGAATCTAGTCATCCATGCTTGTCAGCTTGCTCTCATTCTCATTCGACTGTTATCAGTGCTATATTGGCCTATGGTGCTTTACTGAAGTATCACAGATCGCCATTCGTAATCACTGTGGAGCTTATTATTAGTCGAGCCTTGTGGTGGGTTGGAATTGGGGGTGCTGCAGGCGCCAATTCGCCAGTTTCAGTGTCGATCTGGCGTGACGTATCATTTTCTATGCGGCGCGCTCTTCAACGATGACGTAGCTATTCGTTCCGTTGGTTTTCCTACCTTCTGTTTACTCACACATTATTTTACACACTTGCCCATTGATTTGCCCATCGCCTTTCCGAGTATTCCACTTCCACTCCCACATTGGCGCTTCTAGCCCACTCTGCCGTGCGGCACTCTCTCTCTCTCTCTCTCTGGTGTTTGTTTTCTTCGCGCGCGTGTTCGCACTCACCGCTGCAACGATGTCTCAATGACAAGGCTGAGTAATAAACTCAGTAAACTATTTACTTAAATACAATTATTTACTCTAAATTTAATAATGTATAAATTACAGGATTATTAAAGTGCTAGGTTTGCTTAGAAAATGTATATGTATGTATATATATGTTGCCACCCACTGTATTTGAGGCGAAAGCGCGGCACTGAATATGAGACCCTCACACACCAAAGATCCAACGAATACGTTTAATGTTTGTAAACAGACCGGGCCATGCCATTTTTTGGCATCTCTGACCAAATGGACATTACTCTCACGCTTTTCTCCCGCTCTCTCACACTGGCACACACACACGAGAGCAGCTTTCACATTTTCACAAAAATTCGAAAAACTTTTAATATTTTAGAGATTTAAATAATTTTTATTATTTATTTTTTTTACAGTGTTATCCGGTGTGACCTTTTTTAACCCCCCTTAGACCCCACCCGGCGCTTGAGTAGCAGCTTAAAATGGATGTACAAGTCAAGCATAGAGATTAGTCGAATCCTTTGAATTCTAAATTCAAGATCCTTATTTAAATTAGCCAAGTAGCATAGCCCTAGCCTAGAGCATATTGCCTAGTTGAACCGGTTCCAAGCCACCAGCACTGTCACGTTCACACAACGACGTTAACCTAGATCCCAAAGTCTATCAAGGATCCTTTGCAAATAGTTGACTAAGGGGGACTACTGGCAACATGACGACCGACACCCGCCGACGCGTCAAGTTGTACGCGCTAAATGCGGAAAGGCAATGGGACGATCGTGGCACAGGCCACGTCTCCTCCAACTATGTGGACAGATTGAAAGGTTGGTTATCCATTTAAACCATTAATTTAAGCATCAGATCTAAGTTAATATTTCGTTTTTAGGCATCTCCCTGTTGGTACGCGCCGAAGCCGATGGATCTCTTCTGTTGGAGAGCAAGATCCAGCCGGATACCGCCTACCAGAAACAGCAAGATACCCTGATTGTGTGGTCTGAGGGCGATAATTTCGATTTGGCTTTGAGTTTTCAGGAAAAGGCGGGTTGTGACGAGATTTGGGAGAAGATATGTCAGGTAAGTGTTTTATTTGTACAAATTTTAAACTATTTTTACGATATACACACTATAATACGGGTAATCAAATGCTACTCTAGGTGCAAGGAAAAGATCCTTCTGTAGAAATAACACAAGACATCGTGGAAGAGTCGGAGGACGAGCGTTTTGAGGACATGTCAGATACGGCCCCGCCGATCGAGCTGCCGCCCTGCGAGCTCTCACGCTTGGAGGACATTTCGGAGACGATACAAAGCTGCCTCTCGACTCCACTACGCAAGGAAAAGCTATCCATGGCCCTCGAGTCGGAGAGTTACATCAAGAAACTGCTGAACCTGTTTCATGTGTGCGAGGACCTTGACAACATCGAGGGACTGCACCATCTGTTCGAGATCTTCAAGAACATATTTTTGCTGAACAAGAACGCTTTGTTCGAGATCATGTTTGCGGATGACACCATTTTTGATGTGGTGGGATGTCTGGAGTACGATCCGAGCGTGGCCCAGCCGAAGAAGCACCGCCAGTATTTGAAACAATGGGCCAAGTTCCGCGAGGCGGTGCCGATCCGTAACCAGGACCTGCTTGCAAAGATACACCAAACGTTCCGGGTGCAGTACATCCAAGACATCATCCTGCCCACGCCGTCGGTCTTCGTCGAGGACCACATGCTGAACACATTGTCCAGCTTTATATTCTTCAACAAGGTGGAGATTGTGACAATGATCCAAGATGACGAGCGTTTCCTGCTTGATGTTTTTGCTGTTCTAACGGATCCCGCCACTGGAGATGCTAAGCGCCGCGACACAGTCCTCTTTCTGAAGGAGTTCTGCAACTTTGCACAAAACCTGCAGCCCCAAGGCAAGGACTCGTTCTACAAAACGCTGACCTGCCTGGGCATCCTGCAGGCGCTTGAACTCACGCTTGTAATGAACGACAAGAAGACAAAATCGGCCTCCATCGACATCCTGACAGCTATTGTCGAGTTCTCCCCGCTGGTGGTTCGCAACTACACGCTGAACCAGGCCAACAGGCCAGAGGGGGTAAGATCTGCAAGTCTGCCAGTCGGTGGCTATATCTCATAATCTTAATAATATTTCCAGGAGCGCATGCTGCTAAACATTGCCATCGAACAAATGCTAAACGACTCTGAGCCCGAACTGGGCATTGCCGTGCAATTGATGGGCATTGTTAAGATCCTGCTGGAGCCAGAGAACATGCTCACCGAAAAGGGTGACTTCCTCAACTTCTTCTACAAGTACAGTGTCCAGACGTTAGTGGGTAAGATCATCATTGGTACTTTCCAGCCTTTTAGATTATTGATTTTGGATCTTGCAGCTCCTCTGATGCTCAATACGATGGGCGATCGTCCGCAGAACGAGGACTACCAGACGGCCCAGTTGCTGGGCATTGTTTTAGACATATTGTCGTTCTGCGTGGAGCACCACAGCTACCACATTAAGAACTTTTTACTGCAAAAGGATCTCCTCAAGCGAATTCTAGTGCTGATGAAGAGCACACACACGTTCCTTGTCCTCGGCGCCCTACGGCTGCTACGCAAGATTATTGCTCTCAAAGACGAGTTCTACAATAGGTGAGATAACTATAGAGATATTGTATTTTGATGTTTCATAACCTATCTGTAACTTATAGACACATTGTCAAGTGCAATCTTTTTGCGCCTGTGGTGGACGCCTTCATTCGCAACAACGGCCGCTACAACTTGCTGGAGTCGGCCATTCTGGAGCTTTTTGAGTTTATAAAACTCGAGGACATACGCACCTTGTGCGTCTACTTCGTGGAGAACTTTAGCAAGATATTTGATGAAATCGAATATGTGCAGACATTCAAGTACTTGAAGAACCGTTACGATCAGTACCAGGACCGGCTCAAGGACCGCGACAAGATGGAGAACCGAACGGACGGGTAAGAAACTGCCTTGGTGCAAATTTTCCTCCAAAATCCATACATGGATGCATTATTTTAAAGTGGCCCGCCCATCATCCGCAGCGGTGGCCGGTTTCGTCGAGACCAGCGGCAAATGGAGGAGGAGGAGGAGATGTGGTTTAACGAAGAGGACGACTTCACCGAGGAGATCGACACCTACAACAACGTCATTAAATGTAAGAATTATTAATATTTTTAAGATTATGAATTTGTTTTTAATAAAATTTATATAATTTTGTTTTAATTGCAGCCGTCAGTGAAAAGAATGGCCCGCAAACACAAAACCAGCAGCAGAAATCCTCACCACCACACGGAACCTCGCCTCACAGTGGTCTTCTGGGAAACCTGAATGCTAGTGCAACATCAACGTCCACATCCGCCTCGTCAGGAGCTCCCGTGGCCAGTGGCAGCAGTAGCCCCGAAGCGAGTATCGCCGATGACCAAACTCAAGCGGCGGTACATCTGGCTGCCGCTGCCAACATTGCGTTGCAGCATCACCAGCAACAACAACAACAGCAGCAGCAGCACTCATTCCAGCAACAGACTCAGCCTGAAATCGCGGAACTGCAACAGCAGCTTGGAGGTGTGGAGGCGCCGCAAAGTCAAGACCTCGATCTGGTACAATCGACGGCAGCGAACGTCTCGCCATCGTCGTCATCCTCATCGCTAGAGGCGTCAACGTCCGCGTCGTCGTCCTCATCCTCTTCCTCGTCATCCTCGTCATCACCACCCGGCCCCTCGGCATCTCTCTGCGATTCTGCGACGGTGGCAGCGGTGGCTGCCTCACAGTTTCTTTCAACAATCGCTACCGCAATGGCAGCATCCGTTACGGCAGCGGCGGCTACCACCTCATCCCCCATCCCGTCAGCGGGATCGTCTGTTTCCAGTCCAGATAGCGATGCAGTCGACGCCCAGTTGTCGGCCGGCGAAGATGCCAACAGCCAGGACAGCGCCGATCGGGACACCAACAGCACAGATGCAGCGAGTAGCGAATCAGACAAGGCGACGGCCAAAAAGGTAAAGAGAGTAGACTAATTCTAGAGAATTTGATGTATATATCTTTATATTTTAGGGTCTGGTGGACTACGAAAGCGATTCTGGTGAGGACGACTACGAGGAGGATGAAGACTCCGAGGGGCCACAAGCACAAAAGCGCGCGCGTCTGTCATAGTTAGCAGACATCGAGCATGTCGACGACATCAATTATAAATTAGTACACACGTAAACACAGAGCAAACACGCAGCAAACAATAAACAAAACAGAAAATCACACCAACGAAAGATGTTAGGATTGCATTGGCAGAACAGACGATGACAGCACAGCAGACACCAGACACCAGACAGCGGACAGCGGTACGATGTAAGATCGAACAAGGAAAAACAAAAACAAAAACAAAAAACAAAATATACAATTAAATTTTAGCATAAAATTTATTTTAAACGAAAGAAAGCAGAAACATTTAAAGTAAAAACGAGAAATTATATAAATTACTTTACTAAATTAAATAACTACATATAAATATATATTCAAATATATATATATACATATATATATATATATATATATGCATATGAGAACACAGATAACTATAGAAGTCAGCATCCTCGAGCGAGATGCATTAATGCTCGCGTTGTTCGGCAGATTAAAAGGCATTAACGAAACAAACCAAAATAAGCATGTATTTAGTAGTTAAACACCCAGAGGAGGAGAGGATAGCTGTCAGGTGGTGTAGGACATCTGTATACAAACAGCATTCATAATCTATCAAGTAACTATGTCGCTTGCTAAATCCTAAAATCCCCTTTAACAAATCCTGTCCAGAGTTGGCTGCTGTCGGAAAATGTTGTGTGAAAGAAAGGAAGGCAATATTTAATTTTTTGTGCAATATTTTTGTTTGTGTGTCGATATTTTTAAGACAATTGCAATATAGTATGTATATTTTACCAATCGTAGTTCTAATGTTTACACTTAATTGTTGTCACCTACCATATTCTATATCTACCATCACGATTTCCTGCCAATTGCACTATCACGCGTTACAGCGTTGTTTACAACTAGCAATTTATTAAGTAAACAAAATCTTATCTCGAGATGCTTTGTTCCAGTTGCTGCTGTAAATCGCCCTGTAATTTTTGCCAACAACGTAAATAATTGTAATTATTTTTAAAAGTTTTGGTGTAAACAATTCCAAAAGCCGCGAATATATAAGTATTGTGTTTAGGAACCGTCGTACGTAATGTTGCAATTGTTTTTTAAATATTAAACAGAACCAGTGGCCAACTTGACAATTTTTGTTAAAACAATCCCAAGAGTTAGGCGCAGGCACCCTTCAACCCAATGAACTTGTATATAATTTAGTAATTTTCCAATGCCCGATTAGTTGAAAACTGCCCTTGCACCACGGATGACATCAATCATCAATCACAGAGCCATTGCGGTAATACGACGTTTGTACAATATCAAGCAGAGATTGAGATGCCTAGTTTGGAACTCTTTTTGAAAGGAGCTAGCGAAGCGTTGTCTGACTGTAATTAAAAAACAAAAACACAAAAAAAAAAACACAATTGTTGCGTTACCTTTGCATTATTGAACCATAAACAAAAACACACATCAATAAACAACTAATTATAATGATACAAGATAAACTTAAAGTTAAACTAAAGTGGGGGAAACAAAGAACAGAAAACAAACAAATAACACGTAACAATAAAGTAATGTAGACTTTTTAGTTATTTTTTTGTCACCTTAACTATAATGATATAATGATGTACTAAACGAATGTAGTAGGAACCTGGGAACATCATCACCAAGCAACATGGGCATACATCATACATTCTGCATTCTCATCGAAACGTACAGAAGAAAGTAATAAAAGTTATTTGTTAAATATCATCGTATTTGCCATGTGCGTACTGTACTACATTTATTTATTTTAGTATTTAAATTTCAATTAAGAAGAACTTGTCACTGCAAATGGTTTCCCCCCGAATGATGTAGGTCTGGAGTACATAAATACATACATATATCCTTCCAAGTTGTTGTTTTTGTTTGTTTGATTGAGCAACAATACAATTACAATACGCATCCGCGAGAAGCATAATAAACCAGAGAGAGAGAAATATTTAAATAAAGTAATAAAAGATTAACAAAAACAGAAACTAAAACGAATGCAAAATGATAAGAAAAAACTAAAAAGTAAACTTAAAGCGACAAACACTATAGTTTATACATAGTATTTATATGAATCGTGTACTGTATATGATATGCTGTCTAATCCCTAATCCTAACACACACATACCCATTACATCTATAATTTGAATATATTTTATTTAGTTTTTTAAGCAACTGTGCGTAAAAAGCGATATATATAACTCTATATTATGATTATGAGTAAATTAAATAATAGTTTTTAATAGTTTTTAAACAGAAACAAATGGCCAAGTTCCCAAAAGTGTTTTTCTTATTCAATTTAACAAAACACCTGATACTAGGTGTCGGTGGGTGGTGGTTTTCTTTTCCATTTCCATGGGAACCGATCAAAGGACCAAACAAATGTTACGAGTAATTATTCGACCACAGGTCTAGGACCAAGGGTTAGTCACTACTTATAGCTGAAGCGAAAATGTCGGTTGAGGACTCTTGGGTTTTTGATTCGCTGGTGTGTTTTTTGCACGGACCCGTGTGGAATGCGCCCCTCCAGACCTTCATTGAGCAGAAATCCCTAGGTGAGAATGCGTCACCGACCACGTCATCGTTTAACCTTCGCTTCCGATGCAGTCTTCGATCCAAACCTGCAGGTGGACGAAACCAATCCCGACATCCTCCAGATCCACGAAGAGTACAAGAACCTGGTGGACTACATGCTCGGTAGTTTCATGGAAGAGATGCAGATAACGCCGGAGCAGTTTGAAATGGCCTGTCTGGAGGGTCGACAGCAGGGTCAGGGCGAGAATCCCTTCCAGTTTCATCAGGTCCTGTTCCAGCAGGTAAGTGGGTTCGGAGGATGGTCTTCCAGGTGATGCCCGGGATTTGATTTTTTAGATTTGGGCGGCCAACGACCTGAAGATATTTATTCGCATGATGACGCAACGCAACGTGGAACTCCAGCTACAGGCCCTGGATCTCATCGAGAAAAATCAATTAGCCCATAATTCCGGCGAGGAAGGGGATGGTCAGCACCAAGCGGAAACGGCTTCGGATCAGGGGTGAGTTTTGTAATCCACAAAACCACTCCGAAGAGGACTCTTATGCAATCTCCTACATTCTTGCAGTGATTCCCCCTCAGAAGTGGAGCAATTGATAGCCAAGACAGTGGCCGACGAATTGGAGAGCCCCGAGGCTGCCCTCACTCCCGACCAGGACACTAATCTCGATCTAGTCAACGACAAATTCCAGCGCCTTAACTTGTTTTTTGAGCAGGAGGACCAGGTGGACCCCAATGATATGGTGTCGCGACAGGAGTACCTTCGCCAGCAGCGCGACAAAATAGTGGAAATTAAGAAGCAAACACGGGCCAAGCAGTTGCAAGAGACCATGTCTAAGGGCACGCCACATGCTCCCGAAGGTGCTCGTCCCAGCTCAGCCCTGGTAGCCCAGCAGCTCCTGGAGAACGGTGGCCGAACCAAGGAGTTGTCGGTGCCAGCTCCTCTAGAGAGTGAGGAAAACGCTGCCCTCCAGTTGAGACGAAACTTGGCCAGACGCTTGCGCAACGAAGTGGTGGAGCAAAAGTAAACACCCATTAGTTTTCGTTCTATTCCCATTTATTGTTGATTCTCGGTCAGGAGGATTACCAGGGTGCGTCGTGAATTGCCTCGCGCTGACTAGTTCAGTTGGTGGTAACACGAAGTGTCTCTTTGTATCTAAAGTATCCGACCGATCACGTCCACACAGATTCAAACCTTGAACCCAAAGATTGGCTGTGTGTGGACGTAATCGAGAGGAATTGAAAAATTTCGGTATATAGATTCGTCAAATTAAACAGATTGCTAGTAAAGTATTGCTTAAAAACTGATTTGTGCTTCAATTGTGAGTCCTTCTCTATGTGGGGATCCGATCCCGCAGATAGGACATAATGGCATCTGTGCCCTTCATGAGGATCTGATGGCGCGGCTGTCGAAACGGATTACCAACCAGTTCCAGGTGACTAAAAGGATCAACAATGAATATCATTTAATAAAAAATATATATGAATCCTTACGTTATATTGGTTAGGTTGCCCAAAATGGGTGGCACATTGTCGATATCGTTATTACGCAAATCCAGGGTCGTCAAGCGGGGCATGCACTGAAGACCCGCAACATTCAACTGTTTGATGTGGTTCTCACTGGCAATAAGAATCTCCAGACCTTGTAGTTCGTATATACCATTTGGAATAAACTGAAAACTGAAGGCAAAGACGATTATCTAGTAGAGATAGGGAAGGAGTGTGGTAGGACCCACCGATTATTTGCTACATTAAGCTCACGAAGAGTCACCAGGACACCGAACTCCTTGGGCAGGTCGTTCAACAAGTTGTTTGACAAATTCAGGTATGAGATGCGTGTGAACTGCGATATGAACTGGGGTACATGCCCAATGAGGTTGTTGGACAACACCAGCTCGGTGAGCTGGTCCCGCAAGTGCTGCAGACTGCAAGGGGATCATTTGTCATCATAAGGAAGTGTGAACCTTTAGAAACCATACCCATTTGGCAATGTGCTCAACTGGTTGCGGGCAAAGTCCACCACATGGACACCCTCCTCCTTGGCCAACTGGAACACTTGTTCCGGCACTTCAGTGAGCTGCTCTAAGTTGACAGCTAATGTACGTGTATGTCGTAATTTGTATCTGTATAAAGAAAGAAAAATCGGCATAAGTTATAATGTTACCACAGCGTAGGGTTATGTGATTGGATGATGTGAAGGTGTAAAGCTTGGAACTTGGTGATACAATACACCCAACGCGGATGCACAGCCATGCGGTTGGTGCTGTGATGCGAGCCATCTTGTCCGTATACATATTGCTCCTGCTGCTGCTGCTGGAACATGTAACAGTTGTGGTAGGGACCCGACCGCCGCTGCTCCTGCTGTTTCATGAAAAGATTAGCCATGTTGCCATTTTCATGCTGTTGCTGATAGCTCTCGGGCTCGTATATATGTCCCTGGGTCTGCCTATCATACTCCGGGCAATTTCTAAGCGGTTCATAAACACAAAAAGGCTGCATATTCTGCTGAATGTGGTGCTGCATGTGCTGCTGGCAAGGATACGGACACCTACATCCGAATTGTGATGGCTGCTGCTCTGAATAACTACTGCGGCGAACATGAAGCAGCTAACCTGGCTAAGAGTCGATCCCAGAATACATACCTATCCGGAAAGTTTTCTGGCATGTCTCCAGAGTCAGTGTGTCCGCCTCGAAGGCGGGTAACGCTTATGCCCCCCGAAAGGGAGGTCGCATCGGAACCTCCCTCCTCCTTGTTGGCCAATGCGCGATCGTGTAAGGTCTTCAGAATACGCGATGTTCCACACTGCAGGATGTCGCGACGAATGGTCTTGATGGGATTTCCATCCACCTGTAGGCTGATCAGATGGGCAAGCGACGACAAAGTGACTGGCAAAACGCTTATGGTATTGTTGGACACATCCAGGCGGGTGAGGTTGCGCAGGAGGCACAGTTCATCAGGTAACTCTGTGATCTTGTTGTCTCGAAGGTCCAGGATCTTCAAATGTGGCAAGTTACTGCACATAGGTTTCGGTATCGCCTAAAGTATGGTATGATATCAATATTTATATAGAATTCTTAATTTAATCTTATACCTTAATAAAATTATTGCTGGCATGAAGCTCGTGTAGGCCCTCATTGCCCTCGAAATCGGGCAGCTCCTGAATGTCATTGTGCTGCAAATATAGGCACTCCAGCTTCCTTAGGAGTCCCATATCCTCTGGTAATCCGGTCAGGTCATTATGCTCGATATCAATCTTTTGCAAAGCTGCACATTCATGGGGTGAATGGGTCATATCATTACTATTTTATAGAAAACCACTTACAACGCATGTTAACAAGATCAGGCGGTAGTTCCTTGATGTGGTTATAGGGCAACAGGAGCGTAGTTAGACGCACCAAGAACCCAATGCCGCCGGGCAGGGATTGGATGTTGTTATGCCCGCCGTCCTTTTATTAGAATTGGGTTAGCAAGCAGTTTGTTAAAAGGGATTACAAATATCGGGTATTAAAAAGGAAATAACCCACAACCAAAAATATAACACTTGACTTCCTTACCCAGTCTTGCTACTTACCAGAAACTCGAGCATGTGGAGGTCACTTATGTCCGGATCAAGTTCTGTGAACTCGTTGTACGAAATGTTGAGATGCCGCAAGTCCGGCAAACTGTAGAGCTCACGGGGCAGCTGACTGAGTTTGTTGTGGCTCACGTTCAGACGCATTAGCTTCTCCAGTTTGCCGACCTCTGGCGGCAGCTCCACTAGGGCATTGTCATGTAGCTTTAAAGACAGATGGTGAGTTTAGGAACTTCATAAACCACTTTTACATACTGTGAGGACAGTAAGCGACGCCAGATTCTCAATCTTGGGCGATAAGTGCGTCAGGGTATTGGAACTGAGATCCAGATTGTTCAGAGGGACCTGATTCCACCACGCATCCTCTTCCTTTATCGTCAGCTGCTCCAGGTTGGCGGCTTTGCTGTCCGCATCCGCCTCGTTGATGTCAAAGAGTCGTTCGGGCACTGGAAGAAAAGGAGAAAAAGAATCAATTAGAGAGCGCTTGCCCAGCCACATTAACTACTCTACAGGAATCGGTTCTGGGCTCGGAATCGGGAGGCGGGTCATCATCCAGCTCGAGCTCATCTTCCGGATCCTCGCTCTCCAGCTCGTCCGCGGAAGAGGCCATCTGGAATTCGCGAATCTGGTAGTAGCGACGCCTTCGCGGATAGGGACCGCACATGCAGAACGAGGTAAGTTGCTTCTTTGGAGGAGCAATCTTGGCGAATGATGCGGCAGCTCGAAGCTCTCTTGGCCGACTGAACGGAACAAAGTCATGAGCGCTGACGCAACCGGGAGCTGTTTTATGGGTCGCCTCGAGGTGTGGATGTTAACCACTCAAGCGGCAAATATGTTCCTCGCCATTTTTGGGTAACTTCAGGGTCAAGTTCGATATCGAGATCGCTATTGTAGTGGCCTCACATGAACTGGAACCACAAGGCACTACTGTCGACGAGGCCGGTGTTCCAGCTTTCCGTATTCCCCGGCTCCAGTATTTTGGAGGTATTCAATTGGTTCTTGGCTTTCCAGTAATGGGCATTGGCTTTCCAGCGACGTACTTGCTCCTGGTTCACCACTGCTTACCATCAGCACTTAATGTAGCTACTACTAGGAGGTTTTCAAATTCGTATTTTTATAAATGGATTTTGGATTTAGGGTTTGGATTGTTTTTTACTTTTTTATTATTAGTTTTAATAAAAAATTATATAAATATACAAAATTGAAGCAAATACTAAATGTTTTATTTATCAAATCACTTTTATTATCTAAGGAATATTAAAACAATAAATATGAAATATAACTTAATGGACAATTAAAATTAAAAGTAATCTTAATAAAACTATAAATCAGTAATCAATAATAAAATATCTTTAAAATAATTCTTTAGTACTTTACAATTTGAAACCAAATTTAAAAATCCAATTATAAAAATACAACTAAAGTTTAAAGTTTTAAGCCATTGCACTCACCTCTGGCTAGTGCTTTGTTGGAAAGATTAAGAGTGCCTGATTTGCGTGCCAGTTTCCACAGTTGCTTGGTGAGGACGGAGTCATCCTCGTCGGTCGTCCTTTCATGGAACACCGGACGAAACGAATAATTAATCCTTGGCGACGGTATCTGGCGGGGTTTCTGGGCGCAGCGCGGAATCCGACTAGATGTGCCTCTGGAGGGTGAAGGGCCAGAGCCCCGTCCATTTCCGGACATACCGCTCATCTCGTTGGGACAGCCGTAGTACGTAAAGCAGGACGGGCCGAAGTTAAAATCTCCTCCAAATGCAGATTGCTGGTTACATTCCTGTGGCCCGTTGAGGGATCCGCAGTTGTAAGTCGCTTCGAAGTTCGCCTGGGGGCTGAAGCTGGTGGGGATCACAGGATTGTGGGTCAGTAGGATGTAAATAACAGTTAAATTCGTTTTTGTCGAGATTTTGCGTTTTTTTTTAGTTCACTGTCAGTAATCAGCTGTTCATCGACTGGAGCCGCCATTTTCCAACACTGGACAAGTGTGATTTCATTTTAAATTCCAGAAATCGTTACTTTTCAAAATTTTAAAGAAAGAAGACCCATTAGTTTAACGTTTTATTAAAAAATAAAACCATTTGCTGAATTTAATTATAAAGTCAGAAATTAATAAGGCAGAAATAAGAGAAGAGCACATAATTGTATCAACAAATCGTATTATGCTTAAATGCTTAAACAAAGTTTTATCAAGTAACATTTGATTAAAATGATTTATTATGATTAAAATCTACAATATTATCTATAAAATTCATGCTTTCTGTATGCTTTCATGCTTTTTAAATAAATAAAAACTTAAGTTGAAACATATACCCCCTTATCCTTTATAGGAGCTTAAGTTATTTAAACTGAGCTATAGAAAATGTCTATCTAAAAAATTATTAGATTTTGACATAGTTGCAACAATAATTATACTTAAAAAGCAAAATAAATCAGTTCTATATAACAAATAAAACCATAAGAATTGCTTTAAGAGGCGGCACTCTTTGAGAATCAACCACCTGGGCTTCCACAAATAAATCGGAACAGTTGTAAGAGCCCCCATAAAACTGTAATTGATTTGATCGTGAACTTAAGTCTGGACAGGGGGTGTGCAATCCGTAATCCACAAGCAGCTTAAAGGTTTACGTTAAGTCGGTGTACTCACTTCATCATCTTGTTGTTGTTGTTTCTGCTTAGGGGCTTCTCGTTCTGGGGGAGATACGAGATACGAAACACATTACTTTGGAGCAAGGTCAGCCGCAAAAGTCAGTCACTGGGGTGTATTAGATTTCCCATGGCGAGTCCCACTGCACCCAAGCCAAAATGTTCGTTCGCTTTTGTAGATGCACCCACTCCCCCCTTGAATTGGTCATACTACACGTGGGTGGTTGGGTGGTTGCCGAAGCGGCAAAAATGCTGAGCCACTTGTCTTTCCACCATACACTCAGCCTGGCAATGGAAACGTAATGGAACAGGGGCAGTACTTAGTCTACCGGCTACACTCGCCGACGACTGTCAATCAAAATTATGAATAACAGTGTGTGGATGTGTGGCTGGCAGCCTGGCGCACAGTCTAGGGTCAGTTGCCTCCAATTGGTGGCCACCCCCATCGCAGTTCCCATACCTATACGCCATGGGTTTTAGGCGACTAGGTAAGAAGCACATAGAGCACATGCCAGTTGCCATTTGGTTCTCATTGTAAGCGGATCGGACACGTGGAATTGAAACTATATATTGTGTTCTGTATTGCATCAGCCTAAGTTTGGATACATCGAAATCTGAGCTTACACTCGGAATCCTTCGCAATGGCAGCCGGTGTCTTCAAGAGCTTTATGCGAGACTTTTTTGCGGTTAGTTGCTGGATAGTCATCCACGTGTGGGTTAAACTAGCTACTAGACAATTTTTCCAAAATTTGGCTTAAGGTTTCCAAAAAATTACCCAAAGCTTACTGACAGATTTTCAAATGAAAATTATTTTTAAATAGTAAAGATAGCAAATATTTAAATTAATAGCTTTCCAAGTTCAGGGGCAGGTCCTTGGGAACATGTTCAGCTGACGAAATGTTTGGAATGTGCCAAGCATGCCAGCGCCCACAGCGGATAATCCCAACAAATCCACGGAAAAGTGCAGCTGGGCTTAGGGGGTTTAATCAAGGCAACTAAAACCATTAATACCCGCCCTAATACCTTCCCCTTCCCTTTTCAGGTGAAATACGACGACCAGGAGCATGATCCACAAACGGAACGGCTGGATGGAAATGGACGGCACTATCCCAATTGCAACTCGGATGTCTGGCTGAGATCCTGCGAGCGGGAGATTGTGGATCCCATCGAAGGCCATGTAAGTGGGCACATTCCGCGTTGGATTAGCGGAAGTCTTCTGAGAAATGGACCCGGCAGCTGGAAAGTGGGGGATATGACCTTTGGCCATCTGTTCGACTGCTCCGCTCTACTACACAGGTTTGCCATTAAAAATGGTCGAGTTACCTACCAAAATCGATTCGTGGACACTGAAACCCTACGGAAGAATCGTGCCGCCCAAAGGATTGTGGTCACGGAGTTCGGCACTGCGGCCGTGCCAGATCCCTGTCACTCAATCTTTGACAAATTTGCGGCCATTTTCCGTCCTGACAGCGGCACGGATAATTCCATGATTTCCATTTATCCTTTTGGAGATCAGTATTACACTTTCACAGAAACACCGTTTTTGCATCGGTAATTACATAAATATTTTCAATAAAATATTATTTCAATTGTTAATAATTTAATAACCATTCTCAGGATTAATCCCTGTACTTTGGCCACCGAGGCCCGGATCTGTACTTCAGACTTTGTAGGCGTGGTAAACCACACTTCACATCCACACGTTCTGCCGAGTGGAACGGTCTACAATCTCGGCACCACGATGACCAAATCCGGGCCGGCTTATTCGATTATTTGTTTTCCCAACGGACGCCACATGTTTGAGGACGCCCATGTGGTGGCCACTATGCCTTGCCGCTGGAAACTTCATCCTGGGTACATGCACACCTTCGGCCTAACGGAGCACTATTTCGTGATTGTGGAGCAGCCACTATCGGTGTCCCTAACGGAGTACATTAAAGCCCAGCTACATGGCCAAAATCTGTCGGCCTGCCTGAAGTGGTTCGAGGACAAACCCACACTATTTCACCTGATTGACAGGATTTCGGGGAAACTGGTGAAGACCTACGAGTCGGAGGCATTCTTCTACCTACATATCATCAATTGCTTCGAGCTGGACGGTCATGTGGTGGTGGATATATGCAGCTACCGTAATCCCGAGATGATAAACTGCATGTACTTGGATTCCATTTCCAATATGCAAACGAATCCGAATTACGCCACCCTCTTCCGTGGAAGGCCTCTACGCTTCGTCCTCCCGTTGGGAACTCTTCCGGAAACTAAAGCCGGAAAACGTGGTCTGGTGAAGTCTTTCTCCTTGGCTGGACTAAGTTCTCCCCAAGTCTCTCGGACCATGAAGCACTCGGCCTCCCAGTATGCGGATATCACCTACATGGCCACAAATGGAAAACAAGAAACATCCCCCAGCGAGGAAAGTCCTCGAAGAGACTCCAAGCGGGGGCGTTACGATGAGGAGGAGGAGAATTTGGTTAACTTGGTGACCCTAGAGAAGAGTCAAGCTGAAGCCTTCCAAGGAGCTAGTGGAATCTTTTTACGACCGGAAATGCTTTGTGACTGGGGCTGCGAAACTCCAAGGATATACTATGAAAAGTATATGGGCAAGAACTATCGCTACTTTTATGCCATAAGTTCAGATGTGGATGCAGAAAATCCAGGAACAGTAAGTACTTTAATTTCTATTTGTAATATTCCATTTAGAATATTATTTTTAAAGCTTATAAAAGTGGATGTGTGGAAGAAAACGAGTCTGACCTGGTGCGAGGAAAACATCTATCCCAGTGAACCCATCTTTGTACCCTCTCCAGATCCCCAGTCCGAAGACGATGGTGTTATTCTGGCCTCCATGGTGGTTGGTGGCCTAAACGATCGCTACGTTGGCCTAATTGTGCTCTGTGCCAAGACCATGACCGAACTAGGACGTTGCGATTTCCATACCAACGGTCCAGTTCCCAAGTGCCTGCATGGATGGTTTGCACCCAACGCTGTATAGAAATTTCACTTCCACGCATATAAAACAAACCAGTATTAATTTAAGAAATTTCTTAGATGTTAAATTAAACTAGTGACTGTTTTATAATCTCAAAACTTTGGATTCAACATATTTGCAATAAACTCCTGCCACTTGCGCTGGAAAACCCTGTTGATCTTCCGTCGCTCGTCCGAGGTCAGTACGGAGTACTTGAGCGAGTTCAAAGCCAGTTGCTTGAGAAAACGCAGATCCGCTTCCGCCGGAGCCAGGGCCATGAAGGCATAGTAGAAATCATAGCTGAGCCCCTTGGCACCCCAGGTGCCCGGATCGTCGGCCGAGATGACAATGGGAAAGTTTTCGGCGATCAGGAAGCTTGCCGGGTGGTTGCGTAAATCCCAAACGAAACCCAGAACCTGGTTGGAAATTGGGTTCACCTCGACGGCAATGTTGCGTTTCTTAATCGTGGACCATAGTTGCGGATGTTTGGGCAGGGCGTAGGCATGTCCAATGCGTTTCGTGTTTAGCAGAATGGCATCCATCATATTCCAGTCCGTCCGACCATTCCAATCTTGAATAAGTATTTGATTAAACTATTATTTATATTTTCATGGAATCTTACTTGTCTCGCCGGCATGGAAGAAGTAGTTAGCTGTACTTGGTAGGTCGGATAATTGATTTATATATTTGTTCAGTGGATCTCCTGTGTCTTCCTGGCCAATCAAATCGAATCCAATCACAAAGTTTGGTTTGGCGTGGCTGAAAAGTAAAGGATACACAACAATTACTGATTAGATTAAAGCTCGGATCAGAAAATATGATCGCAGGGGCCTAGAGTTTGATGAAGATTTGTGAAGAATAGATTTACAAATCGTTTAAGGTATTCCGCCTAAGAATCGGTTGAGTTTTGGCAAAGATACAGGGATCACAGGGGCCCATATTGCCGTTTCATGCATTTTCACCATTTTTGAAGGGGACACTCCAGAAAATTGGACAAAAAATCGAAAAAATATTTTGATCCTAGATTTTGATGAAGATTTGTGGGGAATCGATTTATTAATCGTTTAAGGTATTCCGCTCAAGAATCGGATGAGTTTTGGCAAAGATACAGGTATCGCAGGGGCCCATATTGGGGTTTCATACCTTTTTACCAATTTTGAAGGGTAGCCTCCAGAAAATTGGACAAAAAATCGAAAAAATATTTCGATCCTAGATTTTGATGCAGATTTGTGGAGAATCGATTTACCATTCGTTTAAGGTATTCCGCTCAATGATCGGATAAGTTTTGGCTAAAGAAGATACAGCCACAGCTGGGACCATATTTTCTGGATATCTATCTATCCGGATTTATATAATCTGTCAGGACTCTATTAAATATATTGCAAATGTATAAAAGTATTCTTACTGCAATTGCTTGAAGGTAGTTATTCGTCTCAGCATTTCTTCCTCGGAGGCTCGATTCCGTTTAGCGTAAATGACTTTCAAGCCCACAAAGTCATGGTGCTTAGCTTTGAATTCCTCCACAATTCTCTCCAGTTCGTTGGCCACTTCCAAAGTGCTCAAGGTGCGATTGTTGTCGTCGTATAGCTATAAAATTTAGAAAATTCATAATAGTTTCATTGGTAAAATCCAAAGAGTCCTTACAGGGGATAGAGAAGCGCGAATTTCTGCATAAATAATATTATCTTCACAGAGTTCCTCAAGGAGACGCTTGTGGTAGGTGCAGTAAGTGGGTCTGTACTTATAAAGGCGATCTACGGTGGTGAATATGTTTTCAAAGCGTTCCCAGATCTTTTTCCGGTTTGGCAGGAGGGCTGGGGATGCAAATTTTAAATGAATAATATTTATTCAAGTAACAATTAATGAAAACTGGTCTGATCCTCACCCTCTGGCCTGGGACCGAGCATGTTTATGTGCTTTTCCAATTGGCGCTCGTACTTGGCTCGATCCTCGGCATTGATCCGCTCCGTGCACACGTTCTGGACTTCGCTGTGACATCCAGCCTGGTCGTAAGTAAATACCAGCAAGCCATCAACATTGCGACAGGTATAGAGATTGTTTGTGGTGGTCAGGTTAGTAATGATCCAACGCGAAGTGACCATGCCCGTGTTATGGCCGTGCAGGAAGGCACCCTTGGGCATCTTCTGGATAATCCGGAACACCTCGCTCTGGCGCACATACTGCCTGCCCTGAAAGAAATGCATGGCCGGAGCATATTTCTCTGGGGTTTTTAGGCCCTCGGCGATCTCAGCCCTCTTGGCGTTCATCAGGATGCTGTTGGCCTTCTCCTCGTCGGACGACAACCAGATGTTCCCACCGAGAGAGGCTGCTCTTTCGGCCTCCATTATCTGCTCCCTCAACGTTTCATAGGCTGTTAAATTAATAAAATGAATTATTTTAAAACTTTTTTCACAAAATAATACATAATGGTTTGTTTTTATAAATTGCTTGACGATTTACAATTATTTCTTATCACTTTTTGTTTGTATTTATGTAATTGAATATTTTATTTGGTTGTTGTCCAACAAAAAATTTGGTTTCCTGTTATTTCACTTATAGAAAAACAACATATTATATATGAATGCACAAATCAAAACAAAAAGCCTGTGGAGATTATAACTGACTCATAAATGTATTAATTTATTTCCCGTCGCGTTTGTTGAAAATTATCTTCGTCGATGTACCGAAAACTAGTTTGAGAAACTTTCAAGGCACCGCCGGAACAAGATCAAGGCCTGGTAATTTTTCCAGAGGATCTCCTTTAGAACTTACGTAAGTCTGTGGCCTGATTACTGCCAAAAAGCAGCAAAGGCAGAATCAAAAGTTTTAGCACCAACATTTTTATTTTGTCCAGTATTCTGATTGTACGCCGTATTAATACGATGCGATTCGCTCGGCCGACGGCAACCAACTGATAAGTCAGTCGCATCCGTAGACATCTGACCCGTATACGGCTCGTACAATAGTGGGTTTCCCTCTCTGATCCTCTGATCATGATCTTGGACGCTGTGGGAGCAGCATAAGCGGCATCTGTTGCAGTTCAATGCCGGCGATTAGTCCGATCCGCAATGGCAACGGGGTGCGAAATGTTTGAATGCCCCCGGGTTGACACTTTCGTTGACACTTTCGGGCAATTTGCGAATAAATTTCATGACGTAGCATTGTCCAGTGTCACAATACCCTATTCCGTACATTTGATAGTCCTAAATGTCTTAAATCCGGAAAATGTTGCCCGCTAGAGATTTAGTTATTGCAGCACATTCCGGAACCACATTGGCCGAAACGCTGGTTTTATTTTTACATATCAGCATAGGTTTATTTTTATTTAGTGGACATTGTTTACTAACCCAATTTATTTGGTTCTCCCGCCAAAATTATACTTGACATTGAACATGAAATGGGGTCATCCAGGCATCAATCATAACACTAAAAAGTCGGTCGGATGGAAATAGTAAAAAATATGAAAACCAAAACAAAGGTTACACATATATAGGCTGATAAGAAAAATCATTTTCCATAGAATTGAGTTCAAAATATGTTTGATTTATTCTTTAAGTATCAAGTTTAAAGTCTGTAATTTCCCACCCAATTTAGTGTGATAAAAATCATCAACAAACATTACAATAGATTATCTTAAATGACACTTTTTACCAACAAATTAAGTACTTATTTTCCTTGTCTTTTTTGCTGGAAGGCTTTTGTAATCAGGGATAATAGACGAACATGTGTAATTATAGTAAATGTCACACACCCACCGCAATTTTTTTTTTTATTCATTTTGGAGGTTGGGGACCCGGGAGGCACTTGTGATTCCGAAGCCGTATGCCACTAGAAACGAAAATTGCCTCCGGCAACGTCAGCGAAAATTTGCCAAAATAATAGAAGAAAAAAAATAGAAATAGTTAAAAATCATCAAGTGATGGGCGCGCGCCGCTGTGATTTTAAATCACTTAATATGCAAGCGGCATTCAATCAGAGATACGCAAAAAAAAAGATACCCAAACAATCCGGCTACTAGAATGAAATTGTTTCGGGTGCCGGAGCGTTTGTCAACCGTTAAGAGCCGTTGTAGCTGGAGCCCGGTCTAATCTTTTAATGAGCTGGCTTCGCAGAATGATTGTGTCAAAATTAATAGTTGGATTGCTTCTCATTTTTGGTTTGTTAACCTGTCTGGGGCCACAGTTCTAGCCGGGCTACCGTGGCGAGTGGTTGTAACGAAAAAGTATACCTCCCATTTATACACCTCCGGAGAAACCACTGAACAAACAATATTCAGTCAATGTCCCCAGTCGTGTCAATATTTGGATAGTGAGCTCATTAGCTCATTGGCACAGCTAAACACAAAAGCTGAATTAATAGTAAAGGTCCTTTAACAAAATGAGTCGATTGGAACTATTGCTCCTGTTAGTGATTCCGTGCGTTGTGGTCCGAGGACAAAGCCAGCTAAGTACGAAAAAAACCTAAACATTTTCCACTGAATCTTTCATGCCTGGCCTCCTTCCAGGTTATGAGCAAGCCCGACAGGCAGTTTTAACAGCCGAGGAGGAGCTGATGACCGGAGGACACACTTACCTCAACACCATGGAGGCCAAAGTGGATGACATTTTCATGGAATACAAACTCGGGGAGCTCTCTCAGGGATTCCGGAATGCTGAGCAAAATGCCGCCGCCCTACATTTCTTTAAAGCCAAGCCTCTGATCGATAGGAGTGGCGTCTTTCGGTTTCTGCAGAAAATGCCCAAGGGAGCGGTGCTCCATCTGCACAACACCGCCTCTGTGAGTTCCAAGTGGGTGGTCCAGAATATGTCCTATATGCCCGGCATGCTGCGCTGCACCACTTCCACGGGTCGCAGTGTCCTGACCTTCCGGCGAACACCCAAGGAGCACAACTGCCAGTCGCAGTACATTCGGGTTTCGGAGGAGCGCCACAATTCCATAGATCCCCAGATCTACGACCAAAATTTTGAACGTTTGGTCAACTTGTATACACCAGTTCCGGAATGTGGGTTTGCTTTATTTTATTTTAAAATATTATATTAAATTTTTGTTCACATTTTCCTAGTGGAATATCCAACCATTACCCAAGTTTGGGACAAGTTCCAGGACATGTTTGATACCCTTGGCGATGCCTTAGCCTACTTGCCAGCTTTTCGAGCATATCACTGGCAGATGCTCGAAGAACTTTACAACGACAATGTTATGTATGCTGAAATCAGGACCAGTTGCAAAAAGGTAATTATGATTTTTATTAGGAAATAAATTATTTAAAGTGTCCTTTTTTCAGCTTTACGATGCCAGTGGTCGTACTTTTCCCAGGGAACGTACTGTTCATGAATTATATGCTCTGAATGAGAAGTTTACGAGGCTACATCCCGACTTCTTGGGTTTCAAAATCATATTTGCTGTATTTCGCGGCTACGGGGTGGATGAAATTAAGAAATCTGTTGAGGAGTTTACAAAACTTCAGTAAGTAGAATATTTAATTTTGAATAAAATGTTTCATATTTCTTGTTTATTTACAGCGAATCCCTGCCCCACTTTGTGGTTGGTTTTGATTTGGTTGGCCAGGAGGATAAGGGAAAGCCGCTGCACACTTTCCTGCCTGCTCTGAAAGACTTCCCGCCGACAGCACGATTCTTCTTCCACGGAGGAGAAACCAGTAGGTAGAGTCAAGCCCATTGAAAACCTAATTAAACTAAAAAACTCCATCAGATTGGTTTGGAGCTTCCACGGACACTAATCTTCTCGATGCCTTGCTGCTGAACACAACCCGGATAGGTCACGGCTACGCCCTAGCTAAACACCCTATCCTCCTGAACGCCGTGAAAACTCGCCAGATTGCCGTGGAGGTGAGTCCCATCTCGAATCAGGTCTTGCACCTGGTCTGGGATCTGCGAAACCATCCGGGAGCCCAGTATTTGGCCCTCGACGTGCCCATGGTGATCTGCAGCGACGATCCTGGTTTCTGGAATGCCAAGGGTCTGAGCTACGACTTTTACTATGCCATCATGAGTCTGGCACCGAATAATGCTGGGGTCCGTCTGCTCAAGACTCTGGCTTGGAACTCGATACGCTACTCAACTTTGACGGTGGAGGAACAGACCCGCGCTTTCCAAATTTTGGAGCTCACGTGGTCTCGCTTTATAGACAAAGTCCTAGCGGGGAATGTCTTTTAAGATAAGCTTTCAGAAATAAACTATCTAATAAATGCAACAAAAAAATATGATTTTCATTTATGAAGGTTCGGTTTTGTGTCTTCGATTTTTTTAATAGTTTTTATATTTTCCTTATTCGCCTTTTAATAGTTGTGACGTACATTAAACATAGTATATTTATGTCAATTAAACTAATTTCAATTTTGATTTATTCTCCTGGGTAGTTTTTCCAAATGTGGTTCGACTAGGAAATACTTATTTAAAGATATTTACATACATTAATTTTACCCAAAGAATATATCACCAGATCGATGTAAACATCAAATAGAAATAAACATTTACTATTTTATATAATTTTACATTAGGTTCATATCATAGAAACTTGTTAGTCCACCTTTTCCCAGTAGGAGGTACAAAATATTCCTAGGAAATCAAAAAACTAAACGAGCTTGACTTTGTTTCCAATTCCGTTGGAAATAAAGTCGTCAAAGTTAATTGTTGTTTATTGATTTTTAATTTTGGTCAAGTGTCTGTGAACATCCGCCTTGGTCACTTCCTCAGTTCAAGTTTGTATCTTCTGGGGAACAGACGTCTTAGTTCTTTGATTTAAAGAAAAGTATCTTATTTGGATATTGGATACTACAACTAAAAAAGGATGAAAAGGCCGTGGTTTTTGCTATTTCTAGTCCTGATTTCATTTTTATTGATTCAGGCAAGGACGGTTTTAAGTAAGTTATAGCCTTAAACCATACATTCCATTATTTAAACTTTAAAACTAATTTTCAGACTACGACGAAGCTCGAAAGGCTTTTTTAGATGCCGAGGAGAACCTCCTGACTGGTGGCCACACGTACTTGTGTGAAAAGGAGATTAGGGTCAATGAAATCTTCATGGATTACAAGATCAAGGAGATGGACCATGGCTTTGAAAACGAAGAGGAGAACGCCGCTGCACTCCATTTCTTCAAGGCCAAACCTTTGATCGACAAGAGTAAGGTGTTCCAGTTTCTTCACAGGATGCCCAAGGGAGGCTTGCTCCATTTGCACAATAGTGCATCCGTTAGCTCCGAGTGGGTGGTGAAGAACATATCCTATTATCCTGGCATGTTGCGGTGCACAACGACCAAGGGTAAAACCGTCCTGACCTTTCGGCGTACACCCGTCGAACACAACTGCCAGTCGGAGTACGTACTGATTTCAGACGAGCGTGGGAATGCCAGTGATCCTCAGGTTTATGATCAGGAGTTCGAACGTATCATCAATATGTACACCCCTTACCCAGAGGGTAGGTCTTTCGAATGTCCTTTGGATCCTTTTTTGATTTATTTTATATTTATACAGTGGAATATTCTACTACAAAAAAGGCATGGACTCGGTTTCAGGACATGTTTGATTCCTTCAACGACGCCCTTGTCTATTTGCCAGTATTTCGACTTTATAGCTGGAGAGCTTTAGAGGAGCTGTACAATGACAATATCATGTATGCGGAGCTCCGATCCACACTACGGCCAGTAAATTTAAAACGTTTTCCTTCCATTTCCGCTTATAACTATTATTTATCCCTACCAGCTCTACGGCGATAATGGAACCAATTTTCCAATAGACCGAACTATCCAGGAGTTATACGATATTAACGAAAAGTTTATTCAGCAGCACCCGGATTTTATAGGAATAAAAATCATATTTTCCGCATATCGGGGCTTTGAAGTTGATCGTATCAAAAATATAGTGGAGAATTTTAAACGTATTCAGTGGGTATTCAAATATTTATGTTTCACAAAAAATAATTAATAATTTATTGCAACAGCGAAGCTATGCCCAATTTCGTGGTGGGGTTTGATTTTTTGGGACAAGAGGATCTGGGAAAGCCACTCTATGATTTTTGGCATATTATTAAAGACTTTCCTCCAACAGCCAGATTTTTCTTTCATGGCGGAGAGACAAGTAAGTTGAATTGAATAAACTGTGAATCATTTTATTCATAATATTTTCTTATTTAGATTGGTTCGGTACCTCCACGGACCTCAATTTGCTAGACGCCCTGCTACTAAACACCACTAGGATAGGACATGGCTACGCCCTGGTGAAGCACCCGATCATTATGAGTGCCGTGAAAAATCGTAAGATAGCCGTCGAAGTGTGTCCCATCTCGAACCAGGTCCTGCATCTGGTTGGGGACCTAAGGAACCATCCAGGAGCCCTATTTCTGGCTCAAGACATGCCCATTGTGATCTGCAGCGATGATCCCGGGTTCTGGAATGGCAAGGGTCTGAGCTACGACTTGTACTACGCCATCATGACTATGGCTCCCAAGAATGCTGGACTCCGTTTGCTCAAAACTCTGGTGGATAATTCGATTCGCTACTCCGCTATGACAGAGGAGGAACAAAGTCGTTCTTACCAGATTCTGGACAAAAATTGGTCCATCTTTATTGACAAAGTACTGGAAGAATCCGACAATTAAATATCTAAATAACTTAGTAATTGGGGTATTTTCATGTTGTGAATTGTAATTTAGTTCTAGACAACTTTAGACTCACAAATGATAATGAACAATAACTTAATATAATATTTTAAAAAAAAAATTTTTTTCGGATAAGTTAAAGTGAATAAAATTGAATTCGACACGACAATTCTTGGTTATAGTATGTAACGTCTCCTTTCTTCTCTGTAGGGGAATTTCTTAAATATTACCATATACAAAATAAATTAATTTTCTGTCCTAAAAGTGAAAAATGTAAATACCCCTTACTCTAGATGCTCAACCAAATTAGGTTCACTTAAATTGTTTAATTGTCAACCCTAAAAATAAAAACAGTCAGTATTTAAACCTCAACAATAAGAAAAGCCATAATGAGAGCCTTCCTGCTTACAATAGTTGTTCTGCTACATTGGTTGTTTGTGTATCCTGGTTATATAAGTGATAGGAATCGTAAGTCATTAATTTTTAAAAATTTTTGAATTTGAAAATATTTGATGGAATATTTTCTTTTAGAGTACGAACAAGATCGTAAACAAATTGTGGATGATGAGGAAGCTTTGCAAGCTGGAAATGATTTTAACCTTTCCTCAAAAGAAGCAGACGTCGACCGAATCTTTATGGGTTTTAAGGAAAAAGAACTCACCCGAGGATTTCGACATGAGGATCAGCACACCGCCGCTCTCCATTTCTTTAAGGCGAAGAAAATGATCGAAAAGGGCGATGTATTTCCGTTCCTAAAAATGATGCCAAAGGGAGCCCTACTCCACGTGCACGACGCTGCGGCGGTTAGCTCCAAGTGGGTTATCAAAAACCTGACCTACATGCCCGGAATGCTGAGGTGCAGTACTGCTACGAATCGTAACGTTTTTACTTTTCGGAAATTGAAGAAAAAACACAAGTGTTCGAGTTCATACTATAGAATCTCCGAAGAACGTGATTATGCGTGGTACACCAGCATATATGATGATGGTCTGGAAAAATCAATTAATTTGCGTGCGGCATATCCGGAGAGTAAGGATCCTATGCAGTGTTTAAGTGATTCAATTATTGTGTGACAAACCTTTCAGTGGTATTTCCCACCTTAAAGGATGTTTGGGACAAGTTTCAGAATATGTTTGGAACCATGGGCGATGTCTTTTCCTACTTACCAGCCTTTCAAAGATATATCTGGCAGATGCTCACAGAGCTCTATTTGGATAATGTCATGTACGCGGAAATTCGATCGTCTCTGAAGGAGGTATTTGAATAACATTTGAATTTGAACAATGCATGATTATATATTTTTAATTTATTTCTTTCACTAGCTTTACGATGAAAAGGGAAAAGTTTATTCTAAGGATTTCACAACTCGTTTATATATTAATATAAGCAAAAAATTTGTGAAAGAATATCCTGACTTTCTGGGTATCAAAATCATTTACGGTGGACGTCGCAGTGATATTACAACAATAAAACAATCTATAAAAGAGTTTATACAATTGAAGTAGGTATTTTCATATTGAATTGCTGTTTTATATCAACTTTACTTTTATCTCGCAGTAAAGATTTTCCAGAATTTGTAATTGGATACGATTTAGTTGGCCAGGAAGATAAGGGAATGCCACTGCATAGTGTACTAGACGCTTTGGACGAGCTCCCAGAGGCAACTCGACTTTATTTTCATGCAGGAGAGACCAGTAAGGGATTGAAAATACATTTTATTAACGCTCTTACTAGTTCTGTTTAGATTGGTTTGGATCTCTTATGGACGCCAACCTCCTGGATGCTATTCTACTTAAAACCAAACGAATAGGACATGGTTATGCCCTAGCAAAGCACCCGACCCTCATGCAGATGGTAAAAACAAATTCAATAGGCCTGGAAATAAGTCCCATTTCGAATCAGGTGCTCAATCTGGTCTGGGATATGCGAAACCATCCGGCAGCTATGTACCTGGCCGAAGATATCCCGATGTCGATTACCAACGATGATCCTGGCTTCTGGGATGCCGAGGGACTGTCCTATGACTTCTACTACGCCATAATGAGTATGGCTCCAAATAGTGCTGGACTGAGTTTGCTGAAAGCGTTGGTATGGCACTCTATAGATTATTCTACTTTGTCGTCAGCGGAAAAGGAAAAAGGACTCTCTATCTTAAATCGACGATGGGAAAAATTTCTAACTGAAGTGATTACTAAGTGGGGAAAAAAGAAAAATAAAAAATTAAATAAGATAAATAAGATAAATAAGAAAAGACGGCTATCGACGAGATTCCCAACTAAGTGATACGTTTTTTACCCCCAATAACCTTTAAAAAAAAAAAATTTCCCAAAAAGTCGATGTGCCAAATCTTGTAAGCTCTATCTTTTATAGTCTCTGGGAGCCAAAAATTGATACGAATAGACGGATATAGCTATATAGATCGGTCTATTAAAGGTAGAGATGTATATAAAATTAAACTATATTACTGGGTATAGCTTTGGAATGCAATAACATATATCCTTTATTTAATTCCTTCTCCTTGTCACATACATTCACTAGAATATAATATACCCTTGTAATTTACGAGTACCAGGTATAAAGAATATATTAGTTTTAAATTGGAATGATATATTATATTATGTAATATGTTAAAGACCTCAGACTAGAAAATAAATATTATGAATGTACAATATTACCTTTATTCAGGCCATTAAAATCAAATTCGCCATGGCGGTCATTGTTTAAAACCCTATGAATTGTATTTATTTAGTGACAGAGCTTAGTAAAGAAAGCATGTGTTATACTTCGCCGGTTTCTACAGTTTCGACTAAACTTTTAAAATAAGAAAACCAATTGGTTTTAAAATATTTCAGGGAGAGCGACCATAATGAAAAGCTTCCTAATTATAGTGGTTTTTCTGATACATTCGATGATTGTGTATACTCAGGGTTATATAAATAATAGGGAACGTAAGTTATTGTTTTTTTTAGTTTTGGAAATTAATAAATTTCGAAAATTTCCTTTAGAGTATGAAAAAGAACGTAAACAAATTATGGATGATGAGGAAGCTTTGCAAGCTGGAGCTGACTTTAACCTTACCTCAAAAGAAGCAGAAGTCAACCGAATCTTTATGGGTTTTAAGGATAAAGAACTCACCCGAGGGCTTCGTCATGAGGATCAGCACACCGCCGCTCTCCATTTCTTTAAGGCGAAGAGCATGATCGAGAAGGGCGACGTGTTTCTATTCCTGAAAATGATGCCAAAGGGAGCCCTACTCCACGTGCATGACACTGCGGCGGTTAGCTCCAAGTGGGTTATTAAAAACCTGACCTACATGCCCGGAATGCTGAGGTGCCGTACGTCTGCGAATCTTAACATTTTTACATTCCGGAAGATGAGAAACAAGCACGGCTGTTCGAGTTCATACTATAAAGTTTCCGAAGAACGTGATTATGCGTGGTATAGCAGCAAATATGACCAGGACCTCGAAAAATCAATTAATTTGCGTGTCGCATATCCGGAGAGTAAGGATAGTGTTCAGTTTTTACGTGATCCAATCGATCAATTATTGCATGAAAAACCTTTCAGTGGTATATCCGAACTTGAAGGATGTTTGGAACAAGTTTCGGAACATGTTTTCAACCATTGGCGATGCCTTTTCCTACTTACCAGCCTTTCGAAGATATGTCTGGCAGATGCTCACAGAGCTCTATTTCGATAATGTCATGTACGCAGAAATTCGATCCTCTCTGAAGAAGGTTTCTGTCATAAAATTTGAGTTATCTTTATCTAATTTATTTTATTGTTTTCATTAGCTTTATGATGAAAAGGGAAAAGTTTATCCCAAGGAGTTTACAGCTCGTGAATACATTGATATTAACAATAAATTCGTGAAAAAGTATCCGGACTTCCTGGGTGTCAAAATAATTTTTTGCGGTCATCGTAATGATATAAATAGGATAAGACACTCTGTAAAAGAGTTTAAGCAATTGCAGTGGGTATTGTCACATTTCAATAATAATATTTTAAAATGCTTATCATTTTTCATTTTATCCCGCAGTAAAGATTTCCCAAACTTTATAATTGGATACGATATAGTTGGTCAGGAAGATAAGGGACTGACACTGTATAGTGTCCTGAATGTTTTGGACGAACTGCCAAAGACAGCTCGTCTTTTCTTTCACGGAGGAGAGACCAGTAAGACAAGGATTTCAAATATATTTTAATGTTTTTACTAGTTCTTTTTTAGATTGGCTTGGATCTATTATGGACACCAACCTCCTGGATGCTATTCTACTTAAAACCAAACGAATAGGACATGGTTATGCCCTTGCAAAGCACCCAATCCTTATGGAGATGGTAAAAAAGAATTCAATAGGCCTGGAGGTAAGTCCCATATCGAATCAGGTGCTTAATCTGGTCTGGGATATGCGGAACCATCCGGCAGCTATATACCTGGCCGAAGATATCCCGATGTCGATTACCAACGATGATCCTGGATTCTGGGATGCAGAGGGACTGTCCTATGACTTCTACTACGCCATAATGAGTATGGCTCCAAATAATGCTGGACTGAGTTTGCTCAAAGCCTTGGTGTGGCACTCAATAGATTACTCCATTTTGACGTCAGAGGAAAAAGAAAAAGGCCTCAATATCTTGAGTCGTCGATGGGACAAATTTCTAACTGAAGTGCTTAATAGGTGGGGTAAAAAGCCAAAAAAGTAAAATATTAAGAATTTGAATAAAATATTTCATGTTAAAGCCCTCAGACTGGAAAATGAACAACATAAATGTAAAAATATTAACTTTATTTCCAATTTGCAATAACAGAAATTCGGTGTTCTCTGGAAAAGGCTTGGCCATATTATATTGCAAGTCCAATTGCCATAATTTAATAATTTCCAAAATATAATGATCAAAAGGAAAACCTTTTCCATTTCATTGCCAATAGAGATAACACAGTTCGAGAGTTCCTGAAGTTAGGAACGGAAGAACTAAATTAATTTCCTTCCTTAATGTGGAATCGCAAAAAATTTTGGCAGCTCTCCATAATCTGAAGGTAAACTGTGTTGAATGCTCCCAATCCTTGGCTCTAAAAAAGAATGTATTTGAGAGTTAAGCTATATACTCTGCAAAATATATTTACAAAATATGGGTCTTGAATGATTTCATCCTCCCTGCGTCCTATGTAGCTGCCCAGCAATTGTATTTTACACTTGGGAGTCGGCTCCAGATTTCTTGCTTTTTCCTGAAGTTCGGTTAGGTTGCTGGTGTCCATGCCAAAAATGTAATCGAACTCATAGAAGTCGAGCTCTGTAATCTAATGAACAGTTCAAGGTTATCAAAAGTCTTTGAGTCTGAGAACTCGTTAGTTACCATCCGACCCAAGTGACTCATCTTGATGCCATGTTGTTTTAGCAATTGCTGGCCTCGAGCTTGAGGTTCCTCGCCCACGTTCCAGTCCCTGAGGCCAGCACTATCAACGTGCCAGTCCTCAAGGTTCTGTTTCAGAACCAAATGCTTGAGGATGGCCTCGGCCATCGGAGACCGGCAGGTGTTGCCTAAAGTATCTACAAAATCAGTAAATATTTTTTTTATGATTTTATCTTACCAATGCACACAAATAGAACTTTCATGTTCACTGCGGGGAACTGCAAGTTCCGAGTGTTTAGGGTTCTGATTCATTTAAGAAAATGAAAACCAGTTCACGTTTTGTACCAGCCATTTATTTATTTAACAATATCACATTTTTACAAAACATTTATTTCTGCAGGCGCTCTTTCATGAAAGCGGCACAGGCCACGACGCATTGTTGGTAGGCGGTCTCGAATCCTTCGGCGCCTCTCTCCTGCAAGGTCAAATAAAGGTCATGAAAAACAATATTTATATTCGAATAAATAAATAAAGCTATTTGAATTCAGAGAATGAGAGAAACATATTCCTTTTTCCTACAGGCCTAAACCAAAGACTTGGATAAAGACTTATCCCATTATTTTGTACGTACATAGTAAGGATCCTCAATGATGCGGTTCTTCTTCTCCAGACCGAAATCCCCCAGAAGGAGGAGTTCTGCCTTGGCCTTCGAGGGCTTCAGACGATTCAGTTCCTTCATGTTGTCCTCGTCCATCCCGAAGATGTAGTCGAACTCGTTGAAATCCTCCTTGCGGATCTGGCGCACAATGTGGGTGCACTGCAGACCATGCTGCTGCAGGGTGCTGATGGCCCGGGGATCGGCTCGGTTGCCCACATGCCAGGGACCAATGGCTGCACTGTCCACCACCACATTCTGCACCTTCGCCTTGTTCAGAGTCTCCACCATTACCACCTCCGCAATTGGCGACCGGCAGATGTTGCCTGCAAAGCCAATAAACCAACGTTATATGTATTTTATGTTTAACGCAGATACTTTTATTCATTACCTAAGCAGATCATTAATATCTTCTGGACCATGATTTCTTACAACGTGATACGATTTACAAGTAAATTTTGTTTATTTTTTTCCGGCTGGCAGGCGCAAGTTCCAAAACTGTAGCCCTGATATATCGGTTAGTTGGCAACGCGGGCAATCAGCTGTTGCCTACCAGCTGACTTAACCCTTAACTGGCCGCTTGGCTTTTACAAGATGTCGTTCTGGCGCGCTTGTTTTAAAAAGCTCTCACAAGCCACCACGCACTTCTGATAGATTTTTTCAAAAGGTTCCTCTCCCAGACTCTATAAAAAGAAATCAGACTTGAGAGGAATACAATTTAATATCTTAACGCTCACATAATAGGGATCCTCGATGATGCGTTCGTCCGGCTTAAGCCCAAAATCCCCCAAGAGGAACACCCTGGCCGTTCCATAACTTGGAGCTATCCTTTTCAAGGCCGCCAAGTTGCTTCGATCCATGCCAAAGATATAGTCGAATTTGAAAAAATCATCAATGTTCACGACTCTGGCGCAGTTGTGGTATTTAATGTTATGTCTGGCCAGGACCTTCAGGGCTCGTTCATCTGGTAGGCAGCCGGAGTGCCAACCCTCTATGCCGGCGCTCTCCACGTGCCACTCCTTCTGCACACCCTCCCTACTGATGACGTCACGCATCACAGCCTCGGCAATGGGGGAGCGACAAATATTACCTTCGTGTGCAGTCCATTTGCATAAAAAATTAAATAACGAGTTTCAAAAGGATTAAATCCCATACCCACCCACGCACACCATCAGCACGTTGTACTTCTCCGATTTCTTTCCCATGTTATTTTGTTGGATTTCTTCTGGGATGGGCTCTTCCTGTTGGCTGGGTTTGGTCGACGGTGAAATTTTTATGGACTTGGCTAGCTGAAGTGATAAGCAGAGGGCTAAAGTACAAAAGTGTACAAAAATAATGTGTTATTAATGCACATAAAACGAGACAATACGAGACTAAAAACTGACAAGTAAATCAAATAATTTGTAAATTCATAAAATAAATGATTTAAACAATAAAATAAGAAAACAAACCTTTAAAATTAATCATTATTTTTTCAATTATTTCCATATTTTTAAGGTAATTTTTCTAAAAATATAGGGCCTTAGAAAACTAGTATATATTTGGTCGAAAAAGTTTGGAAAACAGTTTAAAAGAATCTTTAAAATTTTTAATTGTTTTCGCTAAATATAAAGTGTATTGATTTTGGAAAACTGATATAGAATGCACTGCCTATTCAGGAGCCTATTTGGAAATTTCTATTTCAGAACTCGTGTAAACACACCTTTCGGATAAACAATCTAAAAACGATCCAACAGATAGCTGTAGCTGTGGGTTTTCAGTTCCCAGATACTTGGCCGTTTTGTCCGTTACATATTGTCAAGTGTTGCCTTAGTAGATAGCACCTCTGGCACGGACTTCCTGCTTCCGGCCTCCTGCTGTACCACATCCTGTTTACCCAGTTTTCCTATTTACCCTGAAATTGGCTAAAAACTGAGTTGTAAGCAACTTAAACTATAAACATTTAATTAAAGTTCATTTGCCGGGTGGAGCGGAGGTTACCTTTGCATCCACAGCCATAAGCCCACCTGGCCGGTAGCCAGGCAGGGAAAACTTTTGCCAAGCGGAATGAAGAGGTGATGAGCTCTGGTGGGAGGTCGCCTGGTCGTTCTGGTTTCGGTTTTTGGGGTCTGAGGTTGGAGGTTTTGGGGCTCTCTGCTGCCCATGAATATGCAAGCAAGACTTTGAATCCACATCTGGTGAGTGCACCTGCCCGTGTCCCTGTACCGCCCCCCAAAGGCCAGGACACTGGTCTCCAAAAAGCTTAATGACTGTCAAGAAGGCCAGGTCCGGGTGTGGTGGATGTGGGGTGTGAACTTAAAGCAGATGACCGTCCGGCTCTAGCCGGGGAATAAAGTTGCTTTTAAAATGAATTCGGTTGGGTTTTTTTTTGTGGCACAACTGAGTTTTATGCAAATTCTAGACAAGCACAAGGGCCAACAAAAGCCAGACGCAGGGATATGGATGTAGTGTGTGCATAACTTTTGCCAAGTTTCCTCTGTAGTTGTTGATGTTGCAGTTGCAATTGTTGTTGTTGTTGCTGTTGTTGTTGGGGGCGGCTTTGATGGCATCAAAGTAAGCATGTCGTTGTGCAGACAAATGTTACGTACTCTCGTCACACTCTTACATATGCAAATGGGCCTTGTTGCTGCAGTGCGTCCTCCGCAATTGACAATTGTTCAAAATGCAAATGCAAATGGAAATGGGAATGGAAATGCCAAGACATGTGCCCAACAGCCACACCAGTAATTCATACATATGGAGAGAGATTTGCCAGAGGAGGGAGGAGCAGGTAGGAGGGACTTGGGCAGGGTCTGAGGCAAAGACAAATGCAAAGGCGTTGTCACTGCTATATCATCATCCGGCGACGACATCTCCCTAGATAAGATAAATCATGCCAAAGTCAACAGCAACAACTAAGGATGCGTTTTACTTTCAGAGATATAGGGTTCAAGGACTACAAAAATAACCATGACTTCAAGAAAAATGTTATAAATATTTCAAGAATTAAAGAATCACCAATACAGAACCGAATTATTTAATAATGAATAGTTTCAATAGAAAATTTTAACCTAGAAATTCTAGAATAGAATAGAATTTCTAACCTAAAAATTCTAGAATAGAATTTCTAACCAAAAAATTCTAGAATGGATTTTCTAACCTAAAAATAGAAACCCTATTTCTTTTAATATCCCTTTTTTAAAGTGTTTTAGAAAAGGTCAGTGCAAATAAATAAACCCATTATTCTAAGAGACCCGCAGGTCGAAATAATACCCAAGTGCAAATGAGGCATATGTCATGGAGGTAGGAGTCGTCTATAAAGCCTGCCACCTTACCCACTCGACCTAACCTCCCAAGCTGATGAGCAGTTGACGGACATGAACAAACATGTTCAAGCCGAACATCCATTTTGAATTTGGCAAATGAAAAGCGGAAAAGCTAAAACCGATGTAGTATCTGGCAGATGCCTTTGCCTATGCATCTCTATCCGCCATCCATTTGTGCATGTATCTTGTATCTCTATCAGTATCTGTAGCTGTCTCTCTGTCTGCCTTTTGCAGCTTCATCAAATATTTAGCGCCAGGCAGGCGTCTTTCTCTCGGGAGGTGCCTCGGGAGGCGGGGGAGGCCTCAGAGTACCAAGGGGCGGCGGTACCCGTACAAATAAGCGCATTCATTGTGCTCGTTCAGTGTAAATACGAAACGGACGTACATAGTAGTAGCACTGCTTTGAAAATAACAACATTGAGAAATTACGGGAAAGATCTCGACTAATAAGATACTATAGCTTATCGTAAAAAGAGTTTCGTTAGAAGAGGTTTAGATATACAAATTGAACTAAAAAGTTAAGAAAATGTAGGGAGGATTTTGAAACACAACCATTTTGTTTCTAAGATTATTTAACTTTAAATATCTTCTTTAAAAAGATTTTCTTTAAATACCCCTTAATTTTCTTTAGCAAAGCACTGCAATTTTATAACTTTTACTAAACAAACTTCACTAAAAAAATAAAGAAAAAAAACAATTTCAAAGTTAATGAATAAAACAAACTTTGATGGCATCGATTCGGGCCGCTGTTGTTTGTTCATAAATTTCGGAAACCACCCACACCCCGCTGCGGAACACTATATACCCCTGCAGGGAATAATTTTCAGAGAGAAGCAGGCAGACAAACTACCCTGTTATTTGTTGGGGGGGTGTGGGACAGTCAGTGCCAACGACCAGCAACAAAAATAACCGGCAGCGCCAAAAAGCCGGCAACAACAAACGCCATGGCCGGCTACCTTGGCAACATGTTGCTGCAACACGAGTGCAACATTACAATGCATGTATCTGGCACGTACCCGAGTATCTGGCAGTCCGCCGATGCCTTTATCTCGTTACGAGTTTGTAATGTTGCTTCAGTGCGGCAACAATAACACAGGCAGCGGCAGCAGCAACATCACTACTAGCAGCAGCAGCAACATCAATAGCAGCAGCAGCAGCGTCAGCAGCAGCGACGCGTTTTGAAAAACTTGTTTTCAACGTAGTTGTATCTCAACGTAGTTGGATTTGAGACGGCGACGCAGGTGGACGTGTCCGGAAGCGAGGCAATAATTGAAAAAGAAAGAGAGCACAGAACGCGAGCGGGTTCACAAGTACCGATACCGATACCGAAACGTAAGCGGACCGCGTTGAAAAAAAGTACATACTATAGTCGGCAGCAGTCGGAGTCCAGTGTTTGTCTTTATTTTTATGGCGCGCGCGTCGCGTCAGGTAGTTTTTAGATATTTTTTCGTGCTATTACTCCTCGCCGCCTCGCGATTTAATGGCTGACAAAGCCAACGAGCGTGTAAAGGTTGTTAGCAACAGCAACAAAGTGGTGTACATTCTCCATGAAAAGTGCTAGTGCCCAGAGATCCAGAATCAGTGCATATACATATTCCACACGGGATTACTCATCCATCAGTCATCAGTCCACCACCACTTACTCCACTCCAACGGCGGCTAACTCCACTGCGCTTCTTAACAAAACCGAATAACCCGAAACCAGTATCTGAGCCAATGTTGTATCTGTAAGATACGATCCCATATTGGAATTTACTTAACACGTATGCGACGACGCACCAATACCACTAAAGCATACAACGTCTTGGAGTCTATTGGATTTTTTGGACACTACTCTGACTCTTCAGTATCTCAAACATCCAGGGTAGGTAATCGCCGTATCTTTTCCCAGGAAAAACACACACACATATGTATTTACACACTTGTCCAGCTGCGTTTTTCCACCCTCGGCTTAACTAATGAAGCTGAAGTTACTGAAGCTGAGGCTGACCTGCCTTGTGCCTCAGCACGGTACGGCTACCTGTTCGAAGCGACCCTGGGTTTCCCATTTTTCCCATTAGCCGATAGAAGATTTCACTGCACATATCGAAAGCTGTGGCTATTTATAAATGGCCCGCTCGGGAGATACGACGCTACATACAATAATACCTTTGAACAGTGCGTTTTTGAGCCCAGGCTTCGAAATCCGGTTTTCAGTCCCCAGTCTCCAGTACCATTCCCATTCCCTGCCCGCCAACGGCAAACCCAACCCATGCCCATACAATTCCATCCCATATAACATATCCCCGATGTCTGGCGGGGCCAACATCAATTCAATTTCTACTGGCTGAGTGAGTTTTTAGCTCTCTTCTGTGCGCAAAAGAAGCATCTCCATCTCCATCGCCATCGCCATCTCCAGGTCGAGCATCTTCGGATCTTAAATCTCTGGAGCTGGTTTCGAGCTGTTTTCTTTTCCCTCGCTTTGTTTTCTTTCGTTTCGTTTTCGTTTTTTACTATTTACTGATCGTGTTGGGCTGATCATCATCATCGTGATGATCATGTTGCTGGCCTGCCTGTTTAAGCCAAGATTTTTGTTTGCCGATTTCTGCTGGTCGGTCGGTCGCCGGTTAAGGTACATGGCCTTATTTACCCAGTTTCCAAATCGCTCACCGATTTGTGCTCATTCTTCCTCTGCGAGATCTTGTTGCTAGTTTTTTTTTTGTTTTTAAGAGGTATTTGCTGAATCACACGGAGATCATTTGATTTTTAAATTTTTGTGTTAGCCAGACATTGGCTTTGATCGGGTTTTGAGGCGAGGCGGCAGTGGCGTCGGCACACCCATGACGGCGATTTAGAGTCCCGCTCCGGATTTGAGTCAGAGCCAAACAATGCGGCATGCGGGAATTGTTGTGGGGCCACTGGCACGACCAAAGAGTAGCAGCAAGAAAAAAAAAAAAGAAAATCAAAATGCAAAACTTGTTGCTAATAAACAACAATTACAACAACGACAACCACGACGACGACGACAACAGCGACAGTAAAAACAAAAACAAGTTCAGCTAACCACAAAAATGCTGGCAGCTAACTTTATGCTCGTTCGTGGCCCAGGAGCTCAGCTCTGCACTCCGAAAACAAGTCAGAGCTGGGAGTCCAAGTCTCGTCCATTGGTGTTGCTGCTGTTGGGGCTATTGCTGCTGTCACACTAGCTTGCAGCAACACCAACACCAACGGCAACATCAGCAATTTGTTGTTTCAGCTCGTGGCCTGCACAGCAAAAAATATTGCAATAAACTTGCCCATTGGTTCCGGTTTCATTTAAAATTTAAATAACAAAAAAAAAAGAAAAGATATTCAAAAGAAATATGATTATTTCAGCATTAAATAGATACATTGTTAAGCAATTTATCTTGCATGTCAATTTTAAATTATAGCCTCATTCAAGATTATTTATATTGAAACCTTTTCCATATATCTTCTTTTAACGAGACAGTTTATAAAATTGAACAAAATACTAGCTAATTTAATTTGAAAGAACTTCAAATCACAAAATTTTCTTAGAAATTAAATCAACACCACACCTTGAATAGCAATCTTATCAATTAGCGATAAACTTTTGTACAAAAATAGAAGAACGCGTAAAACCTATTTACTATTTTGAGAAGATAAGTAGACCTTCTAACCTGGGAGTTCCCTGTTACTTGATTTTCTCTCTGTGCGCATAAATATATACAGAGTATTTGGCTTTTTGTCGCCATGTGAAGACCATAAAAAGCAGCCAAGTGGCCAGCTGCCCCAACTGTTCTTCTTGGCCAGGAGAAACCGAGGAGCCAATGCGACCATAACTGTGTCAGTGTGCAACCAGAAGAGGTCTAAGCCTATTAAGCTCGCCGGCTTAAGATCGGGCAATGCTAGTGGTCACAAGGCGGTAATACCTCACGGGCGAATTAGCCGTAATTAATGCCGACAGGTGTCATGGAATTGGTGCCAGATCAAAGTCATAGCATTGCCCTAATTGGATGCACCAATTAGGAGTTGTAGTTACAGAGCTTAAAAGGTATTGGACACGAGCTTATTGTAGGATAGATCTTTAGAAAGATATACATACCCCAGAATAAAAGCTAATAAAATAGATAAGATTAGATTCAATTAGACACTGACTATTATCTCCTTAGATTGTTGCCGGCCTTTGTAATAAATTAAATAGAAACAAGGTCGGATAACTTCAAAACTAGGCGTTGACTTTATTCACGTGATTGTCATGGGGACCGCTAAAAGATCGCTTCTTTAATAACTCCGACTGGAGTTAGACCTCCTCCTGGCTGCGTCTCACACAGCGGGTGACCTTGCGCTTGAATTCAGCGTAGTTCTCCCGCCACTCCTTGGCGGCGTCCACATTGGCGGCCGACTCGTCGTTTGGATCGGTCAGCATGGAGATAACCGAGAGGAGGATCGTCTCCACGGTGTGCACCGGCAGCCAGCGCTCCTCGGCCTTTTCGTAGCCCCACTTGTCATCCCCCGGCTCGTGGAGGATCGAGATGCACACGTCCCCGGCCTTGTCGATATTCGGATGCCAGATCTCAGTAACGAACTTCATGCGCGGCGGACGCAACGGATACTCCTTGGGGAAGATGAGGTGGGCCTTGAAGCAGCCACCTTCGTAGAGGGTGTCCGGGGGCCCGATGATCACCACCTCCCACTGGAAGATGTCCGCGTCGTTGACCAGGCCGGCGGAGAAGCCCTCGACGGGATTGCGCTGCAGCTCCGCAAGCTGGCGCTTGAGCAGTAGCGATGCTTGCAGTTCGGACATGTCACTTGGCTGAGAATTGGGGTTTTACTTGGGATATTACTGGAACTGGGATAATTACTTACTGGAATTTTGTTCAAAAATGTCGAGTCTCTTTCTGATCTACTTCTACAGCTGCTGAACTACGCTGAATGCTACAGTTTCAACGAAGACAGTCCATACATGGGCTTACTTTGATTCACTTTTTGGAATTTATGAGGAAAACTTTGAGATATTCTCATAAAATATGAACTGGTCATACTTTAATTAAAAGCCAACTAGATAGAAAAGTATTCATTCTTTTGTTTATTGCTTTTTGCAAAAGACTATATATTCAAGTAGAAATTACTTAAAAGCCAAACTGAAAGCAAGTTTCTTTCTGGCCAACACAAAGGCCGGCGCAGAGAATGTATCTCCATGGAATTGCTCTTGAATGCGTCTTGAAAGTTTCCATTATAATCTCTTTTGGCCATTGGCCCATTCCATGCCTGGGGAAAGTCCTTCTATTTCCTTTCTCTCCATTACCAGCAATTACTGAAGCCCCTGCTAAGGCCACTGCTCTTAGATCGCACTTTTTCTGTGCCTTTTGGCCAGGCTGAATGGAAATTATGATGGTCGCCAGTCGCCACATTGTTGCCGTTGGTTTGGGCCTTCGTAATTGCGCAAATGCTGGCTCAGAGCTGTGCCAGCCAGCAACTTCGGCAACCACGACATGTGGCAGGCAGAACACCCCCTCCATCCCATGGCATCTATTGGGTTTTGTACCCCAACCTCTGTGGCTGTTTTTTTTTGCCAATTGCATTCGCCGTTTTGCTGGCCTTTTGAAATCCCCAAGGGGGGGATCTGACTATCGCTAACTGGAATTATGCTGCCGCAAATGTGTGAATTGTTAATGTCTCGTTGCCAGCTGAGGAACAACATTGTGGCAGCCGCAGTTGACTGACTTTTCATGTGGCTATATAGCGATTCGGCATTGCCGGTTTTTCAAGTTTTCCATGCTGTGTGCATGAAAATTCACAAATTCCAACTGCCTTTTTGCATTTTTGTTGCAATAATATTTACGTAGCATTGCAAAAGCAATAACAGCTACATGTGTACGACGCCTTGTACTTGGAGTTCTTCTAATAGAAGAACCGAGTTGGATTCGAAATTCGCTAAATTATCCAGCACACGCCAGGGAGGAAAACATGTTTGGCCAGGCCCATAACACTGACAGCTGCTGCTCGTCCGGTTTTTGCCTGGGTATTCTTCCTCAGTTCTTCCACATCTTCCCATGTAGTATCTACTATACTGAGTCTACTCCATGCCACTCTCTACTCCGGTTCGGCCCATTTAAGTGCCACATGTCGGAGACGTTCTGCCAGTTTCCCGCAGGGAAAGCGATATGACAGCGAGAACTCACACGTGCCACACACCGCCACACAGAGTTTCCGAACCAAACTCCAATTTCCATTTATTACACCGAGAGAAACACGCCCTCTTAAATTAAGACTATAAAGGGCTTGGTTTAATTGAGTGATTCATATTTAAATCATAATGGAGTGAACCACTTTAGCAAAGCGTTTTAATGTCTTTGTCATGTTAATTCTAAATGAAATTTATGCCAATAAATTAAATGTATTGTGCACATTAGTTGTTTAAATCAATTAAGTTTTTCTTTTAAATTTAAGAGATTGAGATTTATGGTAAGGTGTCTAATAGTTTAAGGTTTTAGATTTTAGAAACTCTAGAAGCTTATAGACTTGAGGCTTGAGAGTTACAAGAATTAAAGATACAATTTTGTAGAATGAAAGTAACTTGAACTGAAAAATCTCAAAGGATGTCCTAATGTTTAACATTATCTTTATATAATCCAAATATTTTTCTTCAGTGTCGGAAAACTGTCGCTATGTTGTCTGCGATTAAGTGGCATTGACTCTGTAGCATTTCAACTCATTTTCGGCTTCGTGGCTTTGTTAAATTGTTTTTCAATATTCATTAAGACGCCCCCACACACAAACACGGATCTCTGTAGAGTTCGTTGCCACGGGAATAGCCAGAGGGGGTGGCTAGCTGCTGCCCGCTTGTTTTCGGTGGGCGTGGCAGTTGCATGCGACAATTGCACTTCCGGCAACACCAGCATACATCCCCCCAGCCATTCTCTCTCACTCGCCATGTTTGCCCAAACAATTCTCTGCCTTTTCCATTTTTTTTAGGTTTGGCCTGGGTTTTGGATTGGGAGCAGGTGCTACCTGGTAGCTGCGTGCCTCAAATTGCTGGCTCATGTTGCGTCCATCAAACAGCTGACGGCGTCGATCAATTGAAATTGCTTTTTTTTTTTGTTATTTTCTGAAAGATGCATTGGCTGCCGTGTTGCTGCGGTCGGTTCTTCGCGCTGATGACTTCCTGGAACTAATGGCTGGGCAACCTGCTGATGAATTGTCTTTCAAGTTGATCATAAAAAGTGTATTAATAGCAGCCATTTATTGTTGTCTTGTACTCCTACACGAAAACACGACTATATCTAAAATGGGATTTCTAAAATATTGGATATCTTTTCTATAATTATTATGACTTTGAAAATAAAACTTGTGGCCGACATAATAAGGCATTAAGTAAGAATTATTTGTGTAAAAGCACACGAGATACTTCTCGTATCTCATAAATTCAACTCAAGTGGAGTGACCAACTGGATTTTAGTGCTTTATTGGCGGTCTGAGTTACGCACTCCCATTTGTGTGTCTGCTGGGTGTTGCATGCCCCCTCCCCGAGAACACAATTTCCAATTGCATGCAGAAATATGAGGCCCGGGGTGGTGGGCGAAATGGGTATTACTTCGTTCCGCATAGGAGCTACCAAACAATGTTAAAAGTAAGGGGAAGGAGTGCTCAATAAATTGCAGAAAAGCGAAAAGTGGAAAGAACAGAAAAATAAACAAGAACAAAACTAAAAAATAAAAAAATAATAAAAAATAGTACAAGAAAAAACAAGCTTTCCACTCGCAGTTTTAATGTGTTTTGTGCGTTGTTCCTCGTTTTATAATTGAGTTGGCAGTTGCAGCACAAGTTGCTGCAACAGCAGCGTTGCACTCTGGGCCATGCCACTCGCCACCACCCACTTCCTACCACAACAAAAATCGCTCCCGCCGCCGCTCAAGGGACTAGGACTGGTACTGGGAGTGTGCAGTCGTGTGCAGTGAATGCGAAAAAGTTCTGCACACATTTCGACTGAAACGCGATATTATTATACACATATTTCCTTTATTTTTATTATTATTCTCATAATACCTGGCGTAGCTCGGTGCGGACTTACCTTTACGAGCCGCATTGAAATGGAAGCGCAAACTCAAACGCCCAGGGATCTGGACAAAAAAAAAGCCACCATCCTTGGTGGGTTCCGTAATGAGCGTTTCCGTCAAAGTCCTTTCTCTTACTTACACTTCAAAAAAATATATGCTTTTGGCCAAGAATTGTATTACACTTCAATTACTATTACTAACTTCCACTTTTTTATATTTATTTCAGATTTTGAACGAGTTTAAGGTAAGTCTTGACAACATATTACTCAAGTTTTTTAAGCCTTAAGTTATATTTCTTAATCTTAATTTTGTTAGTGCACTAGGGGGGCTTTTAGACCAACTGGGCCACATTTAAAAGCGCATTATCTTTCTATCACCACACGACTTAAAGCTGGATCGACACCCCATAATTGCTCAATTTCTTGCTTCATTAACGGGCTTTCCTTTGCAGTTGGCCCTGTAATTTGTCAGATCGCCCAGGAAGCCAGAAACTCTTAATTTGTCTGGCCATAAACACCATTTGTTTGCCCCTTTCCCCAAGCCATTTCCTAGTGTGAAATGCGTAATAGTAGTACCTTTACTTATGTGTACATATTTCATAAGTTACGATTCATAACTCAATGAGTCCGACAAGCAAATGAGCAAAAGTGTGCTACTGGTGGGGACTCAACCCAGGGATTGGGAACTGGGAATTGCTAGAAGGGAGTTGGTTGTTGGTAGTTACTAGCCCCTGCTGCCAGATGAGCCGTTAGACACCGCTGATGGCGCTCTTGGAGTTCATTTACTCCGACGTGCCACAAAAAGAAAATTCAACGGAAAGCAAAGACAGGCGGGGAAAAAAATACAAAAAATACTTGAAAAACCCCTGAAACGTTATTTGTAGTTTTTATTTCTTTTATACTTTGGTTTTTTTTTATTTCTGCTAGACCATTTCGGTTTTAAATGCTCGGCTGGTGGCTTTTGTTGTTCCGGGTGGCAGGGGGGAATACGGTCAGAATAGGGCTTGAAAAAAATCCATGCTTGGCCTGAAAAAGTGCTTATTAAATTTAATGACAGCACGTTTACTTGCGAAAAGCGATTCTACTTTGTTTTTTTTGTAGTTTTCTTTCAAGCTTACTTATATCTTTTTTTTCGAGTGCCTACCTAGTTTTTATTTCGGTATTTTTGGTTTATTGGGGGCTGGGGTTCATTGGGAGCACTACGTCTATAATAGCGCATTCTTTGGGTTTAATTATGAGGCGGGATGAAGGGGTCGTTATGGCCATTATATTTGAATAGTTTCAATTGAAATGCCAACAAATTTTATTTTCAGTTTTCATTAATTAATAATTTTCCGGTTATTTGATTATGGAATACAGTTCCGCAGAGATTGTGGCACAAATGCCTATAGTTAGTTGGCCCTTGATGGACGTTAGCCATTAGGCTGTCCAGTACCTGATAGTTTTTCCATTTAAAATTCGTTTCCCTTTCCCCAAACTGTCACTCCTGCATCCAATCCTGTAGCCTGCCTGCCTGTCTAGTTTGCATAAGATTTCTCACAATTATGAACGACAAACTGGCATAAATTTATGACTGGTACTGAGTCTTGGCAAGGCAGTGAAAGTATTTTAATTAAATGCCCCCGGAGAGTTGGCCAAAAAGAGCGGGGACCTGCAGGTTATGAGGCGGTAATTTGCAATTTCCCCAACCGAGCGACATGGCTCACTTGTTTGGCTTATTATTCAACTGGTTTCTGGTGTCTACTGCTCGTTGAACTTCAAAACTGTGAGCGAAAAAAGTGAAATTCGCCTTTGGCTCGACATGTTGCCAAGTTAATGAACTGCAAAGGCAGATCTGAAGAAATGGGGGCCGGAGCCGGAAACAACTTTGTAACATTAGCACAGTTCCCTCTTCTTGGCTAAAAGATGGCAAAAAA